ATAGTTTGGAAAGATTGGAAATAAAGATTTAGTGAATTGAAAAGGGGAAGAAAAAAGTAAAGAGCAACAGAGGGAGGTACGGGCAAATAAGTAAAGAGAGTAAGAGCATACCGTATGAGAAAGAATATATAGAAGATGGAATAAAAGAGTTTTCTATAATAAAGTGGAAGTTCTTGGTATGGAAATCTAAGAGTTTAAGGAGATTAAATAAAACCGTTAGCAGTGGTAATTAGAAAACCTCTAAAGAAAAAGAATATCTAATGAAATTAAAATCTGAATAGGATGAATAATTATATACGATCAAAAAGGACAATCGTAAATTAACCGAAAACTAGGAGGAATCTTAAAAAGAGTTGGAAGAAGCATAATAAATTATATAAAAATAAAATGATTCTTTAGAAATAATAATATAAATATAGAAGGAAGTTATAATGAAATTAGTTAATCTTTGCAAAAACATTCTAAAAGAGTTAACATAAATAAATGATCAGAATGAACAAAAATATAATATAGATCTTACAAATTTAAAAAATAATGTAACTTTCATAGATTTGGGTTTGCAAGATTTTCTTGAATAAAAAACGACATTATAATAAGTTGAGACAAATTTTTAATAATAAGTGCAGCCATAATTAAAATATCTCTGTAGTAGTGTCAGAATAAAATATGGAGAATAGATGTTAATAAGCCGTTCTTAAATTTACATAATAGAAATCTTTAAGGTTTTGAAAAAACTTGAGTCAATTAAAGAAATAATGCCAAGACCAAAACTAATACTCTCCCGATAAACAACCGAATTTTCTCTTAAGTAAATTAGATCCCCTTATTATTTTAAATTAGGGTTAAAAGAAAGCTTATTTATTAATGATTGAATTGATATTTATATTTATAATAAACATATTATAATTTAACTTTATATGTATTTTTCAACCATGCTATCCTATTCTTAATAAATTTAAAATTCAAATTATCTAAAAGGATAATAGGCAATTGTTAGTATTAGTTTACTAAAATACATGTATTAATTATAAATTTATAATATATTAAAAACTATTATGAAAAAAGAAAAAAGCGCTAATGGAAGGGTTTGAACCTTCGACCTGTTGGTTAACAGCCAACCGCTCTGCCGACTGAGCTACATCAGCGTGTTCGATATAGATGTCTATAATTAATAATTAAACAGCAGATCATTTGATCTTAGTTAATATAATTGCATTACATAATCAATTGAATTATTCTTATTTACTAAATAATAAAATTCTTTATTGTGAATTTCAAAACTAAAATTTCTGATTTTTATAAAATAAGAATGAAATTAAAGTGATTTCTAATTAAAAATAATTTTAGTAAATTAATTCATAACTTATCGAATTTCTTAATCCAAGTATTTAAAAATTATTTATTCATCTATGAAGAGATTATTGATAGATAAAATATTGATTCATTTAATAAGAGATTATTGATGGATGATATGATATCAACTAGATATTATACTCTCAAATAATAATATAATATAAATTAAATAACATAAATTAGCTCAACAAAAAGGTTGATTTTGAGTCTTGTATTTTTAGAGCAATAATTAGTTTAATTTAATAAATATCTATCGTCTGTAATAAAATAACAAAGTAAATTATTGATTGTTCAAGCAGCATAATTCTAATTTGAGAATTTTATAAATCTTAACAAAATCCTTGATTGGACGCAGGTTACCAGTCAATTGTGATACATTTGTTGATAAATATTATTTTGATATCATTTGTTATTAATTACAATTAATTTTTATAATAATGAACCTCAAAATGCCTTCGATACAAAATATTCATACTGACGCTAATTCCAATGTCTCTCAAATTCAAAATGACTCTATAAAACGATAAGACTTCTCACCTACATAAATATCTCCTTCATATTTATTTTCTAATAACTCATTTTAACCTACTCTTAAAATAATAGCTACTCAAAAAGCTTCTATATTTGGACAAAGAAAAGAAACATTTTTAAATTCTAGCTATCGTGAAATCTCACAATGCGATATATATGGAAATCTTTAGAAATATAAAATTTAAAAGTAAGAAGACAGCCTAGCTCGACTTCGTGGTAGAAAAAGATCAATAAAGTAGCATTCCCCTTACACTCTTAATTAATAATCTCCAACCTCGATTAAAAATATTGAGAGCCAAAAGAAAGCCCTTGAGAATGTAATAGATGATTTAAAGCTCAATAAGATCAAATTAAAAAAACTTGAAAAATCTCCTTAAGCCAAAAACTTTCCAGTGCACAACTTTTACTACCTTAAAAATATGAAATATATCTATCCTTTTTAAGTTGAAAAATCTGTTACAGACTTGATGAAGCCATTCCATTAATAAAGAGATAATTTGCTTTCTCCAATTTAAACGGAGAGATCTTTAATTTATCCCTAAAGACCATAAATTTAAAGACCACAAGAGTTTTTGGATAAATTGAAAAATAGATTATTGAAAAGAAAAAAAACAATGTACTTGCCTCAAGCATAGATCCAGGAAGACCCAATTCAGAGAAAGCTGAAACACTTTTAAAAAAGCATCTTTGAAAATCAATGTTTGCATACGATATACATTCGTCCATCAGCAATTAGAATATAAAAATATAGAATTTAGGATAGTAAAAATGAAAGCATTTTGAAAAGATGCTTGAGCTATAGATGGTGGTGGTAGGAAGCAGATGAGGCTGATGAGGAAGTGTAGTTATTATGGAGTTGTTAAGCTTCTAGTTCTTTTTTGAGTAAATAAAGAACTAGACATATAAGTGATAAAATCGAGTTTCAACCTTTTGAATAGATTTTAAAGATATGTGATAGTGTGGAAGATCAAATGAAATTCGCAATTGAACAAAAACTTTGTTTATTATCTCCTTATATAAAAATACATAATCATATAGATGTGATTGATCCATTTTGGACAAAGAAGAACTTGATTAGTAGGTTTTAAAAATATTGCACTTTAACAAATCAAAATGATAACGATTTCTTTCCTTTTTCAATAATTGTAAATAATTTAGGAGAAGAATCCTTCTATGATTTTATTAGAAACTATAAAACTTCAACTGAGATTTGGATCGTTTTGAAATGCCAGAATGAGGGAGAGAGAATTTAGTTATGTGAAAATACTAAGAGTGTATATAACTTTATTCACAAAGAGTACTCGATGCCAAGTAGAAAATAATAAAGTTTTATTGTCTAATAATACATAAGATCGTTTGTATATCAATAAATAAAATTAGATTTATGCTTCTATTTACTGATAGCCCAAATAAATGGGATAGTGAGAGCATATTTATTTGAGTAATTTTATGGGGAATAATCCTAATTAAATTTCTCCCCATTAGAGAAGGATATGTTGTTTAAATCAAATGAGTAATTCAATGATAACTATAATTCGGATAAGATTCAGATGAAAACCATTTTAGAATATTTTGATGATTGTAGAGTGGATTATGATTATAAAATCCTTCCTGAAATAAAAATGATTATATGTGAATATATTAGATCAGTGTTTACTCAAATGCCAGTCAAAGATCACAATTTTGAAGTATTCATTAAATAAGACTTAGTTACTTTAAGTTAAAATATTAATTGATAATCAATATAAACCATGGTTGATTGACATCAAACCTACAACAGAATTTGATTTAAGTACAGATTTCATGAAAGAATATGCTTAGTAACTGATTGATAATGCACTATAACTTTCTGTTGATGTTTTATTTCCGTCCCCATCCATTTGGCCCAAAGACAAAAGAAGATTAATTGATATATATTCTGAACAAAATGATTTTGCTGTTGTTTTTGATTCAAGAATGGATGGCTAAGGTTTAAAATCATTGTTCGAAGAAAAATAACCTGAAAGTATTAAGGATGATGAATTTTGAGTCAAAATTTTCTTATATTGAGATATGCAAACTAAAAGTAATCTAATCATTTTCCAAACATCATTAATTATCTTACATTATTGTTGGTCAAACAAAACCTTACACTCTTTCCTGAATGCACACTTATACTTCTTTTTTGACTTGTCTATAATTCATTTTTTGAACTTTGGTTTTTTAAAATTCCCTTCTTAAAAAAACTACTTCTACTTTCTCTTCTTGTAGTTTTTTGAGTGCCTTGTGTTTCTACTTAATTTAGTTTAGTTTGAGAACAATTTTTAACTTTGATTTTTTTTTCACCAACAGATCTTAATTAGGAGTCAATCTTGAAATCTAATGGAAAGTGATCTATAGTTCTTGATCTCAAGTTCCTCTATTCATCTAACACTAATGATTTTTTGTCAGTTACACTCATTCCCTATATTGTTTGAGTATGAATTGAACATATTTCTAGCTTTTAATTAAATACTTTATCTAAATAATTCTTCGTTTTTATTAAAATTTCATAATTTGTCATCATGGATTTATGAGGAGGTGTTTCTAACTAATTTAAATCTTATTCAAAAGTGTTTACTAACCTATGTGATTTTTTCATAATTTTTTATATAAATTTTAACAAATAATAAATCAATATTATCATATCAAAAATAGTAAGTCATACGGCATCAGTTTCTACCTAAGTATATTATTCTTTCAGTCTATTTTGCAATCCTGCAAAGTTTTTAATGGGATTTCTCCTATTTAATATATTATATTACCCTTCTTTGTCTTTTATTGTTGAGTTTTCTTTCATCCCCTAAATTAAATCCTACTTGCACACTTCAATAAAATATTGCATAACACTTTCTCTAGTATTAATATCGTCATCATTGTCGTATGTTTCTTAGAGTAATTGTTAATATTCTAGTTTTATGCCAAGCTGATTATCAGTAAAGATTGGAAATTTATATTTTACTTTTGGGTCCTACTAAGACTCCAACTCTAAAAAATGGTATGGTCTCTTCTTCTATGACACTGTTGTTGCTTATTTTGATTATTAAAACGTATTCCAACTTTGTTTTTTAGGTTGAACATTTTCTTTGTTTATTGTCATATTAAAGAGTGGTAAATGAGAAACACTTGGAGGCTTAGGGAAAGGGTACATAAACAGCGAAGTTTTTCTTCTATCAGCTGAAAGTGACTAAGATTTGGGTGGAGACACGCTCATTTATTAGCAAATTTGGCGCAAATATATTTTGAATTTAAAATATTTCAATTTAAAAATTTAGTTATCGAGTATGAAAGCAAACTTAATCTATATTTCCTAAATCTTAAGTTTAAGTTGGATTTCTACTAAATTCTATTTGCATTAAATATGATTTCTTTTTCTAATATTTTTTAATTAAAATATAATAATAATTAATAGATTATAGCATTATTTTATTATGAATCAGATCTTATATTTGTTGAAATAATGATAAATCAATTTCTAAATTTAGGATTATAATTTATAAATAGTTATTGTTCTATATATTACTCACTTTGGCTGGGGTCTGAGAATTTAAAAATATTCTATTAAGCCTACACTCTTGATTTTTGATTACATATTTGAAAAACGATTAAGCTCTGATTATAGATCAAAAAAAATATAAAATATAGTAATTAGATAGAGCATTTATCTTGATAGTTTTCAGTTAAGAAGTAAAAAAATGGTTAGAGTTAAAATATAATATCCTAACATTATTATCTTTAATGGTAACGAATGACTTTATGATCAAAATAATTTAGAATGATTTTTTTGAATCTATTAATTATTAATATTTTTATGTCATAAAGTTTTGAGATGGATGAGAAGGCTAAGTTGTTGGTAAAATTACTTGATGGGGTCAAAATCGAACTATAAAAAATTAATCAAAACACTCGAGTTGGTAAAGCAAAAATATTGACCTACAATAAAGGATATATATAATATATGAATAAAGATGAATTTATGGCTATATAAAAAGCACAGGCGACATCAAGATTAACTAAGGAAGAATATATTTATAATCAAGGCTATTTTGTATATAAAGCTGGGGTGAATATTAATGCAATCAAAAATGGAGAAAATCAAATTGAGTTTGGGTGGAAAAATAATTAGGAGACTGTATACTATTTTATTTTCAGATTCAAACTAAAACAAAAAATAATATATAATCCATCTCCAGAGGTATAAAACAAACAAAAAAAGAAAAGAGAAAAAAGTTCTATAAAAGATGTTACATGGTACTTTGAGGTGGAACTATAGAGTGAAATAGCAAAACTCTAGAAGAGATTTTAAGAAATTGAAGATTATAATGAGAGATTAAAAAAACTTAAGGTCTGTGATAGCTTTGCTTATCAGTTTGATTAAATGGAGATCAAGATCTATGATTCAAAAACATTATCAGATAATTTAATAGCTTTCAAAATAGATATTGAGTTTTTGGGATATATTTCTAATAAATTAGAGAATAATACTAATAGGAATATAGTGACTGCAGAGATAGCAGCTCGTTCCTTATTTCTTTATATTAGTAATTTAAACGAATATAAGTCGAATAAAATGAGAATGATAGAAGAAATGCTATAAGCTCTTTATAAAGATAAATAGAGAAATTTTAATTAAGAAGTTATTTAATTTGCAAAAAGCAGGTTTGAATCTAATTTAGAAGCTTAAAATTTTGTGATATCTGATGTTTTATTTCTGAATGCTTTGATGTATAATTTTGAATTTACTATTAATCTTGATGTTAAGAACTTACTCGATTATCAGAGTTTTTTTTCATCCCTATAATTCAATACTCTTGAAAATAAAGAAAATGATATAATCAAATTTTCTACTAATGAGGTGCCTAATGAGATGCAATAAATGAATTATAAAAATTTCAAAATATTTTCACAAAAATAACAGAATTTTAGTGATATTTCCAAATATTGTATTGGGTTATTTGGAATGGAAAATTAATTTTTAGGGAAAATCTATTTAAAATTATATAAAAAGGGAAATGAGAAAAAAAATTTAGATTATGCAATATCCTTTTTAGAAAGAAACTTAAAGAATTCACATTCCTTACTAAAAGATGCATACGCTTTATCTAAGAAACAGGAATCAATACAAAAAAGTATTCATTAATCCAGTTAACAAATGAATATCAAGAATTCTTAACACATAGTAAGTCCTCCATAACAAATAAATGACTAATAAAGTACTACAAAATCGGATGCATAAAATTCGTTTAAGGAAACCAAAAAAACAATTAAAATTATTGAATGTAATCCTCAAAATGACAACTAACACGACCATACTATAAAAAGTAATAGTAATCAATAATAAATTTCAATTGAATAAATATAAATTATTAATGTATCAAATCCTGCTGTAAAATAACTATAATAAGAAGGATAATATATTAAATTTGATGAATCTGATAAATCAAACTCAACGGCAGTTTCAGAATCTTATTAAAAAGCTGATAAATTGTCATACTAAATTGCTGAAGAAAATTATGAAAAGGGACAATATATATCTGCTTTATCCGCGATTGATGCTATTTCAAATAAAACAAAAATGGTTTTGAGATTAGGATTTTAAATCGAAAAAAAATTAAGTGATTCTTAGAATTAATACTATTCTGATAGGCTCTTAAAAAATTACCTCATCTATGGTTGTGGTGTTTAAGATTTTCAAGATATATAAGAAATATTGTAATTACAATTCAAATAATATATTTATGATGAAAAGATTTCTTTTCAAAGTGAAAGTTGGAAGTTTATAATAACCTAGTTAAAAAGTCGTAAGTTTTCAAAGGAAAAAGTTTAAATTGTGGATTCAATAGTAGCGGAGATAAGATATTACAAATATGATAACATCAGAACTTATTTCAAAAGTTTAATTGAAAAATTAAAAGATTTTCCACAAGATTAAATGGTCAATTACTACGATTAATTTTAGCTCATTTCTAAAATTTACTAATCTTCCTAAACGCATTGAAATATGCAATATTAGAACATAATCAGTTATTTTATAAATATATAAAATTGATTAAATATATGTTATTTTTTCCATTAACAAGAAATTAACTATTTAATAGTTATTTATAAGAAATAATTAATATTTTTTGTTTTAGATCATTGTGACACAGGATAATGTTGTACGACAAAATTAAATAAAATAATAACAAATCTCTTTAGACCAACTTCTTTAAGTAATTGTTGTATGTATAATAGTATTTTGTATTTAATTCTGTAAGACTTTTAAACTTCAAAATTTTTTGTGATAATTTCGTCATTTTTTGTATTTTGTTAATATTGTTATTTAAATTTTGGTTTAAAGATCAAATACATTTGGAATGATTCGACAGTTGATGTATTTAACTTGATGCTTAAGTATTTACTAGTAATTTTATTTTTAGATACTTTACCATAACAATTAATGTAAAAAATATTGGATTTAACAAGTATCTACTAGTTTTTTATTTATCTCTTGGGGTTGTAATTTTTTCTATAATTTTGATCATAGTACTAATATATTATATTAGAAATTCGAGCTTTTAGAAATTACCATTATCGATTCTCTAATATTTACTTTATATAATATTAACTTTCGGATATTGGCCTATAATTAGAATGCAATTTGGATTATTGGCCTGCCAATATGATAAGTCAGGCAAATTTGTTATGATGTTTGAAACTAAATAGGAGTGCTGGACATCTAACTATACAATACATGCCATTATTGGAATTATTGGTTTAATAATAACAATTCTTTTTACGCTTTTGATCTCCTACTTTCTATTTTAATAGAAGTTTTCAAAAAAGAATGCAATTGCAATGAAAAATAGTCATGCATAAGTTACTTTATTAGTCTATATAATTGTTTAAATAATGGTGTATTAAATGATTCCTACTCCATAATATACAGTGTTAATAATAATAGTGTATTTCATACTGAGTATAATTTATTTTGAAAAAGTACATATACAAAAACCATTTCACCATTAAATTATCTAAAAAATGATGTCTATTTTTTCAGCCATAAATTTCTGGATAATTTTAATGATGCTATACTCATTCGTTTTGGAGGAGAAATTATTAAAAAATGGTCTAAAAATTCTAATATTAGGCATTCCATTAATTTGTGGAATAATAATATCATCTTAATCGAATCAAATTGATTTGTTTAGAATTAATTTTTATAAAGCAAAAAATGGAACTGAAATTTCATAATTATGCATTTATTTACTGGAACTTATGAAGAATTGGGACAATAATCAAATTTCCGAATTAGTATTGCAAAGTTATTTAGAGATCCATAGATTATCTTGTTAAAGAGCAGACTGTTACTCAAAAGTATCGTCAACGATAAAATTAAAGGCAAATACAAATTTTTAAGAGTATGTTGTAATCCATTTGATAAACTAAATTTTTGAAGATGGAATAAGACACTTCCCTGACGATATTGATTTGAGATTAAACTTTGTTTTCTTTTTAATTGATTCTAGAAAGTAATATTCCCAAGCCCTATAAGAGATATCGATTTCAGAATAATTTGTTACATCGTATGCACAATAGTTTTAATTGTTCTTTTACAAAAGGTAAATTTAAGAAATTCTAACTGATTCATAATCCACATTACAATTTGATCATTTTGCAGAAGCCAACTTTCACAAGATGGAGACAGAATTTTATCAAAAAATGGAGAAAATTACCATTACGTTTATTGAATTTTGGAATTAATTACTTGATGAAATACCAGATATTTATAAATTAACCTAACTTGGATATTTGTTGTTAAATAAAAGATAAGAAATAGAATAAGATTATAGCAGAGTTAGTTAATAGAATAGAAGAGCAAAAAAGTTAAAGCAAATTTATTAAAAATTTACAGAACTAATTCTAAGTGACTTTAGTTCTAAGACATTATAATTTGAATTAAGTAACCAAGAAGTTCAATGTTTGTAAATTGAAGAAATAGAAGAAATTAGTAAATAGCCTGATCCAATCATTGTGATTTAATCCCATCTTGGTTAAGAGTCAAAGATTATGAGTATAAATAAGTCCTTCTGCAGTTTGCTAGGATATTCAAAAGCAGATTTGATAAATAGAACTCTTAATGAAATAATGCCTGATATGTAAAAAATTCATTTAATTTGATTAGCTACGCATTCAAACATAATTAATGTATCGAAAATTATTTGATCCATAAAATATCAGATTAAAATTAGCAATTAATCAAATCTTGTCAGGTTTACATCAAGAAGAAAAACAAATACATTCTTCCAGTACATCTAAAGGTAAAGTTATTGGAGGTGCATCATAATGAATTAATTTTATTAGGCATTTTAGATTACAGTTTTCAATAGAACAATCAATGCTATATAATTTCATCTCCAGAAGGAAATATAACTGATTTGTCCTCTAACTGCATATCATTTTTAGGAATTGATCTATAATCAATAACACTTAATTAAATATTGATTTCAGATTTATTCCCAGGAATTCTCAAAAATAATAATTAAGTTTTTCATAAGTCCGGGTGTTGTGTAACCTATAATGATCATTTATAAATGCTCAAGAATAGTAAAAGATTAAAATAATCTATTCATTCAACATCTTCTTACATTCCAAAAACAAATTTCAACTGTATCATTAATTATATTGAATATAAATGTTTACGAGAAGAATAAGATCTTAAACATGGCTTAGTGATAAGATTGGAACAAATAAAGACATAATTGCAATGCAAATAGGAATGCTTGATTCAATAAGATACCATAAGAAGTCCAGGTCCAAAAATAATAGGATTTTTTAGGTTTGCTCAAAGATCCTTGACTTATAGAAGTAATATATATTCAATATTTCAAGTGGAAAACATAAGATTCAATGAATTAGATAGTTTGAATAATGAAACTCTGATAATGGAAAATTCTTTAAATTTGTCTAAGTTAATGGGATGTATGAGAATGTCAAGACATTTTAAGACATTGATGAAACCTAACTATGGTGAAGGAATTCGGATAAAGAGATTAATAGAAAATCAAATTTGTGATATTGAAGATAGTTTGGTATTGGATGGAAAGCTGAAGAAGGAAGCAGAAGATCAAAATGACGAGGAAGAAATTGAAGATAATCAAGAGAGTGATATATTTAGTTAGAGGGATACTCTTTAATCTTAGTTCTTTTAAAAGAGTTTAATTAAAAAGGAATTACAAGAGAAACCAATGTCATTTAAAATTAAAATGTCAAGTCGGGTAATTCACTCACTTTTATTTGTATTATTGTTATTGCAAATCTTATCCTATACTTTTAATGTTCAAAACGAATAAGAATTATTAAGCAATCTACCCCTAATCAATCAAGTTAATTAAAGAATGTCAAATATATTCATGATTTAATCAATTCTATAAGACATTCGCTCCATAAATTTACACTATGTGGTTAATACATAAAATACATCTTAGGTATTGAAACAAAATTTTGAAATGCTAGAACTTGAAATACAATCACTAAAATCAGTGTAAAATGATTTATCTTCAATTAAAGTGGATATTGCAGATTAGTATAAATAACTAAATTCTAAATACTATGAAAAGATAATAGTGATGGTTGACATTTATGGAAATGTATCATATTTCACCTTTAATGAAGCAATAGAGTAGTTGATATCTAAAACAAAAGCATTATTAAATAGTGATATATCGTAATTTGATTATTCGAAGCCAGATTTCTTTTATTTTATTTATAATTCTTTAAATTATATAATATGGAATGGGAGAATAGCCGAAACCTATTATTGGTCATATTTACAAACCTTGGTTGATACCATAATTAATAGTGAAATATTGTATTTTCTATTACATACTTGCATGTTGTTTTCATTAACTATTTTGATACTTTTATTTTTGAATTAGATTTAAAAGGAAACTAATTAGATTGTTTAATCTTTGTTATTTTTAAAAGAGTCAAGCATCAAGGAATAGGTTGGAAATTGTGAAAATTTTTTAGTTATTTTGCAATCTGAAGATTTAGAGGATGTAATTAATTAAATTATACTTCATAGAAAGATAATTTATAAATAGAGAATGAGGAGAATAAGAAAGAGAAAAAAAATGTCCAAAACAAAAAAATAAAAAAGTTTAAATATTCAGGATCTCAATTATCAAAGTAATTTGTGAAAACTGTGTTGATTTTTATCCTCTTCTAATTATTTTATATTTACACATTCACAGACAGCAAAATCGTCTCAGATGAATATAATTAGTTGATGCCTATAATTAATTAGACTTCTATAGTTGAAAGTTATTATAGGTTGGGGGATAACTTTATTAGAGAATTGTTTTTCAATCCTAACATCAGTATCTTAAACACTCCTGATAACAAGGCAGCTGTATTTGGATATCTTGAACTCTTGTATAATTTAAATGCTGATTTAGTGGAAATCAATAACAAATATCAAAATCTGTTGGAATTAGAGTATTAAATTGCTTTTAATGAGATTTATTTCATGAATCCTTGCTTAAAACTATATAAGAGTCAATCATTAGTGGAATGCGAGAATTTTGAAGAAGGGATCTTAATAGAGGGACTATCAATTGGAATTATAAAATATATTGAAGATTTAAGAACTTTCTTCTAAAGTTATCAATAATTTGATGAACTTTAAAATTATAATTTGGAATACAATTTTAGTGATGTCAAATTGATAAATTATGCATTAAATCTACTGAATACAAAACGAGGTTTAGATATTCGAACGATGTAATAAAGATACTTGAGAGCAGCCTAGAGGTATTTAAATTAAGCTTTGTCCTCCAACATTACTTCGACGTTTTAGGGACTGGAAATAAGGAAAACAATCCTTTTCACATGCTTTTGCTTCATGATATTGATAGTTATCACTATGATTTGGATACCTACTTGCCGTTATTAGATATAGAACTTAATTCAGATAAGAGGTGTGCTGGCATTTCTGACTCCAAGAATGCTGAATATGTATATTTATAACAATACAAATAGGTCGAAGCAAATCGTGTTAGATCTGAAACAGCAAGGGATGATTTGATTTTTGAGATATTATAAATGTATAATAAATGAAATTAATTATGGATATGGTGTTTGCGTTTATGACTTTATTAAACAATTCTGAAAATAGATTAACTTTTAGGATTATATTTGAAATTCTGAAAAAGTGGTGTATAAATAAATTTTGATTTTAATTAAATAATGGAAGCTGAATCTGAAGTACTAAAAAAACTAATAAACAATACTAAATATAAGTTATTTAAGTATTAAAATCATTGATTTAGTACAGTGTAGTGTATTTAATATTGAAGAGACAATAGTATCCTCTAAACGTAGCAATTATATCAACTATTATATAAATGGCATAGCTTCTTTATTTTTCATTTCAAGAATAGATCCGATATGTTTGGAGTTCTGAAAATTCGACAAAATGGGTAAATTACATTTTGGAGTATAAATATTGGTTGAAAATAGATTTTTTACTTTAATGAAATATGCAGAAAATACAAGCTTCACTATATATTTACTTGTGTTTTACATATGTGTGGCAATAGTTTAGATTACAGTCATATTGATTGTCCTTTTAGCAGTTTTGGAGAATAATCACACAGCGACATCGATTCCATATCAAATATTAAGAGTAACTTTACCAATACTAATGACAATAGGTTTCGAACCAATTTCAAGGATTTTAGTTGGAGTATTAAATTAACTAAACAATAGTATTTATCATGTGAATCAGATGATAGTGGCATTGTCATGATGAGATATATTTCAAGTCAATAATGTTGGGTTGGTGAGTATGAATTGCATGCAGTAATTGCAATTCTTACATCCGTTGAATACTTGATTCTGGTGATCATATTTGCCTAGATATGCATAGAATCCAAAGAAGTTGAATAGAATGCACTAGCATAAAGACAAGGCCAAACAATGCTCTTTTATTATTTGTTTGTAATAATGTCTCTGGCCGCATATTCAACTTTGCAAGAACCAAAATTTACTGTAATAGTGATCTTGGTTTAATTGTCTACTTCATATGTATTCTTCTATAAAGTCAACAATCACTGTCCCTTTTACAATTCAAATATATAAAAGATATGGTCAATAACAGCAGGAATCAATTTTTGGACTTAGTTTATGATGCTGTATGCTTACACTTTGGAAGGATAATTTATATCAAAGACATTCACAATTTGGCTATTTGGTGTTCCATTCATATTTGCAATTTTGGCAATGAAGGAGTTAAGCTATGTAGATTTGGTCACTGCCTGTATGAAATCCACAGAAAATGGAATAGAAACTGTTGAGATTTGCACATACATTTTAGCATTGAACACTCAAAGTGAAACTAATTAAAAGTCGTAGATACTGCTGGCAGGTTTCATAGAATTTCATAAATAATCTTGCAGTAAACCTGATTGTGTTTTATTGTCGAATCATAAGAAGAAAAACAAAAGTGTGAATGTATTTAAAGATAGAAAGTAACAGATTATTTAACTGGTAAATTAAAGTTATTTGGATGGTTTAGAACAATTCCCAGAATGTTCAGATCTTAAAATATCATATGCGTATTTTCTATTGGATAAGATGTAACTTAAGCAATAAGCACTAAATCAACTGAATTTGGCAGAAAGTTGCGATCCAAGTTTTGATCAATAATTCTTCATTTATAGATACAAGAGAATCATAGAAGAGGAGATTTAGAAGCAATAATAATAGCATAGCAATAACAAGAAGAACGTTGATATAATCACTGAGAAAACTCTAAAATCTGAAATCAAAAATCTTCATTACTTAATTGAAGACTCGTGTATGGAATATTTATACTTTTGGTCTCAATTGCAGGAAGAAGTTCCAAATCTCAGAGTGTTACATGAACATGGATAGAAAATAATAAAGTCAGTGGAGAAGGTAGAACAGTAATGGAATAAAATCTTAGAGATCGACTCCTATGAGATTAATACTTATAGACTATTGAGTAAATATTACGAAATGATTGTGCATGATGAGTAAATTGCTTTGGATCTATTATTGCAGATGATTAAGAAATAAAAATACAATACCAAAGGAAATGAATTCTTTGAGGATCTCTCTAGTAATGGAGATCCACTAATTGTGATGTAAGTATCGGTAGGACATCCAACCGTTATTTTGAATGTAAATAAAGCAGCCTATAGTTTACTGGGTTTCTCAAAAACAGATTTAATCAATCGTAATATAGATGTTATACTACCATCCATGTAAAATTAATTAATCTAATTATTAGTTATGTAGATTACCATATTTAATTAGTCGATTTCATCTTTGAAAAACAGTCTGTTGATGTCAATTAGATCAATAAATTTGATGAGAGACTTATGATGCTCAAAAATAAGCAGAACTTTATCATTCCTTGTTATTCCCAATCCTAAATCATGAATACCATCAATGGATATATCATGACAAGTAGATTGAGGCAGGATGTTCACTATAAACCCAAATGCTATATATTAACTGATATCCATGGAAAAATCTTGAATGTTACATCTTCATGCCTTCAAATATTGAAATGGGATTAGAAATTCCTTCACTTGAATGATTTCAACGTCCAGAAATTCTTTCCTGAATTATTGTTGAATAGAGAAGACTACATCAGTAAACCAACACTTATAAACTATTAATTCCTGTTCACTTCCTCAAGAGGATCCTTATCAAAAGACGATTCCTTTGATGGAGTTGAAGATAAAACATTTAATTGTTCTCTCTTCCTTATTGAAACACCCTATGCTAATCAAAATGATGATTTATATCAGATTTATGGCTATATTGTTAAATTGGAATAATACAATACTGACATAATCCAATACCCTTTATTGGTTAAGAATAAGAAACTCTCTAAAGTATTTAAATTTTATGTTGCTTCCAAAACCTATCAATGTAATCATTTCATTTCTATTTTTAGTGGAAAATGCAGATCTTGATCACACAAATAATGACTCTTTGATTGACAAAAGTATTATTTGGGAAGAACCTTAAAAATTATACTTATTTAGCCAACATAGCAATACAAGTAGTAAGAAAGTATATTCTTAATCCAAACATTCCTTATTAAAATAGAGAATATACGGAGCTGATATTAAGACGATGAGATATTTTGACAATAAAATTATTGAAATCGAAGAGGATTCAATGGATGAGAGCGAGTTTTCTGAGAAAAAATAAAATAAATTAAATGGAGAAGATGAAAACGAATTGGATAAATAGACTAAAGTTGAATAGAGAAGTTTGTAAATATCTTCCAGAACTGGATTAATCAAAGTAATCAATAATTCTAAACTACCTTTAATTATGTTAAAATTAGGAATATGTATCAGTTTGTTATTCTTATCTGTTCTAATAGTATCCATCGCAATGTTTATATTGCTTAATCAAACCTAAGAAAATATTGTGCAAGCCTTAAAGTTATTAATTGCTAACAATCTCAGATTATGCAGTTTCATTAAAATGCAGTCCAATCTATAAGATCTTAAATTCACTAACTTTGAGATCTTACCTTTTACTTAATAAACCGTACATGGTGTTTTTGAGACTATTAACAGATAAGAACTCGCAACAGAATTAAATTATACTATGGATTATTAAACAACTTTATAGGATGAAGAAATTAATTTGGTTGGAGAGTATGAATATTATCAGAATGCTTTCAAAAATACAAGGATTACTATGAAATAAGTTACTGGAGAGACCTAGAGTTTCTTATTTGAATAGGTGATTTAATAACTAATATCTAAAGCGATTTCATTAAATTCAAGCAGTTTAACGAGTTTTAATGACTCGAATGAAGATTATTATTATTTTAGTGAGAACCTCTTTAATTCGGTTCTAATGAATCAGCATCTGGCTCAAGATTATTACTATTACAATATTATTTACTAGACTGATCTATTGGATCAACAATAAGTCTATTTCTCATTAACACAATTGTTTGTGACAGTGTTCACATACTGTATCATCTAGATATTCTTGAATAAACATTAAAATTATTTACGAGAGATCTTATCTTTATTTATGGAATTAGATGAAAAGACTGTTAAGAAGTTTGTGAAGAATAGTTAAGAATTTTTAAGTGCCTTACGTCTAGCTGAGGATAAACAATTGGATGAGATAGAGGAAGAATAAGAAGTCGAAGAAGATCATTTCGATATGTCTTCTTTTAATAAAAAGAAAAAGAAGAAGCAAAACTTTTCAACTACAGAAGTTAAGAAGAACATTATTTATGTCTCCATGGTTTTGATATGCTACGCTTTCTTTTTTTCTTATACTTTCATTTCCACCAATGTAATTGATCATAATTTAACTTTTAGACAATAATTTCTTAGACTGAATAATTGGCTCCTTTGCTGAACATCACATCAATAGCAGCTTCCTAATACAGTTTAATTGACAACATAATGAGAGAAGCCTTCTGGAACCAATCCAAAGTTATTTTGGATTTGAACGCTTTCACAGCCTTATCGTATATGTAGAATGTACTGTATGAGATGGATGCTGAATCTCATCAGTTGAATCAGTAAAACTCAGATATTTTGGATGAAGTTTATAAGGTGGCTTTCAATTAGATTTATATTCTGAATCCATGTCTTATTATAGACGAATCCTATGATGAATCAAGCTCTTGCTCCTATTTTGATTAGGGGATTCTTTTATAAGGATTATCTTTGGGAGTGACTAAATTCTTGGAGACGATTAAATATTATTTATCTGTCTTAAAAGCTTTTGACCCATAGTATGAATACACATATTTAACTTACAATCTATCGACAGACCCTAAATTAAATTATACTTATAATCTGCTTAACGAGGATGGCCTAAATTCAAATAGAATCTTCACAAAGGTGTACATGAAACAGCTGTAGATTTATCTGACTAATATATTGCAAAGTTCATTAAATAGCCATTTCGAAGACCTACAATTACAGTTTATTTCAACATTCCTTAGCTTCTTATTGTTATCTATAGTCTTGTACTTTCTGATGTGGATTCCTCGACTATAAAAGAATCAAAAAGAAGTTTACCAAAATAGATTAATGTTATCATTCATTCCAGTAAAGAAATTAGATCAGATAGAGCCAATAAAAAATTATATCAAAAAATATCAATAACAAGAATGATTTAATTAAATTATTGTTTATTTTTATTGGATCTCTAGATATAATTGAATCAATAACTCCTTTTGAACTAGAAAATAATGAATCGATTCATTTATATTATAATACTAATCAGAATTCCTATTGTTGATGTTAAACTTCTATTCTTGAGAATCTCTCCTCCACAATCTCCTCGTGATTTTCTAAATTAAACTGTTCTAACCTATCTTGTTTGATGATATCAATAGCATCATCAAAAACTAGACAGATGAGAGGCTTATTAACGGTGAAATCACTCTCTCTTGGTGGTACATAGCTAATGAATGTAGTGATGTTGATAATACCAATAATCTCTGTATCTTTCAATTCCTTCGCCATCATCTGAGATGCAACTTTGGATTTCTCCTTTTATGATGTACCCTCCGAACATAAACTCCACATTAGAATGAACATCAAACTTTTTGAACTATGTCTTCTACCTCAAAAACTACCCCAATCTCTTTGCTTCCATCTAAGCCAATGGACCTGCCTAAGATTCAAACAATTTGATTAAGTATTCTATTCAATTAAACAAATGCTTACCAATTGAATTTATGTATATTTTTTATTCAAATACTTCAGACTTCGACATCAACGACTTGAGCACATTCAAATTTAGAGAATGTAAGACAGTCTCAGATGCAGCTCTAGCAGTGGTCATGCATTTGCCATCTCCAATCAAATTAGCATATGAAAGTAAAGAGCCCAATCCCTTTTTCAATATATGTGTGCCAACCTCATCATCTACGGTACCTTTTTAAACAATGTATATGTTTTAACAAGTCATGCCTTTTTCGTATACAATTTCATCTTATTAATACCTCTTTTCGTAGGTTGATTTGACAATGGTATCCAATTCTTCCTTGGGCACTCCTGTAAAAATAGGGAACTCCATTGCGAATGCATGGAAGGTTGGGATTTACCAATCGAAGGAATGATTTTCAAGTTCAACTAAACGAGCATCAATATTGGCCTTAAGAGAATTGAATTCCTTATCATCGACCAATCCATTTTTTTGGTTCTCTTCCAGATGGTGTCTTTAATGCATCAGAACTGTATGGGATGCTCTTTTGGTTTGAATGGCTCTAATGACTTCAGGGAAGGTGTCGTTCAAACTTCCCAAATAGATCTCAGCCTTAGTGATGTCATTCCTGAGTTCATCCATAATTAATTTGACTGCTCCCTTGTTCATGGGCATATGCTATTACAAGGTGATGACTTCAGAAGCGCATGAGATGAATGTGGTAGTCACATCATACACGAATCCCAGATGCTTGGTGATATACTATTGAGCATATCCACCTAAGAAGGTCCACTCTTTGGCTTTGAAAAAGTATTTGATGCTGCTGAAACTGGTGAAACTTTGGAACAATTATTCCCAGATGTTGAGGATGGAACCTGTGTGATCAAGAGCGACATCACTAGACTCAACAAGCAATCTGACTGAATCTTCATCGCATTGACCATGCTCAAATTTTGAATAATAGAGACCCTTGAGGATTCTCAAGACTCTGTATCTAACTTCTCCAAATGTTTCTGAGTCAGTCAATCCTTCGAATGATATTCTGCTAATATTTCCACCTTGAATCTGTTTGATCTCATTTTCCAATTAGACAACCTCTTGAAGGTATTCCTGAGATCCAACGAGAGCCTTGACTTAATTCCAATCAGCCATAGCATAATGTTCATCGCCTTCTAATTCCTTAATGGTGTCCTCTTGATTCACAATCATGTCAGTCAAATAACGTTTATACACTTTCTTCTTTATGACAGGATTTTCAATCATATTCAGATAATTAACAAGTGCCTTGCAAGTAGTACCATTAACTAGATTCGTTAGAGCAGCCATTCCAGCAGTAAAGAACACAGATAAATGTCTGAATCTTGGAGGTAAATCGGGATCACATCCAACCATTAGAGAAAGAGTCAATCCCAAAGCACCTCTTAAACCTCCGTAAACGAAGACTATTAATTCAGGTTAGGACATAGGGTATCCATATTTCTTAAGTAACGGCCAAAATGATATAACCATAAGATATCTACAGATGATCATGAAGAAATAGAAGACTATCATCCTAAAGTAATCAGAAGTATAAATATATCTTTCTTCAATAACTTCGGTTCCCACTATCATTCCAACCAACAAAAACACTGTGGTGTCACATGCATACTAAACAAAACTCCAAACAGTATGAACTGCGTGTTCGCTTTCTGATCGAATTCTAGTTTTACCAAAGGCACTCCAAAACAAACCTAATGATACAACAGCAAGCAATCCACTAGTCTTGAAGAAACAAAATTCAGCCCAATAGAAAGTGAGATAAGTAAATACAAATGTCAACCAACCTACTTCAACGTCATCTCCTACTATTCTTCTTGCCCACAATGCTCCGAAGAATCCAACAACAACTCCAAGAACTGGACCTACAATGGAATTTCTACAGAAATTCAATATAACTCCGCCAAAGGTTACTCCACCTCCGATACCTGCAGCTGCCTTGGATAATTTATTGAAGAATATGAAAAAGACCATAGCTACTCCATCATTTAGTAATGCTTCTCCTTCAATAAGGTGGTTGAATGCTGCACTGGCTCCCAACTCCTTCAACAAGGCAACAACTGCCACAGGATCAGTGGCCGAGAGCACTGAACCAAGGGTGAATGCCTAATACCAATTCATGTCTTCATCACTATAAAAGAGGAACAATTTGAATACAATTCCTAAAAGTATGGCACCCTAAAGCTTATAAATAGATATTTACCCAACCCACTCCAGGTCCTGCCAGAAGTAAGATATTTACCATTTAGTATTTGAATACATACCAATCGCAGTTGAATGCTGATTCGAAAAGCAACACAGGAATAAAAACATAGACAATTAAATGTGGATGCATATGACTTAGTATACTTGCACTTTCTCCTAAATATCCAAGTGAGCTTTACAACAAACCAATCAATAACCCACAAGACAGGACCATTGGAGAATAAGGGAATCTACATCATAATCTTGTTTACTTTGTTTTTTTGTTCACCTCTCTCAAAGCAAGTCCCAAAAGAATGCCAAGAGTAAGCAAGTAAGCCACATTAGCAGATTCTTCCATTTTCTCCTCATCTCTAAACAAGGAGTCTTGGTGCATAACATTTTCTCCCTCAGAATGAGTATCTTCTGCTTCCATTAATTATTTATTTTTATATTTATGTATCACGTTAATTAAAAATAATTATATAAATGTATGAATCATTTGATTTGCAAAAGCTTTCTGATTTCTTCAGCAGACAAGGTCTCCTTCTTGACCAACTCAGTGGCCAACGCTTTAAGTTTATTTTCATTTGATTTCAACAATGTCTTCACTCGGTTATAAGATTCCTTGTGCTAAACATAAGATATACCTCCAGAATCTTCTTTACCTCCATATCAACCATATAATCAAACTAATCACTAGTTTTGACTCTGTCCCCTTGAATAGAAATCAAGGAAATCTTATCATCCATTCCCAATTACTTCACAAACATATAAGCCAAATCTGTTGCTTTTGCCAAGTCATTGCTGCATCCACTCGTAATATCATCCCTTCCAAGAAACAGATCTTCTGCTGCTCGCCCTCCCATGGCCACATCAATTGAGGCGATAATTCCCCTCCTTGTATAGTTCAATTGATCTTTTTCTGGTAGCATTGCTGTCTATTAGAGAATACTAAACAAATATTTACAAATCCCAAGGCTCCTCCTCTAGGCAATATCGTTACTTTATGTAATGGCATAGCTCCAACTGTTAATAAACTAGTGAGGGCATGTCCACCCTCATGATAAGCTGTCATCAATTTCTCCTTATCACTCACATGCATATTCTTTCTTCCTATTCCCATTGATATTCTATCGATTGCAAACTCAAAATCTTCAGTTGTAGCTATTTATCTGTCGTATTTGATTGCATTCAAAATAGCTACATTGACCATATTCTGAATATCAGCACCACTGAATCCACTAGTTTATCTGGCCAAGTTTGAAGGCAAGACTTTCTTTTCTTCAAATTTAATCTTATTTAAATAATAAGAAAATATTTATTCTCTTCCTTTTACATCAGGCAATGGAACATGAATCATCTTATCGAATCTCCCTGGTCGTTTTAATGCTGGGTCTAAAACCTATCACTCTACTAATTTTATAATACTTATTCAAAATTGGTGGCTCCTATCACAATGACACTCTCAGTCTATTTGAATCCATCCATCTCTGTAAGAATTTAGTTTATAGTATCTCTTGAATACCCTGGATCCTAAGCTCTTCTTCTCCCTCCTATACTGTCTATTTCATCTATGAAGATAATTGAAGGAGCCTTAGCCCTCGCTGCTTTAAATATTTCTCTGACTCTTGAAGCTCCAACACCAACAAACATCTCATCAAATTCAGATCCAGATTTGTAAAAAAAGGCGCATCCAGCTTCACCAGCCAATGCTCTTGCCAAAAGAGTCTTCCCTGTTCCTGGAGGTCCAACTAATAGAATGCCTTTTGGTAGTTTAGCTCCTGAGTCAGTATATTTTTTAGGATTCTTCAAAAATTCAACTATCTCCTCCAACTCTTCTTTGAATTCATCTATTCCCAACACATCATTAAAACGAGTAGGAATATTTCTCTCCTCTTGAACACTCTGATTGTTTCGCAATATGTTATAAAATCGATCCATTCTACCTACTCCCTAATCAGAATTCTCACTTTATGCTTTTTCATTCTTAGGCTTTGTTTGATTTGGCTGAAAATAGTAAAATAATTGATATATTATTGCAGCTGTTATAAGTAATTGGATTACCCCTGGCAAAATCAATGATTTACGCTTGTCAGCATACAAGTTAGATTTCTGGTTAGTTATAGCAATCCCATATTGTTCTTGCAATTGCTAAAATTATTTAGGCGTCGCGCCTTCCCTGAAATCTATTAGTTATAACCCATACATGATACCTGCTTGTTTGAATATTTAAACTACCTCCTCGTACATTTGCATGCGATTTAATTATCTAACATAGTTGAATGTTTTTTCAGGATTTTGAGGATCAGAAGCGAAGTCCTTCTGTAGTAAACGCAGGGTCTGAATGTTTTATTAATTGACTAGGAATGTTGAGTCTGCGTGGATGAAAGGCGAGAAATCGAATTAATAATCTGGGATGTTGGCAGATTTCCTAATGAGATCCTCTTTGTTCAATTGAAATGGACTTTAAAGAAACTTAAATGTCGGTTCTTGAGAATTATGAGTAATACTTACTTCTGAATCTGAAAAGTGATTTATACACAAATCCCCAAAGAAACTACCTTAAGAATGATCATATTTACCGGTCCTTTCATTCAATATAAAGCACAAATAAAATATAATTAATGAATCTCGATAGCGCAGCTGACTTTTGTCCCCAATGTCATTTTATGTTAGAACTTCCAGAAGTCATGGACATAATAGAGTGCAACCGTTGCGGATACAAAGTATTCAATCACGTATATGCAATTAGTGTTCCATCACAGATTACCAACCTAAATACATCATTTCAACCATCAAAATGGAACCTAAATCATGGCTATCCAATCAACCCCAAGAGTCTAAACTCTCCGATCAATCGCATAGAGCTGTTATTGAGCAAGTCTGTCCCAAATGTAGCCATGAGGAAGCCTACTTCTCAACCGCACAATTAAGATCAGCCGATGAAGGATCCACTGTATTCTATGAATGCGTCAAATGCCAGTTCCGTTACCAATTAAATAACTGAATTTTCACGTGTAATATATGTATATATTCAATTCACATCGACTAACTAAACAATATTAATTTATGCTCTAAAACTTTATATAAGAATTTGTGCATACTCAATTCACATTGAGGCCATAGTTGTATCAAAGGTGCGGTTTTGAGGCTAGATATTTGTTTAATTTTGGAGAATACTGCGATCCCAGACATTAATTGCCAATCAGCATAGTCATCTGGAGATTGCCCCCTGCAGAACAATTAAAATAAGCAACTCATCCTCAAAATGACATCATCACTTACATCTTAAAGGGGCAATACAGACAAGATAAGTATCATCTCAAGATTATTGTTTAGCTCCATCTCAGAAAATTAATCATTCAAAGAAGGAGATGCTGTTTAATATATTTGTGGAAATGACAATTCATATCACCGAGACAGCAATAACTCTTAGGATGTTTCAGAAATACTATAAATTTTCATCTAAAATATTGATGTCCAAAGGGATACTTGCTAATAACTTTACAAGCATAACTAAATAATAAGAAATGAGAAATATTATGAGATGTGCATATTGCAAGGGGAATCACTTATTGACAACACTAATTTCACCTTTCTTATTGTCCTCAATTTAGATGAAGCCTTATTGAGCATTGATGACAAACTAAACTTAAGAAAGTACGAATGCCAATATTTCAATACCTTAACTAAAATTAAAATTAGTGGTAACAAATATATTGTAATTAAATTGCTTTGATTTTCTATAATAATATAAAATTAGAATTATTTCATTCTTATTATTCAGGGGGCTATGGGATCTTCACCATCTCTTTGTTCTTCAAACAATACATGGCTATAAACTCAAGAGGATCTTTGGGTCTCTCTATGTCTACCAATTGTAAAGCAGGCATTAACAATGGCAGGATTGTCTTACGTAAGTAATCGGCATCAGAGCATTCTTCCAACAATTCCCAATCACTCTTCTTGGGTATTTCAGCCTATTCTTCAGGGATTCCTTTTTCTATTCTTTCAATTTCTTCGTTTCTGTTTCTTTCACATATTTCAATTTGTTTTATGAAGTAATCAGGATCTTTAATAACATCCAAAATGTCCACATGTACTAAGTACTTATTCAAACACTTCTTTCTACTTAGATTTTCCAATGTCACACAGTCTGTCACTTAAACTAAGTTATTTTCATTTCTATATTTTATTAAATATAAATTACTCTTGAATTCCATCATCAAAAAATATGTGAAGTGTATCAGGATCTTATTAATCAACATACAATTATTTAGCATTCTATTCATTTGGTTAGGCTTAATAAAAGTGATAATCATCAACATAGCACAAAGCACAACTCTCCTTCAATGATTCAGTAATCTTTAAAAGCATTTGTGTTTCATTGTAGATTTAGACTTATTCTTCTTCCAATTCCTTTTCGTATCCATCTTCCAATTGTTATTTATCAGTTCTTCTCAATGTTCCTGTCACTAATTATTTCTATTGTCTATAAACTAAGGCACATTGTTTATCCAATATTATATAACTCTTAGTCCCTTTTGATCCGTCAAATTTAACTATGGGAGTATTGTTTCTACCACTAAAACATGGATGTTCTCCTAAACAAAATTTATTAAACTCTCTCAATATGTTTTTTGGATCTGTTCCAAATGGTCGAAATACTACTGCAAATTCTCTCTTCTACTTTTTCAAATTGATTATTGTCTTATAAAATGTAGGTAACAATTAATATTTATTATCTGAAAATAAATTATTTAGCATATCTTTGTCCGATAACAATTAAGTTAAATTTCTTTACTTAACCTCATCTTCATTCAAGAAACCAAATTCCTCAGCTTATTGCTTTAATTCTTCAATCACAGCCTTTGGCAAAGTCTAATGTATGCTAATAATGAACACTATACAATCAATTTAACAATCCTGTCATATTCCGGTTTCAACTTCATACATGGTTACCCTAATTTGACAAACTGAAAATATAATTATTTGCGTTATTCTCTAGTATAAATTATTAATCTATATTACATTGCACTATTATTATATTCTGTAATATCATCTGGATCTCCTTCGGTTTTCAGTGGAAACTATTCACATATGTATTCCTTATAAGAGATCATATCTTCACTAGGTCTGATTGGAGTGAAGTTGTTTGTTAATAATTTCCATAGGACTGGGGATTTCTCATCTCTCTACTCTAATTTACCCCATGCATATCCAACAAGGATTTCTTGTAACTAAAACTTAAGATTTCTTTCCATACACATTCTTCTTTGGTTTGATTTGTATATTTGGAATCTGCCAAAAGAATAGTTTTATTCAAATCAAAATGTAGCACTAATTTTTTTTGCTGTTTCATAATTTAATTATATATTATTTAATTATATTTCATTTCAGTGTTTGAAACACAGACATTTTTTATTATTTCTTTTTAAAAGAAAATTAATCGAGCACACTTTTCTTCTTTGTGTTAACCAAACCTTTAGTTGAGTTCATTTTATTCTACTCCTCTTCATATTGAGCAATTAGCCCTAAATAATACTAAGTACTGTTTTGTAATTCCTAAATATAAGTAGATGAATACTTCTTTGGGGTCAGATCCAGAATTTCGTTTTCTTTACAATTCAATCATATATAAGCAAGTTTTATATTTTGATTTTCTTTTATCGTAAATGATCTTGACTTCAGAAGCCACTGTAGGAAATTCCTTCAGGAGATTTCTAAAAATATCATATGAACAGAAGAATCTAAATAATTGATAAAATGTACAAATTAGTAGGTTCTTTGGCTATGGCAAAATACTCTCTATTAATGTCTTCAAATGCTTCTATTTCACCAAAAAATGAGGCTTCCAAAAGGGTAATTAAAGTATATTTGTCATGAGTAACAAAATTGACTTTCCCTTTTTCGATAAAATATATGTCGGTTGGAGGATCATCCTGTCTGTATATGATTTCTCCAGGATGGACTTCTAAGAAATTGAGATGAGGTAAAATAGTAGCTGTGAAATTCTTATCGATCTTAAGTAATGAGACACTATCAATCAAATATTTATAACAAATCATCAACAATTCATTACGAATTTATGATGGTAGTTCCTATATCAACTTTTTAGGTTCGAGAGATGAATACACATTTTTTAGATAGTTATTTCTATAGTACTTATGTACTTTGCATTTTAGAGCATAAGGTAATTTAACTCTGACTGAGAAATCATTGAACAAATGCATTCTTCTCTCAAAATCAACCCATTTTTTATCTACATTTTCCAAAATAGATGACAATTTTCCCAAAGTATAAGAAAAGAATCCAGTACCAAATATCATCCAAATTATAGCAAACACTCTTTCTTCGATTGTAGTAGCCTTAATATCACCATAGCCTACAGTAGTGAGAGTCTACAGACTCCATTCAAAAGCAGCTATGTATTTATTATAGAGAGTGGCATCTTCAAGATGTGCTTAAGTGACCCAGGTGTTTGGATCGAATTCATTAAATTTTGCAATGAAATACCAAAAGCAGGCAATGAGATGATTGATCAATAAAATTTTGCCCAAGAGAATCAGTCCCTTGATGATACCTTCATTGATTCCTAAATAAGAGAGGATTCGGGCTGCTTATGTTTTGTTTTTAATATTCAAATTAGCTTTTGAAATCTTTAATAAACGAACTAACCTATATAAACGAGGCAATCGAATTAATCTTAGCAATTTATTGTATCTAAGCGCTGCAGTATCAGTCTGGTCATCGAGGAAATAGGTAATTGGTAAAACTGCAATAACATCAACTGTAAACCATCCATATAAATATTATTTGGCTATCATTCTATAATTGTCAACAATTTTCTGTTCCTCATCATAGAATGCACTCAAAAAGTTTATGATTATATCTGCAAAGAACAAAACATCAAATATAACATCTACCCAAAACCAAAATCCTTCATTTCCAGAATCAATCTATTAATAGTAAATGTAATTTCATACAAAGCACACTTTAAATGGTGTAATGACTGCTGTTGCCAATAATAAAAATATCAATAACATATTCCAAAACTGTTTTAAATTATTCATCTGGGTAAAATACATATACCTTCTTTTCTTCTTGATTTGATTTAAAAACCTCATCCTCAATCAAATCCATATGATCATCTTGTCTAATTGCTCCATAAATCTTAACTCTATTCTGAAAGGATCTCATAATGCCGATAAAATAAGATGCCAGAAACACTCTTCTCCAAACAGAAACTAGTCTTTGCTTCTTCCCTTCATCTAGCTTCTTATAAAACGAGAAGTTCTAAAGAAAATCTAACTTCCTGAAGAAGACATTAAAAACAGTGATTTATGAATTATTCATAATAATTATTTAGAATCACCTTCATTATAACTAAAATCGATGATATGACAATATATAATCAATTCTAATAGGAACTCTATCTGACCCTTTATGCCATCTCTGGAGGTAACTTATTTGGAGGTCCTTGTTTTGATCCAAATTCTTTTTGATGGGTTTAATAGTCATTTCTACAATATCCTAATTAAAAGTGATGTGTTCTCAAATCCTAAAAGATGTATGAACAATAAACTTACTTTTTTCATTTCTGCATCCATTTTACTTGGTTGTCCATGAGGATTCTTGAATTATGCCTTTGCCACTGATTCAGTTGTGTCTTCATCAGTTCCAAACTTAAAGTGATGTTTCCTTAACTCAGCTTAGACTTCTTCCTGCAATTTTCCTGGCTTCGAATGAAAATCTCTGAACCTAGCTTAAGCCTCACTCTAATAACTCAATTTATCATTTCCAATCATGATATTCTTGGAATTATCCACTATTGGATTAACTTTCTCAGCCTTTTATCCATCAAATTATTGATTATATGTGCTTTTATAATGTTCTTATACGGTAGGTCTCGACAACTTCATCTTTAAGATCAAAATGGAATTTGATTGAAAAATTATGGGATTCCTAACCTATTCTTATTGTCCTTTTCTATCTGAGAACTAAGATCTGTAAGCTGATTGATAGTTGACAGCTTATTCATTTCCTACTTGAAAATGAGTAGCTCTCAAGTCTTTTAATTGTGCCTCATTTAATATGGATCTATCACCTTGATTGCCTACATGAGAAGCCTTAGCTTAACTTGTGTATTCGACTCTGTCTGTACCCATAGTTATGTGTGTATTTCTAACTAATTGTTAGGTTTTGTCTTGAAAATTGTTCACTTACGCCTAGGGTTTACCATATATAGCTTAATTCTGAGTTGTGTAACCATTGCCATCTCTTCCCATCACCAAATTGGTTTTTCTTAATTGAACATTCATTTCTGCCATTCTTTCTTTTGAGTATCCCTGTCCTAATAAAGCCTTGTCATATTGTTTGTTATGCACAGTATCGTACATTGAGGAGTAGTAATTATTCGTGTCCCCAAAGTCGTGATGATGTTTACGTAAATCTGCATTATCAGCCTTCTTGAAATTGTTTTTGCCTTGATCTGCAAAATTCTATTCGTATTCAGTTGGCTTATTGTAATCGTGATAACCTAGTTGGAAATGATGAGATCTCAAATCTTTTTTTGTCTCATCGCTCAATTTAGCAACAGCTGCACTTTAGGGTCTTTAATAGTCAGATTTTTATATGGACTCCAATTTAGGTTTGTCATCTCCCAAGTGAAAATGATTCTATTGTAGTTTAGGAGGTTGTATGGGCTACTACGGTTGCAGTTATTCTAACTTCTAATCCTTCTCCACAACAGATGTCATTGGTCTCACTTTGGCTGCCTTCTACATTGGCATGGGTTGTTTGGCCACGGATTGATGGTTTGTGTCCTCATCAAATCCAAAGTGAAAGTGAGCCTTCCTCAATTCTTAAACATGTTTTAGTCTCTCAGCAGTTGCATTTGAACTCATGTTATAAATAATTTAATCTGTTATTCAAAGAATATTAAATTATGTTAACTAAAATCTTATTATATAAGTCATTTGTTACACCACTTCTAGAGAGAGACAGTACCATTTACATGCTTCCCTTAATTAAATTCAAGTTAAAATATATTTAATATCAAATTCTATTGATGAATGTAAGATTTTTATATTTTATTTGTTCAATAAATTAAACAAAAATAAATGACATCATCTACTTCACTTATATACAAACAACAGTATTTCTTATATATATCATTAAAATTAAATGCTTAGAATCATTTTGGCATTCTCCATAATATTTTAGTCTCTCTGCACAAAATCAATCCTCATCCTAAGACATGGAGCTCGAGATCCCCAAGTTTGGACTGAATTCGATCAACTCTATCTGTGGACTAATCCCATTAAAATCTTAACTCAGAAAGGAGTCGATTAATTGATAGAGGTTGGCACTTAATAATAAAGATAATCAATTTTTGACTCTTAAGGCAATTGCATTTATGAGATGTTAGAGATTCAATCATCAAAAACAGCTAGGTGTACTTCTTCCACTGTTTGTTTCATAATTGGATTGTGTCCTAAAAACTACAAAGAAATTCTACATAGATTTTTTAGCGAATATTACTCAAACAGGGTCTTGAGTTAAAAGAAGTTTTAAAAAATTTTAGAATCTGATTTCTCGGATCCCTTGTCTCTCGATTACGATATATTTGATACCACAGGAGATTTCATGTTCCAAGGTCATAAAACAAAACAGTGTCCCAATTTAAAACCAATTAATAGCAATGTTCAAAATAGCAAACAATACAAAAACAAAGAAAAAGAATTTAAACAAATGGATTAACTAAACGGAGTGTATGAAATTATGGTAAAAGCCTATCCTAGTAAAACTATTGATAAAAGTGCACTTACCTTAACTGATGTTGATGATATTTATGATGATACATTTTGCAATTAATTTGAAGGATTCCTCTTTCCCAATCCCTCATTGTCTACCTATAATTACATGGGAGATGTTGTTAAGTTCCTCAAATACTTTGGACAAAATTCAGAGATGTTTCAGCATTAAGCCTCTCTTACAGAGCCATTTAAATGGATCATTTCATAATTTTACTCTCAAGAATAGTTTAGTGTCTATATTGGTACTGAATCCAACTAATTTGCTATGCTTTCAGTTTTAGTTGACGAGCAGTATCTAACACCATTTGCCTCAGAATTGGAATTTATTATAAAAGGGAATATGGTTTATATCTACTTCAACAAAGTCTAACTGAAAACCAAAATGTGTGAAAGTGGTTATTACTGCACCATTGATTAGGTTGTTCAATTCATGCATTAATACATTGTTCAGGACGTTAGATAACTATGTGGACTTTGAATTTATATTTTATTATAATTTGAAAAATTAATAAATTTATTAAATTATTTAGTCTTTATAATTCAATGATAATATTAATCAATAAATTAAATAAAAATTTGTGTTTGAAAAAATTGTTTCCAAATTACTTGATCAGAATTTACTGTTCCCATATTTTACAATGTCTTTTAGGCTATTCTCTCATAATCTAGTAATACTTTATTAATAGCTTTTGAAGTTTAATAAGTATTCTATCTAATTGGTTCTATTGGAATATTTCTTATTACTCTTGCATGAAACAACTAATTAAAAATTTACAGACATTAACTGTAGTTACTATGATTTGACTAACATTTTTAAAAGTACGAATCTAACCTTCCCAAAAGATGAGCCATTAATTCGGCTGATAAAAGTGGAATTTAATCTGTGTTTCCAAATTATATCTATTATTTGCTATCCAAATTAATAAAAATAGCATTCTAAAACTTATTAATAATCCCTTGACTATATAGAATAGAGAAATTCTAGATTATACAAGAATACTTACACATTCTATGCCTGCAATTATTGGCACAGGACTTCCTAAATATGCAATATTTTCCAAAGGCAAGTTACTAATTATTGGATGAATCCATGCAAATGGTTTAAGTAAGTACTTTTAACACAGTAAACATGCTGCAGTTGATAAATAAGGCGATTTGCTAACAAAAACAATTGATTTCTCAATTAAACAACTTAAAAAGATTTTAATCAAACTTTAAGAATCTAATTTCTTAAATAATTGTGGAATTCCCTAATATTTCAAATATCAATACCCATTAAATATTATCATTTTCGCTTATTTTTAATTCTTGATTATTAATTGTAATGAAATTTGGGTAGTTCTTTTAAGATAACTGTGATAATATCCTCAAACATATTTAAGCAATATTCTTATCAAAGTAATTTGAATCTGCTAACGAAATGTTGTTTGTTCTCGAATAAAGGTTACTTCTCATGGATTTTAACTAAGATAAAATTACAATTAGGATTTGCTGATAAAAGTCAACTAAACATTTGCTGGTTGTAAAACAAATTGCTCTTTTGCTAAATCTGACCTACAATGGGCTTAAAACTGTAAAATCATTGTAACGATAACAAATATGATATTTTAATTATTGTTTCTCAGTTTACTTGGTCAGAATAACAAAACAATTGGGGGAATCTATCTGATAATTATGATTCATCATTAAGTTGATGTCTTCCAAACTAAAAGCCAAAGGAAGAACTATAGGTTTGCATCCGTCTGGTAATATGAATTTGGAAATAGAGAGAATTTGTTATTGATTTTCTAGCTTGACTATAAATGTTTACTAAGTTGATTGTATGAATAAATCACTTATGGTTCATTTTATTGTTCTTATCCTAATCCTAAAATGAATAAATCATCAAACAACTATTCATTGTTAACTCTTGCATTATTAGTAGTAGCAGTTTATATATCAAAATAATCTAAAGCCTTTTGCCTTACTTATTAAGTAGATTGTCTAAATTGAGAGATATTAAAATTGTTGCTATTTTAAAGAGGAGCTTTTAATTTAATCTTCTAGCCTGAACTCTAAAATTATTCCACTCTGCTATCGCTAATTGCAGGTTCTGAATTCTCATCTATATTGCAATCTTCATCAGAGGAGACATTTTGAATAAATATTGATTATTTTTGACTTTTAAGCAATTAAACTTCTTGTCTACTAAATTCTAACTACTATTCAAGTGCTTAAATATAACAATCCTTTTCATACAATAATTATAGTAATTGCCTTTAAGATAAGTGATCCATAAGAAAAATATATATTTATTAAAATACTCAAATTTAAATCGAAATCCCATTAGTCGTTGGTTAACTATTTTCAAATTAACCTAAAAATATAATCACTATATTTTAACCTAAAAATGAATTCTTCCTCTATTTAAAACTACTAAAACGATTAGTCTTATTATTTATAGATGTTCATTTTAAAATGTATTTTTAGTAATATCCTTATCATTGACGTTTTTTCGTTATTGGTGATCTTACAAATAAATTGATATTCTCCTTTTCGAAAGAGCAATCCAAGACTTTGACTTCAATTAAGTGATTACTCTCTTGTAATATAGAAAATTCATTCTTTTTTACAGGGTCAAGCTAAAATATCATAGAAAGTACGTTTAGGAAATCAACTGAGTAAAATTAGGTAAGTACAGTTTTACATCATAAAGTAATATTTTGGAGATGTAGGAAGTAATGATTAATTGTTCTTTATTAATAATATATTATAATCATTTTATATAAAGCAGACATGATCTTAATGAATATCTTATAATTATTTCTCTTCATTCTCCATATTAAATAACATATTTTTCTAACTCTAATAGTTCATTTTTGTTCTTCTTAGTAACTATAAATTGAATTCTATCTCTTTTTGATGAAATAAATTCATTTTTAATATTATTAATTTAATTATAAATCCATGTCTGATACTAAATTAGTTGATGAAAACTCTTTAATTGGAATAGCAGCTTCATTTTGGTAATAATATTCAGCGAAGACTCCTTAAAAATTGAAAATAATGGATGCCTTTTCTTTGTATTGCTTTATATTAGTCATAATTCAATTATTTTATTGTGCATTGGTAGGTGATTTTCCTAGAAATTCATTTCTATCAGGGATATTTGCATCAGCAGGAGCTATGATAATTAATAGTAAGCATTAAAATGTGATAATTAGTTTGTTTAAGAAAATAACTAAATCCTGAAACTAGATACATGGAAATTTCGAATGAGAGAGCCTTTTGGGAATATTTGGCAGCTATGGTTGTGCTGTTTTTGACTGTGATAAACTTCTTGGGTTGAATGATATTACATATATAATAGATATATATCACAAATCTAAATGACTTTTATTTGGGATGAGGTAATTGGGTACATTTGCAAAATAAGGTGGAATGTTATATTACCCAGGTCCTGGTCCAACATCATTTCTATCAGTCACTCTTGATTCCGATCCGAATCTAAATGAAATAATAGTTTTCATAATTACGGGAATTTTGGTCCTGGATTGGTTTAATTGAGTTGATAATGATTAGGAGCAGGATTATCGTTGAGTTTGCTTTTCTCTCTAGCTTCAGTGCCAACTCTGCAAGACATAGGTCTGGATTTGGTTTATGAGACATTTGGATAGTAATCCAAGGGACCTGGAGTTCCATCTGGTAATCTATCAGTGTATTTTGGTCTAAGAGTATATCCTTTGCTTCCTCCATCTCTGCTGATGTCATAGGTTCCAGGACCTGGAACTTCTTGTTAATTGACAAGCCTTCTCTACTCTGATCCAATTTTATGGCTGGGAGGTCTTCTCTTGGTTGCACTCTAAGACTAATAATGTCCAGGTCCTGGAGTGTAATGTGCATCAAAGACTTATCTTTGTTTGGCAGTTCCCACTCTTCCACCAGGGACTGAACGTTTGGTGAAATCAGTTGAAGGATCATAATGTCCAGGACCAGGAGCAGAATCGGCTGCAGTAGGCATTCGCTTTGAACTGATAGTAGTAGCTTTGAGATTCAGATGAGATTGATGCATATATTATCCAGGTCCTGGAGTTTGGACTCTTTCTGTGAATGTAGAATCCCTTATGGCATTTCCAAATCTATGATAAGGTCCCGATGTTGCAGGACGCATATTATACTTACCAACTCCAGGAATAAAGGGTTTGGTATCATAGAAGCCTCCTCTATTTTGATTGCCAATTCTGGAAGCAGGTCTGCTGAGAATGGTGGAATAGTTGGTTTCGTATGCTGCAGGACCAGGACCATTTTTGAGTTCTCTTAGATTGTCATCGATTCCTCCTAATAGTGGTTTGTTCCTCATGCTATAACTGGAAGCACACTTTTGCAAAGGTTTAAAATTCGGGTTGTATGCACCAGGTCCAGCTAATTGTTAAGTACTATTTTACGAGTGATTCCCTTGCCCACTTCTGTGTGATTTTAAAATTTAGCTCCCATTGAGAATTCAGGCTTTTTCCTTTTCTGATAATTCGATATAATATTTTTACGATTGCTTTTTAAAGTTCATCATACTAGCCTGGTCCAGGTTGATATGCTATTTACTAGCCTATTCGATTGGCAGTTCCAATTCTAATTTTAACTGATTAAAATGTACTTCCAAGAAGGAGGCCTTTGATGGGGATATCTATCAGGGTTGTAGTTCTAAAGTATAATGTTATTCATACCCCTACTCCAGGAGCGGATTCGACTTTTGGGGGTGGTCTTTGTTGAGATGTTCCAAAAGAATAAGCAGCCATAATAATTAATAAAATTAAATTATAAAGTTCATTCCCATTCTCCATAGTCTTATCCAAAAAGTCTCTTTTTAATAAATAAAAATGGTAACAAATGTGGCAAAACAAGTGCTTATATTAACTATAAAGTAAGGAGGATCACTGAGAATACGGGTTATTTTGGTTAGATAACACTTTCTAGTTAATCTTTCCATTCCTCATCTCCATTTTTAATGTTTTCGTATACATTGATGAGCACCATCAAAAGGAAACCAAAACTTGCCAACAAAGTCAAATATGTCGATAGGTACAAGTAACTTACAATACCTCCAATCAGAAATTTACTTTGCCCTAAATTCTTTTTAATTTTCTTAAACTGTTGCTTGTCATTTGCTCCCAAAGACAATTGTAAGTTCCCTTTGGCTTCCGAACATTTTTCATGAATCAATCTTGATATCTATTGATCATCGAAATTGCATTCCTCCACATACTTCTAGAATTATTATTCGCTTGGGAAGTACTTGATCAAATTATTCTGCATTATATATAGTCTCTATTATGCCTTGAGGATATTATCATTGTCTTGAATCAAGTCATTGCTCAAACAGTTATTGTAACTCATCAACAACACAGACACAATGCTACCAATGAACAAAAATATTATGTTGTATAGTATAAAGAGGCATTCTGATTTGATTTAGAACCTATATATTAGTCTGCATACACCTAAGCCAAAGAAGATGAATAAAAGCACCAAAAAGATAGTGAAGATGATGGCCTTTCTAATGTGATAATACAGTAAGAGTCCTCTGTCATCTTCTTTACTTTTATCCAATCTCATCATCTCTCTTTTGGTGGACAGAAATGAGAAAGCAAATAGCAACACATAAAATTACAATCCATTGAAGATAATCCCAAATCCTAAAATAATTCCACCATGATCCTTCTCATCCTGCTTGTCATCATTTTTGAAACCTATCAAAGAGAAATACGAATTAAAGATGATATAGAAGTAAGGTTTAGTTAAAAAGAAAATTATGTATTTGAGAGATTCTAAAAACTTGTTCTGCAACATAGTACAGCATTGCCCAATAGAGAAACAACATTTGCATATGCATTTCTATTCCCAAGGACACCCTTCGCAGAAGCAATCGTAGCAATTACATATTATGGTGCCATCGTATTCATGCAAAGTCTTTAATTCCTTTTATTCTTTAGATTATGATCTCAATGGAGATGTTGTGTTCTTTCTAGAGGGTGCATCGACTATTTGCAAATCCAAAGTATCTAAATAAGTAAAAATAGTTTTTGCTGAAATTTATTGCAAAATTTACATAGGATATAATTGGTCATCGTTTTAATTCCAATCTCCATCTTCTTTTCTATCATGTCTCTTCTGGCCATATACAAGTAGAATGAAATCAGAATGAAATGTATTGAGAGAATAGTAGAACTTGCAATTATTTAAATCATAATAATAATTATATTATGATTTAATCAATGTTTAATGCTTCACATTTATATATATAATAATAGATAATTTATTAATCCCAATTTCAATATGCATAAGTAACCCAAACAAACCACTCCCAAAAATGTAATCAAATAAACTCCCCTCAACACTTAAGAAATACTCTAAAGATTAATGAAAAAAAATTCTAAATCGAAATTACAATTAATAGATATAGCAGATGATACAAGGATTGTTAAAAATGAGAAATACGTTTCTAAATCACCTTGTTCAGGATGGCAAAGCTTTAGAAATTAAAGTTCTGAAAGAGCGATTCATAAAATAAGGCATTAATCCAATGAGGATTTGTAAAAAACTCTTAAGAAACCATGCCATCTAAATCATGTAAGCTCAATGATTGGATTTCAATAAAAAGATTTCATTTAGAATGCAAATGCCTTTCTGAGAGAAAAGAATCTTGAAAACAAACTTGATACTTTGACCCAATAGGTCTCGAAATTAAGGGAAAAGTCGGAATAATTGGAATTTTAGAATAAATTACTTTTTGACAATTTATAAAAGTATAAATGCGAAGGCAATCAAGTAATTTTTGGGTTATCATGAAGGAAAGAAATGCCTTGCTTGAAAGGCTGGATCACATGATTGAAATGCAATAGAAACAGGAAGAGAATCTCTAGCACATTAAGACCTTATTCGGTGACAATTCCAGGAGAATAAAGACCCAACAATCCCAACCCAAGCAAAGGAGTTTTGGAAAATCTGCCTATATGGGATTCAATGTGTGAAAATGTTTATATTTAAATTATCTGTTAATTATTTATGAAACAACCTCAAATGCAACACAAAAGTTGGTTATAATTGCAGAGATTTGAAGAGTACGAAACGAATAAAAAAAAATACCTTGAAAAGGAACAAGAATTGAAATTCAAGGGTTAAGATTAAAACGCTCAACAAAAGCAAATTAATTGGATTGGAGACATACATGAAAGATAAACCCTATTGCAGAAGGCCAAATGGAAGTGGATAGAGGAGTAGAAGAAACAGTTGGAATAGAAAAGAGAGATGCATCAATTGGAAGGAGCCACATTTCATCCGTAAATTTTGAATAAGGATTAAAGAATACGCACTCCTGAACAATTCTATAAAGATAATATAGATTATAAAAATAAAACTGTATAAAAATCATACATCCTAAATTTAGGAAAAACAAATATAGCAATTAATTAAGTAAAAGGAAGACTCAATTAATAACAGAAGTTGTTCTCCTAAACTAAACAAAAAGTCGGTATAGATGGTTGCGCAACCCTTTTATGATAGATTGAAAGATAAATAGTTAGAGAAAGAATAGAATTTATTAAAAATTAAAAGCAGCATTACACCCTCGTTCAGTCCTTAAATATTTTCTCGAAACTTTTAGAGTCGCTAAACCTATCAAACTGTTCAACAATTTGCCAATTAGAATTCAAGCAAAAATAAAACATTTGAAATGGATTTGGAAAATGTTAAAAGTGATTATAAAACTTTCACATTTTTTGAAGACATAAGGAGATTCTAGCATTCCCCATCAGAAAATTGTCAATAGAATGTGGAGAAAATAACCAAAAATCTGCTGTTATTAACTGAAAACAGTTAAATCTTAAATGCATAATAGAGTCCGTAATAATGTACGGCCAAAAAGCAATAGAGATCTGTAAGTCCTTTAAAATCGATTATGTCAAAAACCACCTAAAAAAATTACTTTAAAAAATGATTTAATATTTTAATTATTCATTCTATTGGCTATAAATTTGTGTATAAGAATATTTGGGAAGTTCTCATTATATTTTATTTTAGGAATATGTGTGATAAATTCAAATAGTCTTGAATTCAATATGTATTTATAAATAAATTTAATCTATAAAAAGTTAAAAGCCAACATTAAAAATGGGAGCTTGTCACACCAAAAGGTCAAGAAGATAGAGCAATGAATGGAGGGCTAGTGAAAGACTCACCTCAGAAAGATTAGATTTCATTTTCTAACGGTTGTCCCTATATTTAGAACTCGTTGGAGACACTCACTCGTTAGGAGGATACTTGTAAGAAAAGATAAATGAATTGTTTTAAATAAAATAAAATCTACTCCTAGTTAAAGATCACTTAAAGAAAATAGAATTACTTCATCAAGCATCTGAAGTAATCGAATACTTGTACGATGATAAACACTTCAGCTAGGCTTTCCCTATTTTAAGGGAAAGCTTGTATGAAATCACACAATTGACATTAGTCACAGAGTGATTTACACTAAGCGTTTTTCAAATGATGATTTTTTGTCATTCAATAATTTTTATTCATAAAATCAATACTTAAAGCATTAAGTCTTCTAATGAGAAAATCAACTTAAAATGATTGAAATCCAAAGATAACATGTACAGGAGTGATGAGTTATTTATATTCAATAATATTCTATAAAATTTAAGGTTGGGGTTATTAATTTTGAATATTCTTAAACCAACAGATTTTATAATATGACAATTATTACAAGAATATAATGGAGTAACTCAGACAATCGAAAAAGCTATCTTAATGATTTGGTTCAGAAATGTAATTTAAATAAATCTGATTCATTAGTATTTTATTGAATTATAATGTCTCAACCAGAAAATAAGTAACCGAAACCATTGAAGGAAGTCTTGGGATTGAAATATGTCTTTGGTTTTAGAGGTGACATCAAAAACTCAATCCTGTAAGGGACCCAGACAAATGTGTAGGAGAAATCAACTAAAACTAAATTCATATACCCAGCAGCAAATAATATAGTGATTTTTGATCCCATAGCCGATAAGAATAAGTCTTAGGAAATCATATAGACAGTATTAGGTAGCAAAGGTGTTACTTGCTTAACTATTTCCCCATCCAGAAGGTAGATTCAAAATTGTATTTAGGTATATCGCATGGTCGGAAGAGAGCGATGCTGGAATTATAGTAATATTAGACTTAAACACTCGAAAAACTAAAATATTGAGTACTACAGATTGCAAATCCCGTTATTACGTGAGTCTCGATTTTTCAAGGACAGAAGAATCCAAATATTTAGTAGCTTTAAGTGCTCCTCCAGAACAAATGTTGATTCATTGGGCCTGGGATAAATCAAAGTGTCTAGGAAGCACCATAATAAATGCTAAAGGGGATTCGATTAAATTCCATCAAGTTTTTTATCATCCAAAAGAAGATGACTTTGTATGCGTTATGGGTAATGGAGCTATCAAACCTTATAAATTGATACCAGACAACCCTCCAAAACCAAAAGATTCTCCTTTCTAAAAGAAGAAGGAAGTAAGCATCTAACATTATTTTATAAGGAAACCCATTCTACTAATTTCCTCTCGTATTGTATCTTGAGTGATTCTAAGACTATGGTAGTAGGAACAGATAGAGGTGAGGTCCTATATTTTAATGAGAATTGCGAATTCAAACTAGTACTTTCACCACTTTAAAATTCTAATTAACAATCCATCGAAGGATTCCCAATAGAATGCATAGTCAAATATTCAAATGGGTTTATTGTTGGTGGAAGTGATTGCATGATCTACATTTATAGAAAACATGAAGGTGATCTTAAAAATCCCTATGTTCGAATTGATAAAAGAATATAAAACAAATAAATAATGGCCAAAATTACAAGTTTATGCCTTACAAATCAAGAGGGATAATCTAATCTTTGGAGTTGAATCTGGTTAAGTGTTCAGCATTCCTTTTAGTGCAGATAGAGAAGTAGCAAATGAAGATGAAATAAAATTTGATCATTTGATAGCACCATTCCACCAGTGGACCAATTACAGGCTTGGATGTTTGTACTAGAAAGTCATTAGTAGTCACTGTCTCAGATGATCGAAGTATTAGGATATGGAATTTCAATGAATTGATATTGGAAGTGATGAAAGAATGTGAGGATACACCTTTGGCTGTAGCTATTCATCCTTCTGGATTTCATTTGATTGTTTCCTTTTCTGACAAAATTGTACTTTACAATCTATTTGAAAAAGATTTAAATTCATTTAAAGAAATTCATATCAAGAATTGTCAATAAATTAAATTTGCTCATGGAGGTCATTTATTTGCAGTCGCCAATCAGAACTTAGTTTAAATCTATCAATTCTACACAGGTGAAAATCCATAGAATTACATATTCAAATAATCCACAGGAAACATCTCCACTATTGAATGGGATATTGATGATTTAGGATTCTATACAGGAAGTGACAATGGCTTTGTACTCTATTGGAGATTGGAAGATAATTAAAATAAATTATAGTTGGCTATGATTCAATCTCAACCTATTGAATGCATTTGTACTCCTAAAACATATGCCAATATTGAACTTTAAAAAGTGTATATAGCAGGTCCATATGACGGATAATACTGTATCTATGAATCTCAGCATCATACCAAGATTCACAAGGAAGCAACTGAGGGCACAAAGAAGGAAATTCCTCTCTATCCCATTTAAACTGGATGTAGAGTAAGCAAAATGGCAATCTTTAATAGTGAAAAGATCATGTTATTTGCTACTTGTCAATTGGCTAACTCATCTGAATTCACTCAAAAGTAAAACATTAAAAACATGAAATTTGAACCAGGGGGTCTCAGATTTGCCAAATATCCTCTTGCACCAGAGGAAATCATAGAAATATAACCACATATTAAAGGAATTACATAGATGAAGGTATCCTATGATGATTCCTATGTCTTTACTGCTTCGTATGATAATTCCTTGATTATTTATGATGTTAAAGATTAGAGTTCCAAAATAGAGTTCAAAGATGGAGGATAGGCTTATGGCGTTTAGGCTTATGCTGACGAATTCTTGATGCAAAGAGATTAATATAAGAAGAAGATTGCGAAGATTGAGGATCTAAAATAAAAGATTAAAGAACATGATATCAATTAAAAGATTAAGTAGAATATGTACACAAAAGAGAAGGATGAATTGATTAGAAAATTGGAAGAATAAATTGATTAATTGGAAAAAAGAGAAAAAGCCAAAATACAAGAATTAGAGAACACTATCAATAAATTGGATAGTGATTTCAAAGAAGAAAAGAAATAATTATACGAAAACCATGAAAAGAATAAAAAAACTACTGAAAATGATTTTAAATAGAAAATGGCATTGGAATCTTAAAGATTAGAGGAATTAACCAAAGAGAAATAATTGAAACTTTAGGAATTCCAGAGATATATCAAGGAATAAAAGGATAAGAGTACAGAAACTAAAAATGAGAAGAAAAGAGAATATGAAAAGTAATTAAAAAAAGAATAAGAATTGTATGAATAATTATAAAGGGATAAGGAAGAGAATCAAAGAAGATTCATTGAGGAGAGAAATAAGCTAGAAGATGATGCAGAGAAAGAAATAGATAAGAAGAAGGAGATTAATGAGGCTGAAATGAAGAAACTATCAGATGAATTAGATAAAGCTGAATTGGAAAAGAGAACGAAAAAGACTGAATTTGACAATGTGTAATCTACTTTAGAATAGGCTAATTCCAAAGTTAAGGAAATTATGGAAGATATTGCATAAAATCAAGAATTAAATAGATAATATCAAAAGGAGAAGGAGAGCCATGATAAAGAAATAAAAGAGAGAGATAAAACAATATAAGATAAATAGAAGCGTATTTATGAATTAAAGAAAAAAACATAAGAACTAGAAAAGTTTAAATTTGTCTTGGATTATAAAATAAAAGAATTGAAGAGAGATATTGGACCAAGAGAGGAGGAAATTACAAAAATGAAAGAATAAATTACTAATATGAATACAGAAATCTTGCATTTCAAAAAAGTTAATGCAAATCTTGGTTTGATTGTAACTGATTTAAACTTGAGATAAGCAGGAATGAAACAAGAAATCGAAAATCAATAGCAAGTTATAGAAAGCAATTCTTAATATATCAAAGCATTTGAATATGATATTTCAGAAACTCATGCACATATAAGTGTAATTAATTATTATAATTATTTAGGATTTTAAGAGACTAAAGTCTGATATGCTGAAGTTGTTTAATAAATATGTTTAGAGTGTAGTTTCAAAGAAGAAATTTGAAAATGTAGATGTCTAAAAGGAGTTTATTAAGGAGAGAGCCCATTTAGAAACAACGAATAAAGGATTGAAGGAGAAGTTTTCCAAGAAATTGAGAGTTCACAAATAGGATAACAATAGAATTATGAGTTAAAATGTAGATCTGATTAGTGAGATTAATGATTTGAGGAGGGAGATTAAATTGTTGTAAGACGAAGAAGATTTGAAGCGTCGTTAAATTGAGTAGATGAATGATCAACCCGAGGAGAGGGAACTTGATTAAATGATTGAAGAATAAGAAATAGAAATTAATTAATTTAGAGAGAAATTGCAATTCCTTAAAGAGGCAGTTCAATAGAGGAGATTATAATAAAATATCGGTTCTGATAGTGATCATTAGGAATTTTAATAAGAATGAAGAATTATATTTAGATATAAAATTGTAATTAATTTACAAGCTAATAATTTTTTACATAAATTAATATTAATGATTCTTAAGAGAGGTCTGAATTTCTCACGTCTCATAAAAGAAGCTACAAAATTAATACATGGAAAACAGTATGTCGATCATTTTTGGTATTTGAAATCAAAGTATGCTATTTTTATCACAATAGTCCAGAGTCACTCCAACCTCTTATAGATAATGAAACATAAATAAAAAACACATTTTACGAGCAACCTTAAATAAAAGAAATATTTAATGATTATTATTAAGTATCTTATGGCAGAAAAGATGGACGGACTCATGATATCCCTGAATTATATGACGAATATGAATATAATGGAAGATTTGCGTATTTTGATACAGGCAATGATTATTAGATAATTGAAAGATCTCTAAAAGGAGGCGAGAAAGAAGTTGTTTTAGATTTAAAAAAAATATCATTTTTGAAATAATATCATGCAACAATGAAGTTAACAAAGTTAAAGATTTCTGATGATCATAAATTAATAGCATTTGGAGTTGATTTGTTAAATAATGAGGATATAATTTGGTTAATGAAGTACATAGACGATGACAAAGCGTTTAGAACAAAGTTGTTTGATTGTTTTGATGCAGCTTTTACTAAGGATAATACGCATTTAGTATATACCTAATATGATGATAAATTCAGACCATATAGATTGATGTTACATAAGTTGGGAACAACTCAGGAGGAAGATGAGTTGTTATTTGAAGAGAAGGATGAACAATTTTATTTAGATTTACAACAAACTAAAGATGGAAAATATTTTGTTTTGTTAAGTTAGACAAAGTAAAGCAACGAAGTGATTTTGATAGATCGTGAGGATCCTAAGAAATAGTAACTCTTGTTTTCGAGAAAGGAAAATGCAATAAACTTAGTTCATCATCATGAAGAACATGGGTTATACATTTTGACTAATAAGAATTCTTATGATTATAAAGTATTAAAACAAGAAGGGGATAAGTTTGTAGATTTCTATTGTCCTTAATAAGGAGAAGTATTGCAAGAGGTAGACCTATTTCATAAGCATTTGGTGTTATACTTCACTAAGGAAAGTGAAAGCTTTATTAAGGTAATTTCTTTGCAAGATAAGGAAATTTATAATTTGTTTATTCCGCCTTCCTTGGTCTATACAAATCATCAATAGAACAAAAAGAATTTATTGAGAAGCATTTACGATAGAGTAATAAAGAAAGATAAATCTCAATATTTCTTGAATTAGAAAGTTTAAAATGAAGTATTAGGAGCCACAATAGAACCTGGAGTGAATCATAATTACAAAAGTGATGCCTTCTAGTTTCATCTTAGCACACCATTGGTGTATGATTAAGTTTACTAATACGATTTATCCAAAAGATAACTATCTAAGCTTTAAGATGCTAACCTAACAGGTAAGCCATTCAAAAGAGAAGAGTTTACTTGCACTAGGTATTATGCCCCCAGTAAAGATGGCACTGAAATTCCAATCACTTTAGTGCATCACAAAGATTTGTAAAAGAACAGACAAAACAAATTGCTTTTGCATTCTTATGGCGCTTATGGTGTTCCATAGGAAATACCTTTCAATATTGTTTACCTAAATGCATTAGAAAAGGGATGGACATTAGCATACGCACATATTAGAGGAGGCAATGAAAGGGGACAAGATTGGCATAGATAAGCCATTTAGGAAAATAAATTAAAAAGCATAGAAGATCTACTTGGATGTGCTTCGTATTTGATAGCCGAAGGATATACTCATCCCTCATTATTATGTGGATTAGGAGCATCTGCTGGAGCAACTACTTTGGGAGCAGCTATCAATATGAGACCAGATCTTTGGAAATGTGCCATATTGCTCTCACCTTTTTTGGATGTCCTAGGGTCCTTATTGGATGAAAGTCTACCCTTAACAAAATCTGATTATTTGGAATTTGGTAATCCAAACGATAAAAAAATCTTTGATACTATCCTGAGTTACTCTCCTTATGAAAATCTAAAAAAATAAGTTTATCCTGCAATTTATATCAGTGCTGGTACTGGAGATTTCAGAGCTCCTTTATGGAATGTATTGAAATACACAGAAAAGTTGAAATAGATAGCTGTTTAATCCAAAAAGGTTGAAACCATTGGAGATCATCCTCTTATTATTGACATTAGTGAAGGTGGACATTATGGAGGGGCTGGAGTAATTATTTACACACTATATATAGGCATAATCAGTAATTGAGGAGCGAACCAGATATATGACATTTCTGGATTATTATGTTGGCATTGGTAATAAGGAAATAACAAAGAAGAGTCTTACTTAAGATATTGACGAGTCTATATAATTAGCAGATGAGGAGGACAAGATTTAGAAATAGTGAAACATGTTTTATATATATATTATAATAATTAAGATGAAAGTTTCATTATAAGATTTCGGTTTTCATTAACCAAATGCACCAGAAATCAATACGCCGAGATCCCTTGAGGCTTGTCGAAGGGAAGGAATTTAACCTAATGAAATTGTCAAGATTCCATTTGAAGAGTTTCAAAAGAGATATAAAATGAAAAACTTAGATCATAAGGGAGTAGAACAATTTTACAAGCATTACGAAGAAAGAAGAGAAAAGAAATTTGAAGAACTTATCAAATAGAGACATATTGTGCTTGAAGATGAAAAAACTGGTACTCTACTTTATATTTATCTGAAGGGACATGGGGTTCTGATGGGTTGTCTAAGAGTAAAGTGATATCAAAATATGGTTAATAAGAAACGTCCTCATTGGTTGAGAAGGAAAAGCAATAATTAGAGAAAATTAAAAAGAAGTAGTAGAAAGAAATTGAGGGAATGCTTGAATATGAATTGAAAATGCAAGAAATACGCTTAGAGAATGAAAAGAAGCAAGCTGATGAAATTGCCAAATAATAATAAAGGGATCTTGAGTTATAAAAGAAGAGAGCCGAGTAGGAAGAATAAAGAAGGCAAAAGGAGTTAGAGAAATAATAAAAAAGAGAGTAGGAGGAAGAGTTACAAAGGTAAAAATTAAAGGAAATGGAAGTGAAGGAAAAAGAACGATTGAAATTAGAAGAACTGAAATAAAAAGAAAGAGAAGAGGAGGCAAAGAAAAAAGATGAAGAACGAAAGGCTATTTAAGAAAAATTAAGAAAATAAAATGAGGAGAATTAAAAAATCTAATAAGAATTGTTAGAAAAAAGAAAATAGGATATGGAACTCAAAGCAGAATAAAGAAGAAAGGCGTTAGAAGAATAAAAATAAAAAAAAAAATAAGAAGCAGAATAAATCAGATTATAAAATGAAGAAAGAATCTAATAAGCCAAGCAAAGAAATGAAACTGAACTCTAAAAATTAAAAGATGTATATTTTAATAAATGATATCTATAGGACTTTGATAGAAAAATAAAATTAAGTGAAATCAAATAAAAACAATATGAAGAAGAAAAATAAAAGAAGTATGAACAGTAAAGAAAAGAGGCAGAAAAACATTCTGAATTATTTTAAAAGGTTATTGAATAAAATAATCTTATGGAATAAGAAAAGAAGAATCAATATTTAAAGAAAATACAAGAAGCAGAAGAAAGAAGAAAATATATTGAGGAAGAATTAGAAAAAGAAAAAGAATTGAAAAGATAACAAGAAAAAGAAAAAGAATAATAAAGAAAATAAGTTCTTTTATAAAATGAAGAAAATAACAAATAAAAAATAGGGGATTTAGTTAAGAAGATAAATGAAAAAGAGGAGATACTAAACAAAATTTAAGAGGAAAGGAATGAATAACTTCAAGATAGAAAAACTATGGATATATTGAAAAGGTTTGATAAAAGAGAGAATGTAGAAAGAATTATGAGAAAATAGGAGTATGATAAATAAAAATTATAAGAAAAAATTGTTGAAAAAATGTAAAGAGCAGACAAGTTATCAGAAGATCTTGATTAATTGTTGTCTTAAAGACATAATTTAAGAAGAGAAATTGAAAAATAAAAAAGGGAAGTTATGATGAAATTTGAAAAAGTTAGAGAAGGCAAGCTTCCTCCAACTGAAATTTAAAAATAATTAGGTATGACTGAAACAGATGCAAAACTTACTAATTAAACTAATCCCTATCGTACTTTTTCATCCACTAGACCTAAAACTAATTAAGCTAAAGAAAGACCTGATAAATTACAATCTGTTAGACCAGCTAAGATATAATCTGCTAAGCCTGAACCAATCAAAGTAAAAGACAAAGTCGATCTTAAAACAACATAGCCTATTTTTGAGTAGTTGGGTAATTTAATATATCAAATTTAGCCAATAAAACTACGCCTAAATTCCATAAGAAAATGGATGCAAAGAAGAAATCTGAACCCAGTAGACCAGAACCCCCTAGTCCTTAAATTCTCATATTCCTAAATAAAATGGTTTAAAAACATAATTAAGATATGATGAGGTTATTAATGGAAGAACATGCAAATGAAAATTTAAGAGATGAAAAGTTAAATTAAGTTAAAGGTGAAGAGAAGGCCAAGCTTGAAAAAGAATATGCTTTGGAAAGAGTTAAAGCTTAACTCAAAATTGAAAAGTTAAAATAAACATAGGATTCAGAGCAAAATTAATACAAACTCACCCATAACATTTTTGAAATTGATATTATTAGATGAAATAACTTGTTTATGATTATATTCAAATTTGATATTATTTTGCTATCTTATTTAGAATCATCATATATATTTTTGCGACATTGATTATATTTATAGTATTTATTTTAGCTTGCCCATAATGTTAGATTGGAATTCAAACCAAAGCTATAGCATAGATTGAAAATTTATTATCAGAAAATATTTCTCCATCTCATCTACATTTTTCATCAATAAACTGCGATTTCATATCGACAGGATGACATATTTTGTGGTTTAACATTGTCTTCTCTTAATTCTGGATTATTTTCAGAACTTAAGAGAAATTTTTCAATTATTTTCATATGAAGCTAAAAGTTCCTTTAAGTATATTAGAATATTATGAGAATATTTTTTTATATTTTAATATAATTAATATAAATGTATTCATATAATTATAATTAATTAAATAATAATAAATATATATGATAATAAGGAGCATTTACCTTGTAAAAAATACGAACTATTTTTTTTTATAATTTTTATTTTCACCATGAAAATTTTTAAAGTTAATTATAAATTATGGTTATTATAGTCATCCACCAATAAGAGTCAAATAATTATAGCAAAAAAAAGCAAAATATGATTTTTAATTTTTTTTCATTTAATTAAATTTATAGCTAATTTGATTATTTAATAGGAAGTATTAATTTATCTAAAAATTAAAAAAAAAGAATTTGATGAATTAATCTGACTACTTATTGAATTAATATAAGTTTATTAAAAACAAATAATATCAAATCATATTTGGTTATTCAAAGATTAAAAACTTAAAGTCATCAATGTCTGATGATTTTTTTTAATCATTTGCTATGACTTTCCTTATCATCTTCTTTTTCTTCTAATGCAATAAATTAATTTTTTCTTCAATTGTATTTGCACACAGAAATCTAATTACATTAACTTATTTCTTCTATCCGATTCTATCAGCTCTCCCGATGGCTTGATCTTCAATGGCAGGCTAAAGATAAAAATAGATGAATACATTCCACCATGGATCAACCAAGAAAACATGATTGGCCATTGTTAAATTTAATCCAGTGGACGTGGCCCTCAAAGATAATATTAAAGCTGTAAAGGCAGGATGCTATTCGAATGATTGAATAACTTTATTTCTTTGTTCTACAGACATAGCTCCTGTAACTACTTAACACCATATCTCTTCTTCTTGAAACTTTTCTTCAAGTAATCTAATCATATCTATCCATTAGGTGAAGATTAGACACTTTTCTCTTTTGAGTTGTACCTTTTTTGTTTCATTAACAACAGCAAGCATTTTACTACTAGGTCCCCACTTTGTTTCTTTGATTTCTTAAACTTCTGTAGAATTACTCTAAACACTCATAATGTCTTTCAAGGATAATCTTTTAGAACAGGTTGGACATTCCCCAATGGTTTCAATAACTTCTTTAAAACAACTAAAATGTATAAATAAATGATACTTATGACAATAGACATGCCCACATATAGAGATATCAAATGTAGTGATTCCATCTTCAGAACAGAGTGTGCAATCATTTAAATTTCCTCTTTATATTAGATCTATCAATTGTTATCGTTATTTCTCTGAAATTTCTTAATCGCTTGATTTTTATTTGGCAAAAAAGTTTTCGATGCAATATTTAATTTCATCAATAGAATTTGTATCTAAATTAATCCCTTTTAAGGCTATTGAGGGATGATCACAAGTCATTCTTAATTTATTTATAATTTGAAAGATATGGACAAATTATCTGCTTTTTTCAGAATTTAAATAAACTTTGAACAATTATTAAGTTCCCTCGAAAAATTTATCGTAAAGTGCTCTTTCCTTGTTTTCTAGTTTAACCCAACAGATGGATTCATTTATTTATAATAAATTTTGATTGTTTAACTATTATTTGGTTCTTCTTAGAATGATTGGTTTGATTATCTCTCCCAAGATGCATTGTTGTTCCTCCTCGTTTTCTTCTTTGTTGATATACGCATTCCACCAATAACTATTATGATAAATAAATATAATACTATTCACCAAAGGTTTCCACTCTCAAAAACGATAACAGACTAAACAAATCGTCATGTTTGTTTTAAATGGGAGTACCAGTCAAACACCATCTGCATTCACTCTTCAAAGCCATAGCACTTCTTGTTTATAGAGTGCTCTTAGTTTTTATGTTATGAGCTTCATCTAGGATGACTCTATAATATGTAAAGTCAAATATATTGGTGACCTTTCCTTGAGGGTTTTTCTTTGTTTTTGTTCCACATTCGTAATCATTTTAACTTATTTCTATAGGCTCTCCAAAGTATTAAGATTTTTCAGATTTCGATTATTTTAAGTCAAAAATAGATTTGAATTCTTCACTCTAATCGTTGTTCTAACAGAAATCTTGAGAATCTAATTCAATTTCAAAACTATCATTTAAGATTTAAGTGTCATTACTAATTTTTGATTCTTTTAGATCTTTTGGATCCTTAGTTTCTTTATTGTCTTTAGAGTCATTATCAGGTTTCGTCCTTACTCTTTATTATATTTCATTATCTTCTAATCCATTGTCTTTAAGCCAATTAGAATAATTCTATGCTACAACTGTATAAGTAGTCAAAATAACATCATAATTAGAGAAAACAACCTTCTTATTTCTATTCGAAATCTTATAGAATACCAAAACCTAAAGACTATTAGGTAAAGAGTGTTTTTTGATTTCAGCTTCCCATTATAATAAAACAGATTTAGGAACAATGATTAATGTAACTCTTCCTTTTTTTTAGGTTTGCAAAATCAAAGCCAAAGTCATGATAGTTTTACCTAATCCCATTTCATCTGCAAGAATTCCTCCCTTGGTTAAATTATAAGATTAAAATTCATCGGTGATTTTTCCAGTAAAGGTATTCATATATAATTTTTTACCATTCTCTAAAAGAACCTCCTCCCATAACGGAGACAATTACCATTAACTGTTATCTTTGGCATCTTAATTTTTTGGATTAGATATTATGCCTTCTCTCCATAACATCCAAGTTAAGGCTTATTTCTAATGTTGTTTCAATTCGCAAACCATAGTTTTAGGTTTAGGGTGTTCATACAATTCTTAATCTTTACTATTTAAAAATGAATTAATTTCATTTTCATTGATTTCTTCAGACAATTTTAATTTCCCTGTACAAAAATCTATCATCTTTTAGACTTGTTCTCTTCTATTGACGTCCAACTACTTTAATTATTGCTAATATTTTTGACAATCACATAAATTCCCTGAAGAAATCTATAATTCAAAGTATTCTTTGTCTTTCTTATGAGTGATCCCTCCCACAATGACCTGGATGAATGGGTTTTAAACTTCTTTGTATAATGATGAATTTTCAGCATTAAGTGATGGGAATGTCTTGACACTCAATTATTCAATATTATCCACTTTGTATCTCAATTCATTAAGCTTATCAATACTCGGTTGATGAGTATGAAATCCCTGACAAAGTGATTGGTAAGTGCAACTCAATTTGAGAAACAACAACTCAAAACAATACTTCTAATAATTCTATTGTTTTGGTTCAGGGACATGTTTAGTCGATGTAGATATAAACTTCTGTATTTCTAGCAATAGGGTATTCATGTATTTTTTAAAGTATACATTCTAGTAAATAGGTACATCCTATTGGACTGGAGCAAATTAGGACTCTTCATTAGTGTAATATTTATTTTTTGATAAAAACAAGCAGGAACTTTTAAAGTCTTTCAGAGAATATAATTTATTAGAAAAAGCTGAATTTTACAATGAATTCCTATAGTATTCATTATTTGTAATGATGACTCTTGCAAAATCCTTGAAAGTTAAATCAAGTCTAAGAGGTTATCCCATTTGAAGGGAATGAAATTTCTCCAATTAAGTAAAAAATATCTTAACGTACTTGTCTGATTTGATCATTGCTGGTATTGTTCTTTAGAGATTTAGCAAATCGAATAGGAGCAGAAGTGATAAACGAGCAAAGTATTGTAAGTCTACATTGAGATCCTCTTCTGATTCGGCATATGAAAATCTTTCCCTGCTCACGAAGCCGTCTTAGAATGCCTTTTGATTGAATTTGGATAGATCAAATTAATCAGTTAAAGCATTCTATTTCAAATATACGTCTAGTCTGATTTATCTTAAATTGTCTGGGTATTTGAAATTCACATGTCTTGCAATTACCTTAACATAATCTACTGTTAATAAAAACCACCAGATTTCATCATAGCAATGAGAAATTCTTCCATTGATTTATAATGGTTTGTAATGAACCTGTTTTCCAATCTTTTTTTATTTCAGAACCAAAGTTGATTATCTGAAATGCTTGGTCTTAGTTACAATGTATGTTGATATATTTTCATTTTTTAATGAGCCAATAGGAGTGCTAAAGTCAATCAATTGAGGACATAGAAATGCTTTGTCATTTGGATCCAATTCAATATAGGAATTAGGTTCATAATAGTATGGTGCCAGTAAACTTCCTAAATAATACTTGGATTCTTTCTTCATCTGTTAATAAAAATTTAAGGAGGGTAAGATGAATTGTTTAGTATAAACATCATTATCCTGTTATTTTTTTTCTGTTTTACACACAAATAAAATATCAACTATAATAGTAAGCTTTAAAATAAGTAATTTATATTAAAATAATATTAATATTAATCATTCTGGTTCTTCTTCTTCAGATTCTTCTTCAATTAATCCAATATCATCTAAAATTGTAATAAATGATTGATACAATTAGGTTGGGATTGAGTAATAAGTGGTCCATCTGTCATTTCATCAAAAACCAATTCAAATTTGTTATCAAGATAATTTTCACAGATAATCTTTTTGGGATTGTAGAAGTTTGGAGGAGGAAAGATTGGATCTAAAGCAATTCTTCAATAATATTTGATGAATACTTGAAGGCATTATCGAGCATTTGAGGTATCAATTTAGATAGTAAAGGACGAGCAAATTTCGATAGAAGGGTTTGTGTTTGCTTCGATCATTTTAACATTAAAGGTGTCATCTATCATAAAATCCAATCCAAATATTTCAAAAGTGTTCTCTCTCTTATTCTAATCTATTTTACCATACACTGCCTTAAATTATTCAGTTGCCATTTACTACACTAGTAATCATTAAGAATTACCTTCATTTTTGCATAGATCTTATTGAAATCCCCTCCGAGATTTTCAACATATACTGAAAATTCTTCAAAACTAACTTTATTGCCTTTTTCATATTTTCCATAATCTTCTCCTTTTTTCTAAACTGCATCATTAGTTAAATGAACCATTTTGTTAGTAAGATTTTTCATCGTGAATTCTTTACTCGATGTTCTGACATACCCTTCAGTGTACCAGTAACCTTTTTGATTTCCGTTAATTGATACATACATGCTATAACATCGTATATCAAATTTGCGTTTATTATAAAGCAAAGGTCTATCAATATACAATTACACAATAAAGGTCTTATAGCTTCCATTCTTATGCATTTCTCTTGAATTTAAAATAGATTGAATTTCATTGAGATCTTCTGATACTTTTATACCATTGCCTCTATTTGTAATTTCACCAGGCTTGATAATCCAAATATTTCTGCGTTTATTCTTTTCATCACTTTCCTGATTGATCAATTATTATCTTTCTTTGTATGCTTCCATGAATTGATGATACTCTGGTCCATCTAGACTTTTGATGTGATATGTAACTGGTAGATTTTCAAATACATTTAAGTTTTAGGATTCATAGTATGCTTTCATATTGTAAAACAAGGCTTTCTTATTACCAAGATGAAAATTGTTCTCTAAGTGATTATGTGCTTTAACAGGTTCATTATAAATAGAAAGTTTTGGTTTTACTGCCTGGGCCTACTCCAAGGTTAATAATTTTGATTGTCTTCCTTGTCCATTCAGAATTGTACTGAATTGTCTTAATTCAGCATTTGAGAGAAATTTGTTCCACTAGTTATTGATTTTTTGAATGGCATCTACTTTAATCTATTCGCTTTCACTTTGTTCATCTTGTTTCGAAAACCCCAAACTAACAGAACCTATTGTTGTTAGAGATGATGAGGCACTTTGACAACTCATGGATTCATTAGGATTTCTATTTAAGGCCTTCATATTTTCATGTATGGTGTTCACTTTTAATTGAGTCCAAACAAAATGACATGATTCTTGTTCATCCTGAATACTCCACCACCATCTACTTTTCAATATCTATCTGACCAGCATCCCATTATTTCCCTTTCCAACATATGCCTTGTAAATATTTTAGTTTGGGGAAACAAAAAGACAATTCGACAAATTCATAACATTGAAGTAGTGTCTCATAGATGCATATCTTTCTTAAAAGATCAAATCTTAAGGATATTTAGGATCAAAATAATAGATGCCATCAAATTTCTTTAATTTCTTCTTTTTAATGCCTGGTAATTAGGAGGTTGTTTGATTCTGAGTCGCTACTTGCATCACTGTTGGAACATTTCCCATAGGTTCGACTTTAATATTCCTTGAAGTTTTGATTAATTATGAATTTTATCTTGCTTATTTAGTTGTACGAATTGTGTCAGTTTCAATTTGAGTGGTGTGTTTTTCCATTTGCAATCTGATCTTCTGAACGATTTCTTTTTCGAGCTTATTGTCCATAGAGTTATTTAAAAAGGAATCCTAGAATTTATTTCTTTCTACAATGAATAATTAATAGTACAAATTATGTGAATGGGTTTAGATGAGATGTTCAAAGTGGATATGCCATCAGCCTAAGGAAATATCTGCATGAACCTTCCTTATTAATATTTTAAATGATTCGATTTCTTTGACTTCGGTGAGTTGTTATGGTTGTTTGCTATCATAGATAATGGGGTAAGTCTTACATTTCTTTTTCTTGACATGCTATATTTGTTTAAGAACATGAATATTGTTGACTTTCTCTATTTTGGGTAACATTTATTATGCTGGACTTTCAGATCTGTCTAATTGATCGTATTTGTATTGAGTAAATAGTTTCGGACTAAAATCTTTCTTTTTTATAACTGCCTTTATTGAATCCTTTATTAGTTCTTGTACACCCGGTGATTTTAATAGTTGTTCCATTGAACGATGCTTTGATGGAGTCAAGAATTCAGTCGTCGATTACTGCTGTTATTTTTGCTAAGCCTAATTGATCATTTGGCTTATGCTGAAGTTCAAGTTTGGCATAGAGAACTGCTCAGTTTTATCCTGAATTAACAAGTTCATTATCAATAAATATTATTATATAAAATAACAATCTCAACTTTGATGTATAGTTTATTGATCCAAATTTAATGGACAGTCAATCTACACCATAATCTGTTTCATTTTTTAAAGGAGTTAATAATATATATTTGGCTTATAGACTGATGTTATATGTTTACTAAATGACACTATGGTTCTATGGGAAAATGAAGTAAATACAATTATTTTAATAATAAATTATATGTTAATAAATTTGCTTTTAGTTTTCATTTATTTTGTAAATAGCAAGAATATTAAAGCAAATCGCAATTTCAAGGTTCCTTAAATTACTGGCGATTATTTAGTGAAATGTAAGAATGTGTTTACCTATTATTTGGAATAAAAAAACAAAATAGTTTTGGAAGAAGAGTTCTAAGCTGAAAAAACAGAGATTGATCATATATCTGCTGCCGATATCTAAGGTATTGCAGAAGACAAACCAATTATATTTGAAAGCCCAATTTTATTGCAATCTGGACCAATCAGATCAACAACCTTGTACAATCAATTCGGTTTTGTTCAAACATGGACAATCCTACATCACGATGATTTCGAAAATAGGAACTCCATGATCGGTTGGAACATTCCTCACAGAGCTTATTGTGAACTAAAGGGAATCCATTACACTGATGCAGAAGGCTCTCTGTAAAATGATCATTTCATTCATGAAGCCAATTGTAATGTTAATAACCCAAGTCTTCAGAAAACGTACAATACCAATATAGAACATAATCATATCAGAGTCAGCGCAGAATTAACTGTCTTCGGAGATTGGAATGGAGATAGCATCAATGTCCTAATTGACAATAAGGTCGCATGGAGCAAAGTGTTTTAAGGCGAAATCACCTAAGCAGAACATCCCTGTCCTGCCTTATTTGCACTTGGAATTCCTGTTTAATTTACTATGGAGCATAAGACTCATGAATTTACAATATCCTTTTAGGCTAATCATAAAAGACATCCATGTGATGGCAGCTTTGGAGTTGATGATATAATAGTTTATTATAAATAATGAAAATTAATTAATGTAACAATTATTGAAACCTTCACTCAATTTCGATTTCTAAGAGGCCTTATTTGAAGATAACCCCAAATTAACCTCATAAATCAAAGCCCAACAAAAGAATGATTTGCTCAATCAATCATTCAAAAATTAGGATTATAAAGGAAATCACAAAAACATAGTGAGACCGCGGAGTTCCTCAGGATATAGATAATCTTAAAATAATCAAAGTTTAAACCAATACATTAAAGCAGTTCGTTCTAAACAAGTTAAATAATACAAAAGTTCACCATAACATTATTCTGCCAAACAAACGATATTTGATAAGAATAAAACCTTAGGAGTAGCCTCGAACATGTAATCTAATATGTATTTTCCTTATTAATATAACATGCTGACTAAACAGTCTAATTATACTAGATAACAACAAATGGCCAATATTAACAATAAATAATAAAGTTAAAAATAAAATTAAAATAATTTGTAAAATGCAGCCATTTTTGATTGGGATGATGATGATGATATGGATAATCGTTTCTATATTTCTGGGAACACAGTAAAAATTCATAAATCATATTATGAGTCAATCGAAAAAGCAAATATGCAATAGTTTCTGTAGAAGTAGAAAAAATCAAATATTATCGAAAATTCTATAAAATAAAACCAAGATATATTAAAACAACAATAAAGGGAAATATAATAAAAGCTTGATAATATTGAATAATTGCGGATGACTTAATTACTTTAGAATAATTTAGTTTTATCTTAAGTTCCAAATTAAAATGAGGAATAATATTAGAGTGACAAATAATAAAAGTATACTCCAAAAAATCCTATTTAACTAATTGAAAGTGAAAATAATTTTGAATATGGATATGAAGAAGAAAACTTTGAGATCGATGAAGATAACAAAGTATAAAATAAGGAATAAGAATTTTCTAAAATCTCGAAGCAATAACTATAATAAGCTGAATTTAAATAGTCTTAGAATAGATTAGATTAAGACAATAATAGCAAGAAAAATAAATCTAATGAGAGTTTGAATAAGACATCTAAAAAAGTAATTTATAAGGCGAAAAATGCTCAAGAAAGAAAATAAGAATTGATGAATATGAGATCTGACTTAGAAAAGTATTTGTTGTCGAATAACACACAAATTTCTAAGATGTTCCAAGAATTGCAAGAAACTAAGGAGAAAGAGAGAGTTATGATTGAGGTTAGTACCAAGAGGTAAGAAGAATTATCTTAAGCAAAACTGACATTAAGGTAACTATAGGAAAAATTCAGTAAATAACAGCAGATTATTGAAGTAATCATATAATCAATATATTCCAGGAATTGAATTAGAAAGAACATTATGCTAATTAAATCATATAGAAGTTGACTGAAAATAAACAAAAGTATAGCCAATTGTGGGAGAATTAAATAGAGAAATACATGGCATGCAAAGTGATTGCTAGATTTTTGAAGGGAAGGAGAGATAGAAAATTATTTACATAATTAAAAAGACAAAGCTTTATTAATAGATTAAAACAATGATTATAAATTTAATTATAAAATGGCAAAATTTATCGATTATTTAGTTGACACTGGCATTATTGCTAACAATTCACAAATATCACCCAACAATATGATGTTCGAACTATCAGATTATTTGAAAAATTTAACTGCCTCAGATTCATTTGATATGGCCAACAGAATATATGATAGTTGGAAATTAAAATTAAAGCAAAAATAAAACCCAGCATCCTTAGTTAAGATAATAACAAAGATAGCTTTAGGAAAGCCATTTAGAATATTGAACTCTTAGAAGAATTTGAACAGTCCCTAGCTAATTAGAAATTAGTAAAGGTCACTTAGCTAACAAGAGCTTTAATATTAATCTCCTTTAGATAAATGCAAACTAAGTTAAATGGGTTTCAATGATACATGTGAGAGATTATACTAGGATGGAATAGCTTAGAAAGTAAAAAAGTAAAATTATACTAACTGACATAGAGAATACTTTGAGCAAGAGAAATGCAAATAAGAATTAAGAGATTGCACCTTTAAGCCTTAGATATCAGCAGAAAAGCTGTGTACTAATGACACTGAAGTCTTTGATCGCTTATATAAGAGTCAACTTGCATGCAAAAATGACTTTTCAGAAGTGAAACAGAAACAAGAAATTGTTTAATGTACATTCACTCCTTAGATTACTAAATAATAGTCGATTTCGAACTATTAACCTATAGAATAAATTTTTGAGAGACTATTTTAAGAATCCATCAATAGAAATAATATGAAATTGAGTTTGGCTCCAACTAGAGAAGAAAGAGAGCTTTAGTAATGTACCTTTAAGCCTTAAATATCTTAAAGATAATTGAATAGAAGTGGTGATGATAGTAATGAATAATTACAACTTAATTAGTCTTTGCAAGATTACATAATGAATCAGCTGAAAAATAGTAAATAAAGGCCTTTTAAAAACTTGAATCGGACACAAAGGAAATAGAGAGCTGTACATTTAAACCTAAAATTAATACTCATTCTAATTTTTCTCCGAGTTCTCAACCTGCCTTTGATAGATTGTACATGTTGTCATCTAAATCTAAATAAACAGGATTGGATGAAAGCCAAAAAAGATAGAAGACTAATCCAAAAACTATAGCGACAAACGAGTCACTTTACGAAAGAATGAAAAATCATGTAAACCAAAGGAAACGAACTTTGAATTTAATACAATAAGAATATGACAAAGAGTTAACATTCAAACCTAATATTAATTTAAGATAAGGAAATCTTTAAAGCAGATTAGAAAATAGGAATTAGTCTGTGGCTTCAGTGAAATCAGAGACAAAGTTAAAACCAAACCTAAATTAATCACAATTATCATCAATAAGGTTATACAATACGAGAAAGTCATAGTAGGATAAGGAGAATGATAATCTCACAATGCTCGCTGAAACTGCACATTTTAAGAACGACTAGAAGTAGAAAAAAAGTATTTCAGACTTAAAACTATGATAAATATATATATGGGTGTATAAACTACTATTAATATATCTAGAATATGAAGAGTATTAAATACAAGTATATATTATTAAATCATATTTAATGTAATACAATTTTGGAATACTCTATAAACCATTATTAATTTTAATAAAATATTTATGATAAATAAGTTGTAAGTGGGATATCTAGTAATTGGATTTACAGCAGGATTTTATTTTGCGATTAACTTGGATCAAGCATATTACTTCTCTTTGCATCATAAGTTGTTCTTGCCATTAAGAGATGAAATAAACAAGGCTGACAGAACATTTTCAACAGTGTTTAATACTTTCAAACAGGGGATCAAGAATGCTTATGATGATATTTGAGTTAATATAAAAATATTAATGAATTTAAATTATATTGACAATTATGGTTAACTAGCAGATGTCTCATCATAACAACAAAAGTCATCGAGTATTCATAATTCTCACAGAGAATACACTTTTGCTCCATACGGTTAAAATTAGGTAGTTAATATGAGCGCAAAGTAATCCCAATAAGATTCAAATTTTATAAACAGATATCATAATAGTAGCCTACCTCCTAATAATTATACCAAAAAGAAATCGCCCAGTCAACCTACTTCGTATTTGAATAAATTGAAATAATAATATGCTCCATTATAGTCAACTCAATCGACACATCATAGTAATCATAATCAATCAGTTGAGAGTGATCACTAGAGTTATGAGTAATTGATGATTTACAATAACCTATTGAAATTGGAGTTGGAAAAAAAGTTGTTTAATTGTGGAGTTTTTGTTATCAAATAAAATAATGGGAAATGTGTTGACTTTTATATGGAGTTAAAAAGATAGAAGGATTATTATGAAAACTAAATCCAATAATTATAAGCAGTCATTTAAAACCATGAAAATAGGCCTAATGAATACATCGACCTATCTGAATATCAGCGTTAGAATCAGGAATTAAGTAAATCAATTGAATAGGCCATCTCAAAACTGACCTTAGCCAATCAAACTATTAATCAATTAGAACAAGAGAAGGAGTCCTTGCTAGATTATGTTGACAAGTAGAAGGATATTGCTGAACAATTAAAATCATAAAATGATCAGTAGGATTTAAAACAAAAGGAAATGAAAATTATGATTTTGCAATTATAAAAATAAATAGAACAGTACAACATTGAATTGATGGACAAAGAGGAATTCATTAAAGAAATTAGTGAGATGCAAAATAAGAACAAATGTTTATTGCAGGATGAAATTATGAAGTATCAATAATAAATTACTATGTTGCAACGATAACTACAAGATTATGAACAATAAAATAAGGATTTAAGTAGAAAATTTAATGATAGTGCATCTTAAATACATATGATAATTAGACAATCTGATGACAAACAAAGTTAACTTCAATTTACACAGATGCAAGATAATCATAGTGTTTGTGAGTTTGATAGCAATTTGAAATCATCAAGGAACACTAACCTTATTCAAAAGTAATAATAGGGTTTGGATTAAATGATAAAAATCAATAAGCAAACACTCTAAGACTTTTAGCAGTAATTGATGTTACATTAGAAATTAGGGGAGTATCAAGAGAAGTTGAGTAATTAACTATCATAGATTGAATAATAGAATAAACAACTAATTGCGATTACATAGTAGCATTAAGAAGTGCTTTAATAAAATTCTAGTCTCATAGAGAAAGAAGCTGATCTCAATAGGGAGATATAAGATTTGAATCAGAAAATCGAAAAACTTCAATAGGAAAGATAGGAATAAGTTGAGTAGATGGAAATATTACAGTAGTAAGCTATTGATTAGAATTAAATAAATTAAGATTTAAACACTTAATACTTTAAATAAATTGATGAATTGTAAAGTGTTAATCAGATCTAATAAAAATATAATACATTATAAATTAAGGTTTAAGCAGATGTGGAATATTATGAGAAGTAAATCATAATTTTTATTTTAGCATAATTAGTGAATTTAATTGCCAATTGATTAAAATTTAGAAGAAGATAGAGGACATATTTAGTAAATTACAAGTTTTTGATTTAAGTAAGATCTAAGCGAATGAGATCTCAACTAATACTATACTGATATCTCTTGATCATCTAGAAACTCTGGTCAATAGAAATCTTGGGTGTAATAAGATTTAATTAAACACTTCTAATCAAATTAATAATACTTAGTTAAATTTCTCAACCAACCAGACTCCCACGAATATGGTGCATAATAGCAAGTACTTCTCAAATGAGTGCTTTGACAGCAATCAAAAAAACAGTATGTTGAGCAACTTAAGCAATCACAATAAACCATATTTAGTGAAGAGGAATTACTATTTATGAATTTTATTTATTTATATGCTTAAATCAAATAAACTAACCTCTGAGTCAGCCTTAACTACAAACAGACCAACCAGTCGCATAGATACGTCCTATTTAAATAGAGGATACTCTTAACATTCCTAAAACTAAAGTACAAATAAGAAATTGTGGATAAAAATTAATAAAGTCACTGAAGATGCTACTGATACTAAACCTTATATTGCGATCGAAAAGTAAAGGAATACTAATTCCTGTCACATCAGAGTAAGTTTAAAATTTATTTCCACTAGCCATCCATAAATAGGAAGACAAGTTGTGAAATAAAAAATTAAATAGATTTTAATGAAATTAAACATTTCATTAAAGAAGTCGATCATCAATATGAAGATGAACCATTTACAAAAAAGGCTAATCAACAATAAACTTAGTAATATTAAAACGAAAAGAGACTCAATCATTTAAACTTAATATTGGCATCATTTAGGGACAGGATAAAAAGTAGAAATATATCAAATGACATAGAACCTAATAATTAATAAAGTATTTATATAATTTGATGAATACAAGAATATAACAATAAAATTAAGATAAGATCAAAGCAGATTGCAATCATTAAGTAAAGAATTAATAAATCTTAGATAACATTCAGACAACAAAATAGGCTTAAAAATCTCCTAATTGAAATAACAGAATGCATCGCAATAGCTAATTTACAGCAACTATGCTAAAGTACTAAAGATTTAAATTTTATGAATGTAGTCATTCAGAGCCTCTTCTGATTATATTGTGAATTAAATCCCACATTAACCTTCGCAATAGATATAAAAACTAACAGAAGAATTAGGGAATCTAGAGAATTATAAGTAATATAATGACTACTAATCAATTAGTTTAACAAGTGACAGACTTGAGAATTCTAAAGATTTTAGTGGGAGACCTTTGGCATCTATCAAATGGATACTAAAAAGAAACAAGAAGAATCCTGATGAAATAGATAATCAATTACTTATGGATGAATCGATGATTAGTGAGACTGAAGGTATGTCAATTGTTTCTATTATACTAGCCAAATTGAATTCTTTATATGAAGAAAGTATTTCAATTTAAAAGAATTTATTGTAGAATTAGAAAAGCAGTCCAATAAAAGCAATAAGTGCAATTAAAAAAATGGATTAGATTAAATCTATTATCAATAACGTTAACTCAAATAAATTGATGAATAAGTTTTTAATATGAAAACATTACACACTCATATTTTACATATTCTGTTCCTATATACTTCTAGTTAATTGGCTAACTCCTATGTTAATCCCATGCATGACAAATGAAACCATTTTTATCATACTGATCACATTAGAGATGCTACAAAATTTAATAGAATTTTAAGGCTATCCAAATATAAAAATTCTTTGGTGTTGTATTTCTAGTAACATAGAATTTAAACTCTCAGTGTTTTCAATTCATCTATATTGAGTACAGATACTTTGACTAGATCCAATCAATAAACAGTATCTTAGTTTATTCAGTTAAGTATAATTCACTTTTAGAAAAGATCTTATTGATCGAGTCTTCAAGATCTTTTCATAATCATCAGCATTAATATATTAATAACATTTTTTCGAAAGATCATATTATAATCATTCATATATATTTATTAAGGTTTCCTTTAACAGTCTTATTGGTTTTCTAACGCTTTTTCCAACAACTTAACCGTCAACTGTTACATCTCTATACAATAATATTGTTAGATAATCAATACTAATTCCATAAATATGGGAGAAGAATTTTGTAACCTAAAATAGTATTTAAAATTTACAAAGTAGGACGAAAAAAATGAAAACACTAGGAAATAGATTGGAGCTTGGATAATTATGGTTGTTCTAGTATAGATCAAGAGCAAATATGTGAATGACATGCACAGAATTGATATAGTAAGACTACATGAATTCATAAATAGTTGGCCATGTTATTAAATCTATGTATGTTTCATTAGTTTTTGGTCAAATAGATATTAACACTTTGCATTTTATAGAAAGCCTTCAGTTCTTATAAAAGAAAGTAAGTAAGCCCTCTCATTAATAGATAGAATATTTTATATTAGATTTGATTCTAAATAATTTGGATTGCTGAGCATCCACAAATATATTTTGATTAACGCTCTTGGTATCCATAAAAGAGATATCAACACTTAACCTAAAATTATTGCATCTATATTTTTGAAAATCAAAGTCTTTAGTATTTACATTGTTGATTTTTGCTCATTAAGTAAATGACTATTTGATTTTTCATTTACAAAAACACCATACTGTTTAAGCATGATGCCGATTATAAGAAATTTGCTAATACCTGAAATTACCAAAAGAAGTAGTAGTAAGCCTAAAATATGAATAATCCCGAATGCATAGGCAAGTAAATTTAGTTGAAAAGTATTAAAAGGGTATCTATGAGTTGTCACATTTCCGATTGTCAAGATGAAACTATATTTAAATAAGTTGATTACTTTGCAATTAATACCCAAACGAAAAAGAGACCTGCATTAGTAATTCCGAAAACTATAGGTATGAGGTAAAAATGCTGAAAATTAGATTTACTTTTATTTTGGGAATCTTATAATGCTTGAGAGGAATAATCATAAAAATAATTGACAATTTTAATCTTAATTCCGATGGTCTAATATTACTTATAATTATAAATTAAATCCGAAATATAATATATCGCAAGGATGACAAAAAAAATACCCAAAATTAACGGTAAAAAAGAGATAGTGAAATTTGAGTTTTCATTTTACACAATGCTAACCACTTCTGGAAGTGTTAATTTTGAATTTTTATTGGCTTATTGCAATTTGATTACAAACAGATAATTATTGATGCACAAAAAAGCTTATAGAAAAAGCATCAATATTAATGTCACTTAAATAATCCAAATAGTTTTCTATTACAATTTTATCAGTAAGACATATACTATCTAACTATCAAATGACTAAGTTTAAATACTTGATCAATATAGAAAAGACAAATGTACAAAATATGATTAAAGCACCATTTTCGAGATCCTTAAAAAATTTAATGACTTCTGGTGATTCTAAACCAACCAAAACATTTTGTAAATAATTTGATTTTGTCGGCAGACAGACATTTATGAATTTCAGAGAATCGTAGTATATCAAACTAAAATCGTTATCTCCAATAAATAGAGTATTTTTGCAAGATTTAATAAATTGATTTGGCATACACTATATTTCCAGCAGCTCTAATAAATATTTATTACTTAAAACCATCTATTTCATTTTCAATCTCTTTTACTGGGCATTCTTTTACGCAAACTGTTAAATATAGCGATTTATCAGTGCTGGGATTACTAAAATATATATATTTGTATTATTCTAGGCCTGGACTCCCCCCACAGATATTACCTTATTTTTTAGAGTGAAGGATATATACCATTTGAATCAAAAGGGCATCCCAATTATTTTGAATTCCCAATCATAACACTCAAAAAAGAGGTAAAAATAACAATATTTTGAAAAATCAAGAAAAATAAGGAACATTTATTAATCTAATTTTTTCCTGGTTATTAGTAGTAATGTTCTATTTATTGTAAATCCTCTTGTATGTGCGGACCAGGATAATTGCTTTGGTTCATAGCAATTGTTGAATCCATTAAATTTTAATATAAATTTTGATTTTTTTAATTTAATAGTGATTATATACTACTTAATTCAATCCATACTAATGATAGTCTCGCAACTGTCTTCATCTTAAGATTAATTAAACTCATATTAAAATTGCTTTTAAAGGACTTGCTGACTTTTTTCTTATTGGATAAGCATTTTATTAATATTTGACATCCTATTTTTGACACTCTAAGCCAAATCATAAATTCTATTGAACTTTTTGTTCTCAATTTGAACGTATTAGTTTTGATATAACTCTTTAATGGCTTTATCATAAGTATCAACCAAAGGACGATGAGTTTTGGCGTAATCAAGAGGTAATTTAGATGTGTTTTTTGGTTGTTCTCCCTAACTCTATGCCAATCTAAAGGGAGATGTTTAAGATACACTTCCTTAACTGCCTGATCTCATCAACTGACTTTTAATGACACTCTAAGTAGATTGGAGCATATTAAAGAATTGTTGGGGACTTCCGCATAATTCAGGGGATTCCCTGAGATCAACAGACTTTTTATCATGACTTTTGTTGTGTTGAATAGTATTCTAAGAGTGAGAGCTTTTATCATTGACTTTAATTCTGATATCAATATCTAAGAATTGGAAATAAAAAGAATACTTGAATCTCCTCGTTGGGTTTTACTTCCATTATTGCTTCTTTGTGCTAAGTAACTTTTATAGATTTCATTGTGTGTTTTATTCAACTTTTCAATAATTTCAATGTGTTAGGTTGGTCTCTTTTTTAATGCTTTGTTAAGTTACTAATTAACACTAGAAGTGTGAGAACTTAGAGGCATATCTCTGGTTTTGTCTCTCTAAGTTATAGATTTCTAATGCAAGAGATCTTTGACATTGATTTGCACTTGTATTTTCTTCTAATCACTAAAGTAATTATTGATTTCAATTTTCTTTTCATTATGTTCAATTTTATTCTGCCATTTTGGTTATTGATAATCACCAATTTCATTACCTATCTTTTTATATTATTAAATTTACCTTTTTCTTGATTTTCTAACTCAATAGACGAAAACTTTATTAATTTTATTTTTCATTATCCTTAGAATACTACTCCAAGATTTTATTGATTCGATCTGATTTTAGATGTGATCGACTAGAATATAGATTCCCTTTATTATTTTTGGCTACATTTTCAACCTCTAAATTTTGAATTTTTGATTTGGTTAAAATGTAATAAGGTGATTTAGTGTTTGATTGCAAAATGTCAATCACTTTTTTCCAAGCTTAGAGGGCATTGCTTGATTATCCCAATTCATAAAATGTCAATCCGCTATAAAAGAGCAAAATGGCCTCCAAAGATTGTAAGGTCATAATGGAGGAATGATCTCCCAAGAATAATCTAATTTTGGGATTGAGTTGTTGATCTTGCAATTAATTCAATTCAGTAAAGCTTTATTCTATGTATCTGCTAGCTTCTGAGTATTTTTCATTTTTGATAAAGAGAATAACTAAGTTAATTAAGGTGATTAGCAAGGTTTCATCTGGAATGGATAATTGTAAGTATTCAATTGATTACTTGAGATATTTCTCGGCTGCTTGAAATTTGTCAACCCTGATGCTAAATTGAATGAAATTTACATATAATAAAAACAACCAATATTGTTGGTTACCACAGAGAGAAGATGATTAATTTATGATAATGGAATAGTAGGAGCTTCCTTTTCTTGCTTCAGAGTAGTTTCAATTCTCCTCAATATTTAATATCCTTAATTGTATTTTTCTATTTTTGATTTTATTCTTGTTTACCTTCTTGCAACAATTACGTAGCTGAAATGTTCGCATCCATAATACTTTGATAAGCCTTTTGAGACATTTCCACTCTAAGCAATTTTTGAAAATTAAACAATTAATTATGTATAATTTAGATATCTAATGTAATATTATTATTAGCTTCTACACACACAAATTTAATAATCAACCTTTCGATTTCTTGTCTTCTGCTAATTATTTGAAAACCCCGAATAAAATCAAACTTCCTCCAATCATACCATTCAAACTTAGTATCTTATTGAAGATTACATAATCTATTATGATAATGTACAGAGTCTGTGAGTAAGTATAATTGCATAGCTTATCATACGTAACCAATGTTTGGGCTCTAAATTAAATGAGCTATCCCAACATAGTGAATATAGAGAATCCAGCTATGTATTTATAATAACCATCGAAATACTCGAATCTGCCAATGTATTGTTATTGTAGACTTGAAGTGAAAATGATCATTATATGAAAATATGAGGTAGTGATCGTGGAAGGCACTTCTGGACCAATCTTTTTCATTATGATGAATCCAAGTGATTGTATTACGCTACAAATCAATATACAGAGACAACCAACTATGTGCATTACAGGATCATCAACTGTGAGTGTCGGGTTAACAACTAACACTATTCCGATAATACAGATAATAGAATTTAATAATCTAGATTTTGTTATTCTTTCTCTATTCATTAAACTGACCATCAATTGACTCCATATTGAATTTGTAGCAAATAGAATAGCTCCCTCTGATAGAGAGATGAAATTTATTCCATAAAAGTAAAATAATGATCCAAAAGCCCCTAATGTCTATGATTATACCATATATCGAGTTCTATTCTTTGGATAATAGTTTTCCTTGTATTGGAATATAAATATAAAGATTAGGGAAAAAAAGGATCGCAAAAATAAGCTTTATGGCACAACAGTAAAATGAGCTGATTTGTAAAATGTTATCTAGACAGCATGAAAAAAGTAAGCAACCAAAATATACCCTATTGCTACATGCAACGAGTTTTTGGCTTCAAGGCTTTTTAAGTATCCAAATATACCGGATAAGCCCATCTATCACTTTTAATTAAATTTATTTCTGAATTTAATTACATTCCCTAAATTTAAGATAAGCAGCTGCTTATCTTATTTTTGAAAAGCAAACGTTATTTTATCTCATCCATTTCAGACTATATTTTTACATTCTTGTATATATATAAATTTATCATCAAATAATAATATTTAAATCTCTTTATAATCTTTGAATACTTAAGCTCTAACTTCAGTATCACTCAGAATTTGTAGATTGAGACTTATTCACCCTTGGAAAATATCAATCTATGTATCGCTTTCATGGAATTCTATGTAATTCTTATTAAATTAAGCATATAAATTTCTATTAAACTTATAATTATATTCTTACTAGTTAATTCCTTAAGATTTGCTTAAAATTTGTTATAGAGCCTGGATTCTTAATACTACAATATTAAAAGTCCACTTTTTGAGTGAGCTAAAATAAAAGTTTATAAAAAAGAGTTTATATAATCAATATCAAATAATTTAGAATGCAAATAATTATATAAAATATTCTCGCTTATAATTAATTTTTTTAGAATGTTTATGAATAAAAACAATTGTTAAAATGTTCTAAATGCTTACATAAGATAGCTGAGTCAATTACAAATTTATACGATTTTATGCTGATAAGAATTATAAATAATACAAGAATAGATACCTCAAATTTTTGAATGAGAATATAACCATATATTAATTAAAAGTTTTACTGACATGGCATCATTAAATCCAATATTTATTAATTTGATTAATTAATGTAGTAATATATGATTTACTTGAATATCTAATACCAAAAAGCAATAGGATAAGCTTAAGAAATAATTAGAATTTAGGAAATCATGATAAACTTGATATCTAGCTGAATATTTTTATAGTTTATTTGTTATCTATGAAAATAGAGTATTTTAACAAAATATAATTGCTGTATATTTATGATTTAATATATATAATACTGTATTTATTTCAATTCATAAGGAGAGATAATAAAATAGATAATAATAGGATATATAAGACCTCCATTTACTTTATTAAATTGAATATAAGTGTTTATGAATAAATCAATAAAAATATTCAAATATAATTCTTTATGAGTTTTAGTGGAAGAAACCAATATTTTTCTCAAATTTAATTTAAAATGTCAAAAGAAGATATCTTTGTATATAATTTTTAGATTTAGATTGGGTTAAAAATCTCGTTTGTAAATTTTAACTTTATACTAGCAAATTCAAAATCATTACAAGAAAGAAGAATAAAAATAATGAGTAAACTGAGTCGAAACAAAAATGAAATATAAATTAAACAATTAATTAGAGCTTTCTAATAACAAATTGGTATAAACATCGTTTTGATTCTTAAGCCGTGATTCCATGGGAATAATTTGATTGAGTATAATACAAATTTAATTTTTTTGATTAAATGATGGAACTTAATCAAATCTTGAAGTGAATTTAAATACTAACTAAGAGTTGGAATTCTAAGTTTAATAGAAGAAATTGCTCAGTTAGATTAAGTTTGTTGTAATGAAAATATCAGTGATTGGCATAATTAATTTTAATATAAAATTAAACCTTATAAGATCACATATGGACCTAAAGTGCAAGGATCAAGGCTAAAAAATAATATTAAAAAAAAAGGCTGGGCTTAAGTTAAAGAAGGCTCCTCAATTTCCTGGTATGTTGCTTTTTGTTAATTTTAGACAGAGTATTGACAGATGCCCTAGTTACACCATCGACTAATGTGAGAGAATCTCGAGAAAGCAATCTTCTCTAAGGGTTGGTATCGCCTATTGATGATGAAAAGACCAATCAATTCAACTTCTTCAACTGCAATTCCCAAAAATAATTAGTTACTGTTAAAAAAGTGGATCCGATTGAGTAGATCAAGAGGATAATCTCCGAAAATGAAAGACTTCGATTGACGATAAATTAAAAGCAGAAAATAATTGACACGAGGATGAAATAAAGAAAAGAAATCCCAGAACTCTTGTTGTCTCAAAGAAATTCGCGTAGTTTACTGCAACCTCATGAGAAATAGAATACTGCAGATGATTATGGATACTTTTTGGATAAGCAGTCAATATCTTAAAATTATAAACGTTCAATGTTGCCTCAGATTGAATCTAAGCAAAGTTCTCCAATAACTCGAGATGAATGTGCTTTCACATTTGCAAATAATTTCTTTATCAAAGAACAAAAGGTCTCCCCTAAAAAAATCAATATGATGCAAGCTTTTCCTTAATTGCATTTGTAGAGAAAATTTTTTACTTGATTTAAGTATATAAATCATTATTACTATCATTTTTTTGGCTTTAAGAACTCAAGTGCCTCTTAATACAGAGCTTTTCGCAAGGCTTGTTCCTTAAGTTCAATATCATCGAAAGACCAATCGAAGGATTCCTTGCAAATCTGGGGTGGATGGTCGATGTATTGTTGCTTAAAGTATGGATGCTCGATGCACTGTTAGATTGTAAAGCGTTTATTCGGATTGTAGACCTAAGATCAATGAAGGAAGTATACTAACATATGTTCCAACAAATCCAGAGCCAGAGGAGAGGCGAAGGGAAAAAAGTCTGCCCATTTGATGGCTTCTCTTTCTGGCAATTGCTATAGGAATTCAGTAGACTATTCATCAATTTCATAAGGCAGATCTTCCTATTTGGGTTTGCCAAGGACTGCCACTATTTTTTCAATTTATTCTTAATGATGCATGCCCTTAAACAAAATAGTTCTGCCTAATAGTTCTCCCAAAATGCAACCCAAAGACCAGATGTCTATTGCTTTGGTATATTCACTGGAGGACAGCAAAACCTCAGGAGCTCGATACCATCTCTGTACGACATAATCAGTTTGAATTGAAGCATTCTCTAATACTTATTTTCGAGCTAAATTCAAATCCCCTATTTTTATATGGCAATTCGCATTTATAAATATGTTATTGGGTTTGAGATCTCTATGGATGATGTTGGCTGAATGCATATAATATAAACCACTGATGATCTGATACATGCACCAATTGATCTTCTTATCAGTCAAAGGTTAGGGAGATTGAATGACTTTTTCCAAATCCAGGTGCATTAGTTGAAACACCAAATACAAATCCTTGTAGGTGTCCTACTCATCAGGGATAATGATGTCTAGCAATTTAACGATGTTGGGATTATCGAAGAACTCTACTTTTAAATGCTAATAATACTCAATAGTTTTATTTCTCTTAGCACCTTTTTTGCATCCAGCAAATCTCTGAAAACCATTGCAATCTAGAGATAATTGATGATCATACTTTCTTGATGGCGACGTCTATGTTATTCAATTTGTCCTTCCCTGAACAAACAAAGCCAAAGGCTCCATTTCCAATATTACGCTATAACTCATAATGAGTGTAAATTTCAAATGTGCCTCCACCACATTGGACTTTGTGTTTCAAAGGGATGGCCAGTCTAATCTGAGGGGGTAACTTTTAAATTGTGGTTTCCTCGTTCTCAGCAATTTTCTTGAGAATAATGTCCTTCTTTTAATCCATTATTATTTTATTAATGAATAATTAACAAATAATTTCAAATAACTCCAAGTAAGAACAACAGCCGGAAGAGGAATCTTATGATGAAGAAGACGACGATGACTTGTAAGAGTACACGCAATCGACTAATCTAAAATAATTGTTCAAGAATTCGGGTAACTTCAAAAAAACCTAAAATTATTAGATTCTTTCATGCAGCAAATTAACCTCCTAAATGAATAGGCTACTGCTAAGATTAAGCAATAAAAACATAAAGAAGCATTGAAACTATTGCAACAATCTGAGCAGATGCTCGAAGTATCACTCATTTACATTTTTCTTAGTTTGCTGCCAGTTGCGGTAGAGTCATCGATAGGAACTTAATCATTATTATCTTGTATAACCAAGCATGTGCTTATCAATGGTATATGGTTATCCTTATTATTACAGCCAATGGATCCTGGATAAATGCTCTAAGTATCTGGATGGAGTCATCTACAACATGGAAATTGGCATCAAAGAAGATGAGCAGGATTTGCAGACTCTTCCCAACATGTAAGAGAAACAAGCGCAACTCATCAAGAGATAAGCATTTCTAGTTAAAGCATACCTGTAATACACTGCAATACTGAGTTAATTAGGAAAGTAATTTACAATATATACATAGACACAAGTAAGCGTTGCTTAATTCCCAAAAAGCAGCTCAAACCATGAGAGAGTTGTTTAAGGTAGCCAACTCTTTTTGCCAGTCGTGGCTACAGGTTAACGGCTCTCAGGGGACTGCCACAACATCATAATCTAATGTATCTGTCAGAAGTAAGTTACTGTTCTTATAATCAAGATGAGTCCTCTCATAATCTGGATAAAAAGAAGAAGAGCTAAACTTATCAACTCAAAGATGAAATCGAATTTGGGAGGGTTGTCATTGATGGTGCCCAAGATGTATTGAAGGATATGATTAAATAAGAGGATTTGTCCTCTGTTCGTTTAGATCAAAAATAGTTACTCAAAGAAACCAAACGGCAATTATACAATTGGAGAAACAACCCAGAAAATAATGATAAATCAATCAGAAAAGAGTTAAAGTTAGTGACTCAAAATGAAGAATATAGATCTTTGTTAGGTAATCAAAACTTGGCTGATTGGATTAAGAACTTTAATATTGGCTCAATTATGCATATGGCTCCTCAAATTTATGAGGAATTCACATAATTTGGGGAAATGATTTTGGAATTAGCTAAGAGGTAACTATTGGAAAAAGTCATCTATCTCTCAATATCATATTTCACCATTGCAACTGAATTGAGATTTGTTGAATTAGAAAAAGCCAAATAACATGGTGTCAAAGACGATAAAATCAATACTGAAGAGTTTAAACTGAGTGAGCTATACCATCTTAAATCTATAGAAATCGCTTGTAGACATATCTAATATCAATCACCATACATTTCTCATCTTATTACTAGCTATCATAAACATTATAATATTAATCTTGACGTTATTCGAGAAGAATCTTTACAATCGACAGCATCTGAAAAGATAGTAGAAGAATAAGAGTAACCTAAAGTTAAAGGGAAGATGTTGCAAATATAAGTTAATAAAGAACTTCCAAATTCAAAATTTGAAAAATAAGATCAATCTCCAAAGCTCACAGGTAATTTCATTAAATCGTTTCTTAATTCCAGATCACCTCCAAAATAATCTCAAAAATAATCAGTCAAAAATTTAATTAGCGAAACAGTCAAAATTTAAACCAATCTTTTAGAATAAATGATTAATAAAAAAAGAGGGTCAGACTCATCTCCAACCAATTAAAGGAACTCAATCAAATAATAGAACTAAGCAGATTTTGATTTCAGTGTCTATTTAAAAAAACAATCTAACCCATGTAACACTAGCAATTTAAACACTGATACTACACAAGACATTGTTAATAGTGCCATGACCATTCAATTATAGCCATATAAGAATAACAGTATCAAAAATACTCTAAATAATATGATTAAACAGTCAAGTCCAACTAACAACAATAATACACAGTTAAAGACTTTTCTTTCAGATGCTTGTAGGACAGAAAGATAAGTAATGACTGAACAATAGAATTCTTACACTCCTATTAGTTATAGAGTTAATAATCGATCTCCTGATTCATCTTATCTGAATGCCCAAAAATAGCGTTAACAATAACTGCATCATAATAAAACTCCTCAAAATAGACCAAGAACAAATACTGAATAACAATACCTATAGCCATGTATTTAAATCTAATATATATATATAGCATTTCCATTAAAATTGGAAACAATTCAGCAGCTATTAAGAAATAAAGCAATTAATAATCCGAAAGTAAAATGAAGATTATTCAATTTTTCTTAATTTTATAATCATCTATCATACCTCTCAATGTTAAATATAATTAATAATCAACTTTTTTAAACTATTTAAAGAATTTATTAGTTTCATCTAATTTACCCCCCTCCTTGTTAACTGCATGAGCAGCACCAGCTTTTACAGAATTTAAAATTATAATTTTGATCCTTACTCTCATTCTATCAAGAATTTTTACTTTTTCTTCATTTAAACTAATCTCTTCTTCCTCTATTTTTTAGAATTATCATCTTATTCATTTTTGCTTTTTCTTTTTATTCTTTTGCATTCTTCTTTCATTTATTCTTATTTTATTATCGTTCTCATTTCAATAATTATTATTCCCTGCTAATCTTGATTAATTCACTCTTCTCCTCAAAATAACTGCTTCTTTATCAACAACTTCTATTTGATATTATTATTTTCAATTTTTTTTATTCTTATGGTTTAGGTGGTATTATCCAATAAATCTTTAATTATATCATTTCTAATTAGCTGTTTTCCAGTTCAAAGTCTTTGCTATTTTTGTTTAACTTAGTGATTAGAACTAATAAACTTAAAAATTCTATTGTTTCATCAAAAATTAAAATACTTTATTTAATGCCTATTTATTTTATAAATATTAATTTGTTAAATTTAAATACTTTTATTTATAATTAGCAAATATGACTAAGAACTGATTGTTGCTGATGAATTCTTTCAAATTTTTTAAAACATGAAGATGTTAAGGATGAGCTTTGAAAAATGGAAATTTTGTTGCTTAATGTTTATTTGTATAGTGTTGTAAATTAATAATATTTACTTTTGTAATTTTATTTAATAAATGAGAAAAAATAATAAAGTTTAACCTGCCAACTAAGTATAGGTGGTTGCATAGGGTACCATAAGTCCAGAGATCTCATAGAAGGCTCTCACAACAATACCAGATCAATAAGGGAATTAGAAATAATTAGATCCTCGACTTATTGCTGGACCTTTGGCAGAAAGAGGTTGTACTGATATACTTTGCTTACTACTTTTTATTGCTGGGATGGCTATATTGATGTATTTACCCTATTTAAAGTAGATTCATCTCCAAAGAGGCTTATTCAAAGGGAGAACCAAAACGACTTCTTGCAATGTACGATCCAAATGGTAAAGAATGTTAAATATTCAATGAAAGGTGTGCCTTGTGGATTCGACACAAATGTGGATTACCCTTATTTGTATTTTGCAATACCTTTTGGAGATTACTTTAATAGAACAGTGTGTGTGAAAGAATGTCCTTTGTATGCAGATGAAACTAGCAAGCCAACATCTCTGGATTGTCAACCAAACAATTTGGTTAAGAGTTGTGACTAGAAATGCGATGCTGCTAGTGCACTCAAGACTTTGGCAACGTCTAATAGCACTGCTATATTCAAAGATTTCGTCTGTATCTTTAATTCATCAATCTGTAAAATGTGATTAAGATGTTTAAGTATTTGATCGAGTTTGTTATCCAGATGCCTTGTTGGCACTATTTGATAATTACCAAGAGTATGGATCCTAATTTGCCATGGATGTTCTTACCGGTTACATCGAAGATTTAACATAAACAAAGGAGGCTATTTATTGCTCATTTGCAGTGGCATTCTTAATGGGGTATATAGGTTAAACTATAGCATAGAATAATATATTTGTATTTCACAAGATTGCTAGCTGGAGTACTGGTTTGGACATCCATATTTCTCTTTTTAGTAGGATTGGGATTTGGAACCTATTGGTGTCATCAACAAGATCTCTATTACTAAGATATTATGAATGACACAACTGGCAAGTACACAGTTGAACAAACCAATAAAGCCACAGATAATTAATTAACATTCCAATATTTGACATATGTTATGTATGCTATCTGTGCCTTTGCTGTTATGGGATTGATCTGCATTTTCAATAAGATAAGATTGGCTATAGCTGTTATTAAGACTGCAGCCATGTGTGTCAAGGATCATTTCCTACTAATCTTTGTTCCTTAAATTACAGCTATAGTATTGGCAGGCCTCTGGTTTTGGTGGATCTACACTGCAGCATACGTGTATGCAGTTGGAGATATTAAAGGAACAGGCAGCAGTCCATTTGCTGAAGTCACACATACTGAATTGCAAATATAATATATTTGGTATTTCATATTTGGTGGATTATGGATAAATGCATTCATTTAGGCCATTAATAACTTTGTGATAGCCTCTACTTGTTGTTTTTGGTACTTTGCACAACAAGGTGCTGGAGGTGATGAAAGAGCCATTTCATAATCTCTCTATAGAGTCTTCAGATATCATGCAGGTTCCTTAGCATTTGGTTCTTTGATCTTGGCTATTGTATAACTCATCAGAATCATGTTGGAATATATTAGATATCAAACTGAGAAAGTGGCTGGTTCTGAAAATAAAGCAGTCAAATGTTTATTAAGATGTTTGAGTTGCTGCATGGCATGTTTTGAAAGGTTCATTAGATTTTTGAATAATAATGCCTACATTATGATTGCTCTAACTGGTAAAAACTTTTGTTCTGCTGCTAAAGCTGCCTTTGAAACTATATGGGCTAATAGTATGAGATTTTCTTTAGTTAATGGTATTGGAGGGGCATTCATTTTTGTTGGTAAATTCTGCATCTCAATTGTCACTTTAATGATCTTTTATTATGTAATTACAACTATGGATTACTTTAAAGAAAAGATTTTCTCTCCAGTTTTCCCCTGCATTGTAATAATATTAATAAAATTACTTAGGTTGTTTTCATCATTGCTTATGCATTAGCTGTGCTTTTCATGTCAATATATGGGATGGCATGTGATGCAGTGCTATTATGTTTTATTTTTGATGAAGATTTAAATAAATAAAATGGTGGCCAAAGTGCTTCCAGATGTCCTGAAACTTTAAAGGAATTTCTTGAACAACCAGAGATGGCAAATCTAAAATAAGCATGATTTAATATAATAAATAATGATTTAAAATTCTACAACAACACCTCCAAATGAGGATTCTCTGTGCAAACCTATTATTCAGCTCATGTCGACTATGAATTAGCAATAAATGAGAGTGCGTAAGCCTTCTGAAGAAAGTCGAAAAATTCAATCTGAAACTCAATAAATGAAGATTACTCATCCAAAATCACCTACTTTAACATAAGTCAGTGTATAGATCGCATCAGACAGAGCGTCACCGCATAATTAACAAGATTTGCTTCTCATAAACGAAGAACCCAGCAACAAGGAGGAATCTCAATAACTAAGCATGATTAAAAAGATGAAGCATTCAGATCAATTATATAGGAAGTCTATTTTTAATAAAAGCAGAAACTCTTAGTCATCAATGTCTCTACTTTACAGAGAGAAAGCAACACTTATTTAGAATCTAATTATTTCAAAAAAGCAATTTAAGCTGATAAATGATTTGTCAGCCTAATACTTTGTCCCTTTAAAAGATTAAATAGAAAAATTCCTTAAAAGTGAATGTGTTCCCAAATTGTTCCTATTCAGTCTGTATTTCATTTTTCTGTTATTCTATTTAACAGTCCTATTAATCGAAATTGGGTGCAATTAATTGGCTATATCAAATTTGGCTATATTCTAGTACATATTGTTAATCACTCAAGTAATGGACTTTTCAAATCAAGTGATTTCTTATAGGGGGAACATTGGGAATATCATAGTTGATAATTTGGGATTAATACCATTTATTTCATATCAAATTGACAATTAATAATCATAGAAGTTAATTTATTTATTGTATTTGATCAGAATTAGGAAAATTAATAATTTTATTCAGAATTTAAATTTCTACTCTAATTAATAAGATTACATCTTTATCATCCAGACAGCCATCTAATTACACTTTTCTACTTGTATGGCTTAGACCATCATTTTTATGTTCGCTTTATCCCAATAAGACTACATCATCTACATACAAAGTATATTTACCTTAATATTCATAACTCCTTAGATATCGGGTCAATACTACTTTCTTATTTATCTGATTAAGATCTTATTGATAATATTCTACTTTTACAAGTTCAAACAAATCATGAATTACCAGTCACTTTCACTTGATTAATACTTGAATTACTAGCCAAATACATAAAAGTTGATCTATGAATACACCCATTAAATTAGAGAGAATATTTTCGATATCAATTTGATGCCTAGTTTTTTGTAAAGGAAGATGAAGAGAGAGAAGTATTTTAAGATTTTGTCCGAAATCCCAATATTTAATGCATCCTTCTCTACATAGACTTTACTCAATATTTGTGATCTGATTCAAGAGCAAATATTAAGACCCAATGAAATTATAGTGCAAAAATAAGCATTGTACATTCATCTGCAAGGAGTAATCTAATTGGTTTAAAAGAACGATTCCTCTCTACAGGAGTTTAAATTAACTAAAATTAGAAATCCTTATTCAATCTTTAACAACATAGCCTTTTTTAAAAATTAGATGTAAGGAATTCAGTTTGAGAGCATAGGACACTCGAAAGTAGCTTGTTTAAATTCTTAATCATTTCATCAATTAATTAAACAGTGTCCAAAAGAATTTTAAAAGTACAGAATGTTGGTAGATACCATTGTATTAGACAATGATCCAAAATTGGCTAACATTTTTTGTTTTGGATGCCATTAAGCTCATGATATCACACAATGCCCTTTTGTCAATTATAAGCCTAATAAATATTTTATAATTAATAGTGATAAAAATCATAAAGTATAAAGCAGAGTGTCAGATTTCAAAAGAGTAATATTCTTTTATAATATAATTAGGAAGTACAGACAAAAAAGACGAAAATACTCATTAAATCAGCAAATGCTTAGGAAGATTCAGAATCCTTTGAGTCGGAAGAGAAGGATAAGGTTGCACCCTTCAATAAGATTCTACCTTCATCTAATTCATCCTTAAGTTTGAATAACAACAATAATCCAATAAATTAACTTGAAATAAGTTCAGTTCCTTATGTGAGTTATTCTCACAGTGGATAGACACTCTATTCTAAAAAGATGGATTCAGATAACCATTTTTCTGTTTAAGGAGTAAGCAGCAGTAACAGCAGTAGAAAAATAATCTAGAATGAAGGGAAAGAAGTAGGCCAGTCTAAATTCTAAAAATATGGACAGTTGGAAGAAATGTAGGGATCCTCCTTTTAATTAAATCCCTTATAGAGGGTGCAAGATAGCTTATTGTAAACTAGGATAAAATACAAAAAGAATATAGCTGATAAACAAGCATAATATTAGAAATATCAAACAGATGTCTAGCAGAAACAGCAAAAACGAAATTTAAGAAAAAATTAAACAATGATGAGCAATAGTTCAGTAGTTGATAATCCAAAAAAAGGCAGAATTTCAATTGAAGGTAATTTTATGCAATCATTTGAAAAAATTAGTCAGTTTGATGACTATTTTCCACATTACAATGTAGATAAATAAATAAATAATTATTAAAGAATTTAATCGATTAATAAAGATAGTAATTAATGAGAGCAAAGATATATGTTCATGTTTATTCACTCTATTTATTTAACATCAGTTTAATATTTTTAAGATTATCAATTTATGTCTATAGCATAATTTATTCTTCTTAAATTTAATGTAATCCCCTACAAATATAATACAATATGTGTACCTATTTTACTCAATAAACTTCCTCTTCCATGTGCTGATTTCATCAAGTAAAAACTTTTGTTTATCCTCCATTTGTAAGGTTTGTTCTTCCAACTAATTGTGTAAATCTTAGATGTAATGATTTTAATCTTCCAATTCCTTGTCTTTTGCAATTAACTGTGAATCATAACCGTCAATGATATGTTATTTTATGCTTAATTTTTCTTGCATATTTTAAATTTCCTCTTGCAATATTTTTATAGTATTCACTAACTGTTAGATTTGACTATAAACTTGAGAGAGTTCACTCTCATTTTAATCAAAGTCTTCATTTTTTTATTATTATTCCAATTGTTGAACTTTCCTCTATAATTCTTGCACTTTTTATTTCCATGGTTCCTCAACATGATTCAAATCTACTAATTGCAATTGTTTGCTCTTCTTGCTTTGAGAATCATTGAATAGAGTTTTATTAACATTGTTAAAATTGCTTTGTTATATTGGTTGTCTTTATTGTTAGGTAGATGGTTATTACAATAATGGTGATTGGTAAGGTGATTGATAAGGAGATTATTAGTATAATTTTATATTTGGAGAAGATTAGATTTATAGAGAGTGCCTAAATCCAAGTTAAGCTGTGGGTGTAGATATTTATTGTTATTTCATTTATTTTAAATATCTAAAAATATATTCATTATCAATGATTAATGTGTATATTACTTACGAATATATCTAATAGCTAAATTTATAAACATAATTCTATGGTAATAAGCTCAAAATATTCTTTGATTGCCAACTATTCTTTTCAAGTAAAACACTTGCCAAATAGTAATAAAGATCACTCCCAAAATTTCGATCAAACTAAATAGTAACAATTTAGAATTCGAATTTTGGATCTCCTCTAAATTACCCTCGAATTGTTATCCTGCTATTTTATCAAAAAAATAATTATCCTTATTATAAGATTAATTCAGATACTTTCATAGCCATTAGTATTCTTTCCACTCTAAGGGCCAAAGGATCTAAATCTGCCATCTTCAAAAATTCTTATTCTGAATCATGCACATCTAAAGTAAACGTAACAGTTTTGCTGTATTTTGACTAGATTATAAATAGTAAATTCTCATACTCTTTTATTTTAGAAAATAAATTTGTATTCTCCTTTTTCTAAAATATCAATATTGAATATTGCTTCATTAACTTTCTCCTTAGAATAAATCAAGGTATTGTTTGAAGTCTTTATAAAGAAATCGATTTTATCTTCGACCTTAAATTAGGGTATAAAAAAGGCTCCTTTGATAGATGTAGGTTTTAAGATTTCTTCATAAAACACCTACAAAATACTTTAGATATACTTCTATACTTCCAGGATCTAAATCAAAACTTAATATAAATTCTGGTTCAAAATCACCCATCTTTTGATCCCATTAAAAAATGAATCGGTCATTCCCTTTATTTTTGCTTGTTTTTTTATTAGTTTTGTTTTATGGTTTATTATCTTCTGTAGTATTAGGATTGGTTACTTTCCCATTCTCATCTCGATTTTAATCTTTTGTTCTTAACTATGATTATATATTATAAATTTGGTTACTCCAAACAGCGGTTTCAAAACATTCATGATCTATAATTGGGTTTCCTTTAAATTTTTAAAAGTTGATTTTTCCTTTTTTTACGTTTTGCTTTAAATAGGTTTAGTATTTGTTTATGAAGATTTAGAGTTTTTATTCTTTGCTGCTATTTAATCACTCATTTTCTTTAGGTCCTTAAAATTTGTTTAAGGAGCTGCTTTTGTGAACACAATAATAATTGAAATGAGACAGAGAATCAAAAGTACTTATTTCATTATTATTTTTATTTCTAATTTAACATTAAATGAATAAGAATAAAGTTATCAATTAATATAAAATTGTAATTACAATCAGAATATCAGAAGGGCTGCAAAAATTGTTGAAATTGTGCTTATGATTAAAGAGTTCTTATGTTCTGATTAGTACAATTCAAAACCTAGATTGTTCTTTAAGTAGATGTCATTTATCGGTCTACACACAAACAATATTATGATAATAAACTAAACAGGGATCAAAACAACCAAATCTATCAAGATTAATTATATTATGGCTACAATCTAAATTAGTAATCTGAAAATTTTACTTGTATGATGAGAATAGCATATATAAGTTATCTTAAAATGTTTTGAAATAAGTTAACAATGATACTTGCCAGCAGCAATAAAGATAAAGCTATAACGATCAAATGATTTTCTAACTAATACAATAAGTACAAGGTTCCAAAGAATACTAAATCAATAACAAATTGACCTAAAATTGATAAGTATTATTGTTTCTGTTTAATTATTAATGGTTATGGTTTAGAGATTGCTTGATCTGAGTTATGTTCATATAAAAATAATCGTATAATTGAGGAGCTTATGAATGTAAATATAGACATTGACTATATTGGAATGTTTCTTAAAAGCAAATAGTAGAGAAGGAGCCCAAAATATTGGCATTCTTATAAAAATTGAAATTGTAATGTTTGAGTAAATTGATTTTGCAAATTGGTGATCAATCCTAAGCAACCTCCAATTATTACAGCCTTCGTGTAAGTGTTTGGTAGCAAAAATGATAGGGATAAAATAAATGAATAGATGTAAATTTGCAATTTTTAAAATCTGCTAAATATAATGCATTGCCATATTCCTAGCAATCCCATAGTAAAAGTGCAAACTATGAATTGCATCTAAGTAAATATTAAGGGTAATATGAAAAAGATTCCTGTTGTAATTGATAATAAATGAAAGGCAATAAAGCTTTTAGAGCTGAGTTAGGAATGATAAAATTTCATTTATTATAATAAATAATATAATAAAATTATAAAGTTTTTGTATTTTAAAGAATTTTGATAAAATGTGAAATGATTGAATATTCAGTTTGTGTGGGTTAATTTCTCTATTACAAAATATTATTTCTATTAAATGTAATTTGTGAAAGCAAAAAGAAAGCCCTATTTAAATGATAAAGAATAGTAGAGATTTTAAAATCTATCACACAAATCATAAAAAATTTATATAGAAATACAATATTAACACTTATGGAATATTTCTCTATTTGAGAAGATACAATATTATTAAATATAAGAATAATTATTCTTTGTTTTTACATTTAAAATTATAGAATTATGTTAGAAAAAGATTAGTTCATATAAGTAACACTTTTGCTAATTGTTATTGTTTCATATTTAGGTCATAAAATACATGGGGAATAACAAAATTAATTAAAAAAATTAATTCAAAAAGTCGCCCAATCATGTTCGTAAGATTATGATGATGTGATTACATAAATTTCTGAAAATATTTAGGGTTTCTTTTAAGACAAAGTACCTCCACTCCTACCACAATAATAAAAATAAAAAGAAAAAAAAAGCTAAAGTAATTTTATCATTCGCCATTACGAAAAATTTTTTATTGCATAATATTCTAATTAAACCAACCTTAAAAGCGAGAATAGTGTTTAAATTAAATGCTAAACTAATGAGATCTTATATGCAAAAAAATTCATTGACAATAATTCTGACTCTTTTACAGGAGAGGGTTTTTAATACAAGGTGACTTATGATAATAACTTAAATCCAAATTATGAATTATACGAAGGCTAATTTTTAAATGGATTAAAACATGGCATAGGGAAATTGTATGGTTAGAAATCTGAGAATGTTTATTATGAAGGTGAATGGAAGAATGATAAAATGGTGTCTCAACGGAAAGAAAAATTTTAAACAGATTAGTTAGAAAGATAATCGCTAATAAAGTTTATTATTAGAGATGGTGATTAGATAGTTAGTTAGAATAAAAGGCAGATAGAGAAAAGGAAAAGAGTAGATGATTGGATAAAATATAATTAATAGATTTCTGAGCATGATATAGATAGATTATAGAGTAAAAGCAAATGGTTCACAAGCTCAATTATAGACAGCTTTGCCTTATATCTAAATATAAAAATGGAAGAGAAATATTTTTAAATTGACCCTAATGAAAGGAGATAGGCTTTAAGATAAGTGTTTATTCCAAGTTAGATTTTTACTTCAATGTAGAATGAAAAAAAAGATGGTAATCAGGAGATATTTCAAAAGCATTTTCTTGAGTATAAGATAATAGAATACAAAATAGAGAAAATCTTTGATAGAGTTAATTTTATTGTTAATAGAAATAACGCTCATTGGTTTTTAATATAACTAAATTTAAGAAATTATGAAATGGTTGTTATGGATAGTCTTAAAAATAAGCATCAATATTACAACTTTGCAAAAGACATTCTCAATTAGATATTTGATAATAAAATAAAGAGGATAACTTTATCAAATTAATGTCATGTCTAAAAGAATGGAAATGATTGTGGTCCATATACTTGTATACACATGTTAGAGATAAGTGAGATCTAATCAAAATTGCGAAATCCATCTGAGATGAGGGATTTTTTACTCTCAAAATTAAAATAAGATTGAATACTTTAATAAAATAATATTTTTAATAAAATAGTATCATTATTATTATGATTTTCTTCTGTATGGAGCATTTGACATGTTAGAATGATAGGAGTTTTCTCTGTCTCTCTATCTTTATATTTATTGTTATTTAAGTTATTTGACTTGTTCATCATTATTACCTCCTCCCTTAACGGAACCATCATCTGATTCCTAAATGTTTCTTCTCGATAGAACAGGTGAATGCTATGAATGATGAGGAGATGGAGGCTTAATGTATAAGTATTAATTCATACCTAGATTAGTTATTATGGTTGAAGGTAGACTTAGTTTTATTTGGTTTGCTAAAAGTCTTAAGAAGGTCCTCCTTATCGTACTCTGCTTCCAGCTTCACTTGATTGTTTAGGAGGTATGGGTAAGGTGTTCATATTAGCTTGTTGATCTTTTAGTTTTTGGAGTTCATTGGACAAATCATTGCACTCTTTTCTGAGTTATTAATTTTCCTCGTTGATCTTATTTTCTGCTCTGATCTTCTATTATTTTTATACGGTTGCATAATTATTGATTTGAGTTTGTAATTTCGAAATCTCCTATTTTAATCTTTCATTTTCTTATTCAAATAATTCTTTTTATTCTCTATAAGTGAAGTTCAATTGCTCTAAATGTTCATTATTCTTTTGATGCTATTAAAGAATGGCGCATTTCTCATAATACATCTGAAAATCTCTTTCTAATTCAGCAATTCTATCATCTTTCTGATTGATGATCTTTTGTATATGTTTATCTCTTTCCTCAATGTCTGCCTAGACTCCACCTTTGTGTGTTACAAATTCTTGTAACAAAGACTTGTTTTCTTCCAATTGAAGTTTTAATTGTCTGTTCTGTAACTAAAGCTATTCTATGATTCTCTTCTATTATTGATAATCACTAATCTCTTTCTTGCTCTATTCATAATCTATCTTAAGTAATTCATAATCATTCTTAATATTATTCAAATCTTTTGAGATTGAAGTGTTCTTCTATTCAAGTTCTTCGATCTCCATTTTTTTTTCTTTAAGTTCCTCCTCATGTTCTTATTTTAACTTCTACATAGTTTAATTGAATTTCAACTTCTAATAATCTAAATCCACAGTATTCTGATTGAACAATTAAGTCAATTGTTCTGATCTCTATTCCATGGTGTTGTAGTATTGAATATTTTATATACTCAATTCTCCAATATGATTTTAGAGTCTATTTTCGTTTTCGGTTAGTTTTTTCGATTTCTCTATTTCCATCGACAATTTTTAAATAATATCATCGTTTTAATCAGCTAATTGATCGCATAATAATTATTTATCTTTCAAATCTTCATGCTATTAATTGATTTCCTTAATTAACGTATCATTAGTAATCTGATACTTTTACAATTCATTCTTCAAATCGTCTAATTCTTGATTCAATTCATAGATCTTGAGATTGCTTTGAGAAAGCAATTCAGTTTTATCTGATTGCAATTTCTCGTAATCTGTTGATAATTACAGTAGTTGTTTATTCAACTTTTCAACAGTGAAGGTTAATGATGTGATAACACTATCCTTCTTCTGGTTTTCGAATTGATAAGAACTCTTAAGTTCTAATTCAGTTCTGCAATTTTCCTTAAGAATTTACATTTATTCAGATTATGCTATTTCTGATAACTTGTGCTTTTCGATCTACTGTTCTAATTGGAGACAATATTTTTTTGAATTTTAGAATTGTTTTTCTAATTCATAACCATCTTGTGTTTTATCATCTAATTGCTACCTTTGTTCTTTGACATGTTTTAAAAGGACAGAATTTTCATCCTCCAATAATCTTAATTGATGTCTGAGGTCAGAGATTTCTTCTGCTTCATTAATGGTCATAGTTTCGACGATCGAATGCGTTTCTAAATCCTTTTGTTCAAGTAGCAATGAAAGACTTCGATTTTCATCAATCAATGTATTAACCATCTAAGACAAAGTAACAATATCATGAGCTTATTGCTTTAATTCATAATTTATCTCTTGATTCTGCTTTTGCAAAGCCTCTATATACAGTCTGGTCTTTTCGGGATTGAAAGCTTGAGCTTGATGTGGTTTTATGGCTTGAAATGGGATCAATTCAGGATAAAGCCTATATAATGTTTGAGCATTAAAGTTTTCTTATTGGTTGGTGGGCAGAATTGGAATTTTGAATTCAGCTTAATATTCCTGATGAATGTGATAAAGAAATACTTAAAATTTGCGATTGGTTTCATCATACCTGGCTCTATTCATTTCAGTTAATTAATTTTATTAATTATTGGGATGCCAATTAAATTGTGAATAAGTAATATTCGCAAATTTGAGCGTAATTAAATTGGATAGAGGGTATGGACTTGGGGGAATACTTTAAACAAGTGGTTTGAGTGAGTATATTTTGAATAAAATAAGTTGATTAATTTTTGTAGTATATTATAAAAATGGACCATCATAAGTATAAGGTGTCACTTAACATGTATGATTTGTCATAAGGAATGGCCAGACAATTTTCGCCTATGTTTTTGGGGAAATAAATTGATGCAATCTGGCATACTGGAATTGTAGTTTATGGAAAAGAATATTATTTTGGTGGTGGCATCTGTGCATAGACTCCAAAATCAACTATCTATGGATATCCTATTGAGGTTTCATGTTTTGATTTGATGATTAGGAAAGAGAATTGGGAGAAACTGAAATACCTCAAGGCACATTTGAAGAATTCTTAAGAAGCATCAGTTCGAAATATTCTATGGAAAAATATGATTTATTTGAGAATAATTGTAATAATTTTACTAATGAATGCGCTTTATTTTTAGTAGGCAAAGGCATTCCTGAAAATATAATAGGTAATCTCTATTATCACTATTCACATTAGGATTGCCCCAAGAATTTTTAAATACTCAATTAGGATAAATGCTTAAACCCGCCATTGAGTAGTTTACTAATAAATAGGCTACAGCTTAAACTGAGCATTTTAATGAACCTCAGAATTAATAATTATAACCACCACCAAGTAGCTAAAATATTAATGCTTAAATTATAAACTAAGCACTACTACAACCATAACCTCAATCATCATAGCCAATTTCATTAAACCAAAAAGTTTAACCAGCCTAGTAACCACCTCAACAACAAACAATAACAGATACGAATGTTACAGCAATTGATGACTTGACCACTTACTTATGTTTGATAGAGAGCAGTCCAGTCAGCATTGTTGATTTCTATACCGATTGGTGTGGACCATGCAAGACTATAAAACCATTGTTTCATAAATTATCCCTCGAACACCCTCACATCAATTTTTATAATGTGAATATTGATAAGGTAATCTATTCTTTAGAATTGTTAAGGTTCGAGAGATTGCAGACTCTTTATAAGTGTCCAGTATCCCAACATTTATTATTTATGAAAATGGATAATAGAAAGAGAGATGGACAGGTGGAAACCAGTAAACTTTAATAAACAATTTATAAAAATTAAAATGAATTAAAAATAATCATAATTGTATATTTGCAAATTCACATCACTAAATCTGTCAAAACATATCATTTAATATATCCTAGTTGATTCCAGTACTTTAAATTGAAGAGATTCTCTTAACCAAATATGCACTTCCATTTTTATCCTCTACATTAGTCTTAATCTTCTTCACAATGGAGTCTGAGTCATCAAACATTTTTGGAGACAATTTTCCCCTTAACTAATCGATATCAGTCACATTAGCAACATATATTTTCATATTGAATTCGTCTTCATTTTTAAAACTCTATAGTTTTCTCTAATTTAATTCTATTGCAAACTAAGTGATAGGAAGTCTTAGGAAGAGCGGCCATGCTTCTTGCTTCAACTTCTTAATTCCCAAGAAATAAGTGAGAGATTTAGCATGGTCTCTTTCAAGATTCTCCTCCCCCTCAGGTGTTATTCTCAACTCAAAACTTTTAGTATCGTAAACCTCCTCGTTGTTCCCAACCAACTTTAAAAGTTTAGGCAATTGGGCTTCACAAAACCCAGTCCACTTATGAAAGTTCTCAGAGGTCTTAGAAACTATAGATAGTGCAACAAAGTATTAAAAACAATCAAAAAAATCAAATGGTCTCAATACTTCATTCCAATCTCCTAATTTCTAAGCTCCGATCTAGAATTCTTGGAAGATGGTTTGAAAAGTGATCTTATGGACTTTGAATGTGGTATTAAAGAATGGATATGCCGGAGTTATGATTTGCATTATCTTATCATTCCTTTTATCTTCATCTCTCTTCCAGCAAAGCGTCTTAAATGTCTCTATCTCTGGACTATAAATAATAACATATAATCTCTTACTCAGATTCATCAATCACAACAGGTACTTTCCAATTCCATTGAGAATAAATTTGGAAAAATAGACTCACAGTTTAACACAAATCCACTCGAGGAAACAATTAACAAATCTTTGCCATTAAAATTGCCCAACTAATACCTCCCAAATAACCAATTATATTGCTTGACACCTTTCTCTTCTTTGCCCATTACTTTATTATTCTCAACGCCTGAACAAATTGAGAATGATCAGGCATTGATTTACTAATCAAAATACCATTCTTTCGACCATTCAAAGCATACATTGATTTATCTTCACTTTACAATAGGTTTCTTCTTAGTTCATCTAAATTATCATCAATATTTTCAGGAACTCTATCTGAATTTAATTGAGCAAAATTAATATCTATATGAAATCCTTTGTAAATCATCTTTATAATAGGATTTGAAGTGCTCTCTATTTTATTTATCTATTCCATTCCTTACTCATTGGATAACAAATAAAATAAACTTTAATACATTTCAATCATAAATACCCATTAAAAAATTGTTCCCTTCTATCTATAAATTCTGGAGCTATGCATATTAAATCTATATCGGATTTGCTGTCTGCCACACCCAGTAACACTGATCCATAAGGCAACAATACAGCTGAACAATATTTTAAATGATCCTCATTGATCCTTTTTTCTTTTGCACATTATTGAGACCACCTTTTAACTATCTGCCCCAAATAGGCTTAAATATCCTTGCTCTTTTATTGATTCTCTTCAATCGCTTGTAGAGAATCTGTTTCAATGAAGCTAAGTAATTAGCCTTTATTGCATTGATGATGCATTAAATTTTGATCATAATCAATTCTGCCATGAGCCTTCTTCAATTCATTGTTAATATCTTGGCTGCTCATTCTTGGAGCCAACTCCTTGATGAAGTTTATAAGCTCATTACTAAAATCCATTTTTATAACTATTTTATTATTTAAACAATATATAAAAATAATCATTTTGCAATAACAGTGATCCTAATAAACAATCACATTTTATCTTATTAAACCACTACCATTTCTTATTCATATTAAAAATTATTTTAGGTAACTACCTCTTTTATATACATATATATTAATAATATAATAATAATATTTTAAGATGAGCTTCTAAGTAGTTAATGCATATTATTTGATAGACAACTGATTCCAAGAAGGAAGAATTTAGAAAATACTTAGAAAAGGCTGGCGTTATTGATCAGTTAACAAGGGTTCTAGTAGGATTGTATGAAGAACCAGAAAAACCTAACAATGCTATTGAGTAAGTTTAAAATCGATTGTAGCTATGTGAAAAAGTACTTGGGATCGCCTGTTGATATTGATGTTGACAAACTCAAATTAGAATATGAGAAACTTAAGGATGAGAATATTAGATTGAAGAGGGAAGTTGCTGATTTAAAAAAAGAAGTAATGTATCATCCTTATAGAAGCTATAAGCAGCCCAATAAGAACAGAATTGATATTACATAAATCAATAAATTTACATTACTAAATAAATATATAATATTCAAATGGAAAGAATAATTAATTTTTTAGAATCTATAATTATTGATATTAGTCCTTTCTTGCTTACTTACAGATCTTTGATTGAGTGGCATTCAAATTTATTTAGAGTTTCCAAATCTTCTGATGAAATGTATGCTGTTAATTACTATTAAATTTAATTGTCTTAATGGTTTGTACTCAAAATGATAAGTTTTCCATCAAAGTATTATAGTTCCTTGATATATTTATTGTTGAATTGAATCTAATGTATTTGTTAAAAACTCTTTTATTAATATGTATATTAAACAATTGAATTGTTTATTAAAACAGATACCATGTATGAATTTTCGGATTGCTCAGAAAATCTGATTATTGAACTTGACAGATCAATGTTGATTTTGTTTATAAGTTGAGGCTTCAAGTTGATGGATATCTTATCTAAATAATTTTACAATTAGCGAACTAATGAGTTGACAGTTACAAAAGGATCCTCTTATTCTATTTTATTTTGTTTTTATTAAATGTTGTCTATATAACTATCTCTAAAGACATTCTTTAAAATCTTTGTAACATTTTCTGTTTATTTGAACTCCACGTTTTTCTACACAACTACTTTAGTAAAAAATGTTTTTGGTGCTATTTAAATTAAATTAGTTGGATACTTATTTTTTCTTAATAGAAGCATTACAGATTTCTTAACTAAAATAAATGGTTATCCTTTAAGAAATCAAATAATTTTGACAGATCTACTTCTATTTTATTGAGAGGAGAGTTAACATTCTCGCATTCCACTTCTTACTCATTTCCAGCCTTAATTGCGCATAAATTTAGCCAAACAAAGAAGTTTCTCAAGTGTAACTTAGTCTAATGACATTCAATTTAAAATCTGCTAAACACTTTTTAAATCTTTTAAATTGTTTCCTATAATTCTTCAAAAGGAGTTTTATGCAATCCTTAATAAAAGGGCCTAATTCAAACATAAATACTTACATGTTCTTTGATTAAATAAAGAAGTTGATGATAATTAAAATTCTAGATAACACATTCATCAATGAGTCCTATATTATTTCTTAAATGTTATTGAAGCTGTTTGTGATATTCTAAAATAATAAGATTGTATAATTATATTACATCATCCATTTTCTACAATATTTTTGTATTGTAGAGTTCCTTCTAAAAGAATTGAACAAGTTCTTGAGGGCAATTTCCCTTTTGATAAAATTGCAAAATGTGATAATTGATTGTTTCTTGAGGTCCAAAAGCTACCAAAGGACCTATTATGTTCAATTGATAGCATTTGAAGATGTCTTGTAATTGGGTGTTGATTAAGAGAATTGATGTTTTCAAAAAACAAAGTAATTCATTTAAGTAGCTCAATTATTAAATGTATTTCTAGATAAAATGTATGCTTTACTAAAATTTATTGATGTTTCAATAAGCCAATATCGTAAATTTCAACAAACTATTTTGAAAAACAATGCAACTCATTTTCTAATTGGAATAATTATGTTGTGCTTGAATGTTCGATTTCTCCTAAATGTAGAATCCCATTAAAATTATAGGCAATTTACTTATTAGTTAATGAGAATATGATATTGTTTATCTATTGTTATTTTAGAAAGCAAAGATTTTGCCAATTTTTCCTAATAATTAAGTATGAAAATTACAAGTTTGTGGTCGATAATGGAATTATGGCTGCTTATAATTCCTGCTCTTTAATTATTTTTGCATTCACTTACACAAGAAGCATCTAGGTGATTTTATCTGAATTCTTGATTAGAGTGGATTGAATGATTTTTTAATGAGAAGCCAAGTGATAGAAGTATAATTTATTTCCAACATTGTAAGCCAGAAACATACCTAATTATATGACACTTAATACTTTCCACTATTATATTGCTAATGGCATCGTCCTCCTGGATTATGAACATCCTTTACAATTATTCACTCACTCTGCATATTTCCAATTGGTTATTAACATAGAGGATTGCACAAACATCCATTGTCTTACTCCAACTAACTGATTGGATTTCTTGAGCCATAACTCTATCCAACATTGGGGAATATGATTAAGTTTCCATTTTCAAATTTAAAATTATATAATTACAATATATATATTCAAATTTATTTATCATTTACAAACTTTACCATTGTTATATTAAACTACTTTCGATGGTGTCTGTTAATTTGGAGGATAGTATCTAAATTATCCATGTCTGATATCATTCTAAAATGTTCCAGTTTCCCTTAAATTATTATAAATGAATACAATGATTTATCATTATATATTATTTCAAAATTTCCTTCCTTTTTGTTATTTTAAAAAGACCCTTTAAACTTTGAATTGTCCTTTTTAGCAGTGTACTCCCCTTTCCCATGAAATTTATCATCCTAGAAACACCCTGAATAGCTGAGGTGAATATATTTCAATACTTGTCTCCATTTTTTAGATTCATGTATCCCTCCCCATTCTTTTTGCCATTTTTGAAAGCTCCAATATAACTAATTATAATATATAATGTAATGTACAATTCTCCATCTCTATTTTCCAGTTCCCCCTGTCCATGTCTCTTGTTATCCTTGAAACTCCCCTTATATCTACTTTCAACATATATATATGTACATTTCTCCGTTACTCGTCACTTAATAGCCTTCCTAATTTAGTTTATCATCAGTAAATTATCCTTTATATCTATATAACTGAATATATATACAGATCTCCAGAAGAAGTAATTTTAATTCCCTGCCCATTCAATTTTTTATCTCTCATACACCCCATTAAGATGCTGCATTCTTATAATTCATTGAATTGGGTCTTTTAGCCCCATCTCAATTAGTTATCAACCCAAATGCCTTCATATATGATATCTCCCTTCTTCTAGATTTGGATTCCTAATTTTTCACATGTTTTTTAATATACCTTTTCCATGCTTTTGTGCCTTATCGTCAATTTCTCCATGATAAATTTCATTTTCATTTTTAAATTCTTTAATCGACCCATAATTTTAAATGTTTAACTCCTTTGGTATTTTTGTATAATCTAATGGATTTTGCAAATAAAACTATTTGATTTTTTTTAAGCTGATATGTTGGTTGACGATATTTTAGGGATTATATTACTAAGGTTAATTGTTAATAGATTAGTTCAATTAGTCTAAACATTCGATGGATGCTTCCATTTTACTTTAGATTAGTTTGACCAGATAATCAAGTTATTAAGAGTCCAATGCCTTATCCTGTATTACCTAAAAGAATGTATGAAATTATTCATTTTTTATCTCATAATATCGATCTGATTGGATGAGTCTAATAATATTTTGAGTTTATTCTAGTTATTGATAGAGAATGCTGCTTTCTGTAAATTACTTCTCAACTTTACTAATAGAATCTAATAAATCCTTGTGAAGGCAAAGAAATTATTAACTTAATAATTCAGCATTTAGAGATGTAATTTCAATATCTGAATACCTATGACTTATTTGTTCTTTTAGCTATTCATAGGATAATATCATTCCTATGTGATCTTTATGTAAGGTATCTTGACATTCAACACAAACTAATTTCTCTTTACATTCTGTTCTTGTGCAAACTCCAATTATTTGTTGTTAAATAAAGGAATCGTCGTCAAAAAGCTAGAAGTGGTTATTTTAACAAAATAATTTAGAAATTTTCATTTAAGGCTAATAGAAAGAATTCATCACTTTGGAATTAAAGCCTATCTAATTTTATTTACTTATTTGTGGATTAAATAAATTATGACAATACTCAAAAATGAAAAGAATTACTTTTTTTATTTATTTAATAAAATGATCACTATAGTGCTTCAATTCATATAAATTGGGCTCTTTGCATTTGGTAAATTCCTATCGGCAGACAATAACACAAATACTTTTTTCGCATTAGTAGCTGCTTTTGCAATTGAAATTATTGTTGCTGCTCCAACAACTGATAAAACAAGATGGATTTGTTCAAAGTCAATGTAATCAATTTGTAAAAATGCATTGCTGTTTTCAATCATCCTCCAACACATCGAAGATGAACATTTATACTGGGTAGTGTTGTCTGGTGGAGTCTTAAAAATAACAAAGAATTTCACAACAGTGTTAGCAATAAAGAAAATAGATTAAATCTTAAAATATAATACTTTTGTCGGAATTTATGCATAAATCTTTTCATTCTACAAGATCATCCAAGTGTGTTCATATGTAATAATTAAATCAGATTATTTAGTTGTTTTTAACAAGTTTATTTTTATAATTGGAATTGCATACTATCTTTTTAGGTGATCATTGGAAGATCAACTCATTAATAGTAGTCAACTTTAGCTTTATCCCATTTGCATTATTGATTGTATTTATTGTCATAATGATCCATAGATTTTTAATCTATTTGAGTCGATTGTGTATATTAAATGGAGTTTGAAAGGTGAATAATAAAAAGTATAATAAAAAGAATAAAAAAAGGAGAAAAAGAAGTGATAATAATAATATCAATCAATTGCTATATCATTAATTGACAAACTAGTAACAGCCTATTTGTGTCCCTTTAAAGTTCTAAGCACTGCAGCACTATCAGTTTACCATATTTTAGTAGTTAAGTCTGACGAAGCTGTTATAATATACTCCGAATCACATGAGAATGCACAATCCCACACCCATTTCCCATGTCCTATAAACATTTTCTCAATATTGATTACCATAGAGAGTGGAGAACAATTCCCATCTGGGATATCTGTCATTTCCTAAATTCTTCTCATTCAAAGTCCATAACTTTACTGTTTTATCAGCACTGCAAGTTGCCAAATACCTTAAATCTGCGGAAATAGAGGCTTTCAGTATGTAATCTTAATGAGCTTCAAACCTATACAAAAAACTCTGTTCTGTAAGGTCCATGTTATTCATAACATAAGTGTGACATTGCCCTTATGAATCAGCAGCTACAATCTGACTAGCATTATAAGCAATCGATATAGATCTAATGCCAACCTCAGGACAAGGAGATAGTCTCAATCTTACCTTGTTTTACTAAAAATCATATATTTTGACATTTCCCATTTGATCCCCAACAATTAATTCAGTCTCATTTGGATGCAAGCATATTGTATTTAATGGTTCCTTCTCTTAGTATTCTCTTGATAAATCTACATAAGCATTGATTCAAATACTATTAGATCTTAGATCATGTATTCTTATAAATCCATCTTCAGAACAGGTATAAAAGAAATTACTATCCTTCAAAAATCCTATTCCTGTAATATTGTTCTTATATCCATCATAAACATAAACAGGAGTATTCTTTTAAGAGTGTATATCGTAGTAAGAAGCAAAGAAATTTCCACCTGCAGCCAAATACTTTTTGTCTTAAGATGTGTCAATTCTGTTAACAATAACTTTATCCCCATAATTGATTTCATGTTTTTGTTATCCTGTTGTAGCATCCCAAAATATAAAATTATGATCATATGACGAAGTTACTAAGATAACATCATTTTCAGACATTATATTATGTTATATATATATAATTATAAAATTAGATGATAAAATTAATTATTGAAAATCAAACCAATTTGACTTGATTCAAATATTAATCCATATAATCAATGATAATTTCTAAATTTTTCTATCCTACACATATCAAGAGGTTCTAATGTTTATTATTCTCTTGTGATAATAATTCTTATTTAATCACTTAATTCAGGAATATTTTTTTATTTATGAAAATGCTTATCATTAAAATATTCACAAACCCCATCCTAATTTTAAAGTTTGTTCTTCAAAAGATTTAATTGAAACTTTGGATATTTGCTATCTCTACTCAATAATTGAAGCTTGAGTCTTTTTATATTTTTAATCTCTTTTTCTTATTCAGGACTATTGATTCTTGTAAATGGTGACGATTGTCTATCAGTTATCTGAATCCATCTAGTTTTTCTTTTTTAGTATTAAGATATCTATGGAACCTATTAAGTTTACTCAATGCTTGATGATATTTTAAAGGGTCTCCTAATCCCTCTAACTGTTAATTGAGATTCATTTAAAGAGATTTTTCGAGTTCTATCTAGTCCAATTTACGATAAATCTACACTCCCAATTTATTATATCATAGTGCTGCTTGGTCTTTCATGGAACTATTTAATTTTGCTACAACCTAATTTATTTGACAATGTGGACTTATATTGAGTGTGGTTTGAAGATTGCAATTTACTCTTTTAAATAAAAAAGGATTAAAAGATTGCTTGGGATGTTGGAGTTAAATTCATCAAATTTATAAATTTATATATAATAAAATGTCAAAGTGCGTGATATTATTTGATGATGATAAAGCACAATGTAAAACACAATTGCACTCTAAAAAGATGATGACCTGCTTAAATCCTGATTGTCTGACTTATCCTCAGATTTGTTGTTCTGATTGTATTGAATAATTGCATCAACATAAAGGAAATACAATGACTCTTGAGAAAACCTAATTTGTAAATTAAACTAACAAGAAGTATGCAGAAATACAAGAGTAAGCTTATGCTTTAGAAGCAGAATGCTAGAATTTTGAGAAAAAGGGTTCCAATCTCAAAAGGTTATTTAACGGTGATATAGAAAGAATGAGAATTTAACTAAATAAAATAATTGATTCCTTAAAGGATCAAATTAATAAGTAAATTGATATAAGTATTTCAACAACTAAAAAACAAGTAACTAATAAAGTTGAAAAGACTAAAGATGCTCTGCAATAATTTAAACCAATCAACATTAGTAAAATCTATAATGATTAATTAAAACGATTGATAACTGCTATGTGGCATACTGATTACTAATTGGAAAGAGATCAATTGAAAATCTTCTTTCCTAATTTATAAGACAAATTGAGGGGAAGACTATCTTAAATAAATGATAGTGTGTCATAAGAATTGGTTTAAATGAGTCAAGATTTAATTCAAGAGTCATAAGAATAAATATAAGCCTTTTTAGATTAAAAAACCCCAAATGATAATCTATCTACTTAAAGTGATGACTCAATTGTGGATAAATTAGTAAATTTAAGGGATAGTTTGAAATTGCAAATGGAATAACATCTAGCAGCCAAGAACTGTACTCACAAGGGATGCCATTAAGTAACTCCTGTTAAGGCTTATTATGGATATTATTATCATATAAGTGGCTATGCTGTATAAGGTGAATTGCCTATTTCAGTTTGTGCCAAATCAAAGAAACTAGCCGAGAAAATGGATAGAGTAGTGAATGATTTGTATAAATTGTAATATAGAGATTCTAAGATTGATGATTGTGTGTAAGCATATTTTATATATTGATAAAAAACTTTATATAATATTTATCGTTTATTAATTGGTAGAGTAGAACAGTAGATTTTGATTTTTAAAGTATAATTGCCATTTTATAGATTTCTTTGAGATATTTATATTATAAAGTTATTCAAAATTTTAATGAAAGGTGTTATTTTAGACAAAAGTGATCTATTCACAAGGCAATATAGCTCATTTAATTTCGCAGTTTATGGATTTTGTATAGGGACTGTTAAAAGGAGGAAAAAATATGCTTCAAAGATGTGAATAGATAAAAACAAAAGGCGAAACAAACTAAGTGATTATGATTGGTAATAGTGAATGTCCATTTTTTAATAGCAATAAATTATGTGAATTTCATAATAAATTATTTTATAATATCATTTTTCATGGTTGAATTGTAATGAATTTACATATTCTATTATAGTGATGCAAAAAAGCAATTGGCAATTAGCAACATAGCTCTACTCATGATAGAGATCGTTCTCTTAACAGAATATTCTTATATGAATGAACATCCACATAGAAATGAAAGTTTGACTTATGTGAGATTCGCAATTTCTGGATAGGTTTTTATGATGTTAGCATTTCTTGGATTGATTGCAACTTATCTTTTCACGCATAGATTCATGAAATTAGCGATCCTTGGTAGTCTTTGGTTAGGTTTCGTATTAGTTTTTATCGGAATGATTGTGGGAGTAAAATACGTAATTCATTTATATATAAATTTAGTATGAAGATGGCTATGACACAATTGCATCGACTTGGTGGATTGAGGTGGGATTGACTATCCTTGGCTTTTTGAATTTCCTCAAGGCCTTTAATAATGAACCACAACCCAACGAAGGGTATCAGAGACAAGAATGAGTGTATGTATATGTAATAAATTCTACATATTCTATTTGTTCTATATTTTTAATTATTTTTATTCTTATATGAGTTTTGTAACCAAAATCAAGAACTAAGCACAAGAAAAATACAATCAAATTATGAAAAAGAAGAATGAATAATATCAAGAAATGGTATTGAACTATCAATATCGATAAGAATGAAGAAAACAGAGGTCAGGAAAATAAATAGCAAGAAAATAAAATGGATCAAGAAAAAGTAATTGATGAATAGCCAAAAAACGATGACTCTGCTCCTAACAAACCTGAAGAAAAGCCTAGACAAGGAACCATTTCATATATCAAGACAAATCTAACTGCTGCAGGTGACTACCTAAGTAATAAGGTAGTTGAGGCCTAGAAGACTGTTACAGTAATCAATTACATATAATATAAATAAGCTTCAATTACAAAAGGTGGATATAAGTGTGAAGTAGGCTATATTGAAATAAAAATAAAGCTTCAACAAATGGATAGCCCTTAAAATAGATCAAAGAATCTCGAGATCTCTCAAATAAATGGAAACCAAAATCTCACTCAGTGTTTAAAAGGCTGTTCCCAGTTCATGTTGCTTTGATTTTGTCAATGATGCAGTTCTAAGTCTATGGACGGATGCAAGCAATCTGATACGTTTCGAATTAAGAGTTAGCATCGACGAGCCCATAATAACATTATCTAAAAGGCCAGACAAAATCAGATGGTTAAAGCCCTGGTATCGATTAAGGAATTGGATATTGTATTCCTTATACCCATTTGATGTCGAGCCTGGAAAACAGTTAAGATCTCCTTCCTTTCTATTTATCAAGCTTTTATAAGTGATACCCTTCTATGGAATCCAAGTCTTCACTTTCCTTATAATTTTCTTGGCTATCGACAAGACTGAAGAGTATTAAGTCGTAAATTATATTTTGGATTACAAAAACATTCAATTTTTTACTGCAGGTGTTCTAAATGCGCTTATTGGATTTTTTAGTTACTTCTATTGTGCAACTCTCAAACCAGCTCACGATTTCATCAATGAAAAAGATCAAGGACTCAAGTTGAATTACTGTTTTTCTCATGGTCCAGGTGCTGAAAGTCACTTAATTTTATCATAGATCAGTTATTTTACCTAGGTAATTTTGATTTGGTGTGCATTTGCAGTGTTGCATAAAACAAAATCAAGGGCAGATTTCATAAGTAATGAAATCAAAAGATAAGAATCCATAAAGAGAGGTGGAAGATTAACTGGGTTTATGATATATGATTTAATCTGCTTTGTGGGGACATGTTCATTGACTGGATATATCTATTACAATTACTATTATAAGAAGGAGGATACATTCTATATGTTGCCATATGTCGGTAATTTGATATACTTTTCGCACTTGATGTATGGATTTTTGAGTCTGCCTTTTGTGATATTTGTGGTTCCATTTTTTGTTAGGATGTTCACTAGTGCCATTCCAACTGCTTATGATTAATATGGGAATGTGGTACCATGCATTAATTAGATGAAATTGAATTATGAAGAGTTACCACTGGAATAATAGGATGAGATCGATATTGAGGAGGCATTGGAGAATTGATGAGTTATAATAATATTATAATTTTAAATAATGGGAGTTTATAATTTATGGAAGTTATTGGCGGCAGCAGGAAGAAATATAGACATAGCATCTTTGAGGGGACTAAGAGTAGCTATTGATGTCAGCATATGGATGATTAAGTTATTGCATGGAATGTCGAATTCAGGAGTCAATTTTGAGAATGTGCATTTGATTGGTATATTAAAAAGAATTATGTTTCTTTTGGAAAATGGCATTAAACCAGTATTTGTATTTGATGGACCTGCTCCGGAATTGAAGAGACAAACCTTAATAAAGAGAGCTCAGTAAAGATAACAATACAATATCAATTTATAAAAATTAGCAGAGAAGTATGTTGTAAAATTAATAGAGAAGGGATATGATATAACATAGTAAAATCAAGAGTTGATTGAGGAGATAGTATTTGAAGATGATTCTGATTCTCAATTACCACCAGAAGAACAAGAAATTATAGATTAACAAAATCATGAGATACTCAATTTGCAATTTGCTTATTTGAAAGGAACTACTTAAGGATTCCATGATCTGGATTTGTAAACTAAAGAAGAAATCATAGAGTAGTTAATCGAGGAGAGACAAGGGTAATATGCAGAGGATCAAAGCATTTCACTCAAGCGATTTTTAATGAATGCAGATTAAAAGGAGAAGATTAAATAAATCAGAATTGAAGCTGTAAAGTAAATAGAAACACTTAGGATTGAAAAGATCTTAGAATAATACAATGATAAAGAAAGCGAATTATTGAGAGAGTATTTGAACAAGAATGAGGATCTAATCATTAAAATGGGATAATTTGGAGTGAATAACGTGTATGTTTATTTGCAAGATTAAGAAAAAAGATAAGAATTAGTTAAATTGTTATATGGATAATAAAAGAAACCAAAAAGAAAACTAAAAGATTACGAAATTGAAAATGAACATTTGAAGAATATTAGAGAAGCATTAAAAAGGAGATATAGAGAGAGGCTTAATGAAGAAGTAGTACCAGAGAATCCAAATTAAGTAGAACACTAGGAAGTCGAAGATTTGATGGATAAATATGATTGTTTTGACTTAGATTTAATTGAATAGAAAATGGATGAAGAGTATAGACAATTACAATAAATGAAGGAAGATTCTAGTTCCTAATAAATTTAATAGTAATGTTCATTTGATAACTAAGAAAATATGTAGAAAGTAGATTAAAGTTAATAAGAATCAAACAAAAACTAACAAGATAATAATTTACCATAAGTGAGCGAGAAAGATGATTCCCATACAAGTGATAGTGATAGTGAATCTGAAAGTGATAATGCATTTGTGTAACAAATCCAGTAGAAATAGTTCTAAAATTCATCTTATCATAATAGTAATTCAAAACTTAATCAGGAATCAATCAATTCAAATAATTTACCTAAATAGTATTCATTAAAAGAAGATCTTAATAATACTAATAATTTTCTATCCTAAGACCTTCAGTAGTAATTCTTAGATCTTAACCCTAAGTAATAACAAGAGATCCAATAGACAAAACCAACTGTTTAATAAAATAATATTCAAAACTCTAATTAGATAATAACTGATGAATAAATAGATTAATTATTTACTTAAGCTGACAATAATGGCGAAGAATTGGATGCCTATGAAATGATAGACAACATTCGAAGAAACCAAAATCTCTAATCTCTTGATTCAGTAACTATGCAATAAAAATTTGAAGATATCAGATAACTTTTAGCATTATTTGGAATCCCATGGATTATAGCTCCTGGTGAAGCTGAAGCTTAATGTGCATATCTCTAATAGAATGGTTTAGTAGACTGTGTGATTACAGAAGATTCCGACGTTTTTCTGTTTGGAGCCACTAAGGTCCTTAAAGGTTTTTTTGAATCAAAAACTTCTCTGGTTTATTATGATACTTAAGTAACATAACATAATTTATACATAGTATATAAAAGAAGATTTGGGATTGAATAGAGATTAATTGATTTATTTGGCTCTCTTTTTGGGAAGTGATTATACCTTAGGAATCAAAGGAGTGGGTATTGTTAATGCTATGGAAATTGTTGAAGTGTTTGACAATGTGGAGGCATTGAAAAGATTCACATCTTGGGCATCTAAAGCTGATGTGTTATTAGAGAATGCTTCATCTCATTATGAAAATATACCTGAAAAAGAAAGGATTTACAAGGAATTTCATAAAAATTATAAAAAATATTGGGAATTACCATCAGATTTTCCTAACATCGAAGTGATTAATGGATATATGAAACCAAGGGTAGATGAATCATTGGAATAATTTACTTGGGGGTAACCAGCTGTAGAAAAGATTATTGAATTTTGTTCATAATAGTTAAGATATTCTTAAGAGAGAGTAGAAGAAACCATAAGTAACAATTGTCATCTATAATAGAGATTCCTTTTCAGAAGATCATTCAAAAGGAGGATTAGAAAAAGATAACAGACTTCTTTAGAGTAACAAGCAAAATTGCTATTATTAATAGCAGAAGAATAAATTAGGTTGTACTTAATTTAAACAAGCCTGATTAATCAAGATAAAATGTTTAATAAAAGAAAAAGAGAAAATTGTTGGATGAAGTTAAAAGACAACCTGATAAGAGAAGAGATAACTCATTTGATTCTTCGAATATAAATCTAGATTAATTCAAATTCAAAAAATCGCTAAAAAAATAATGAAAATTATTAATATACACATTAATACTAAAATAATGTCATAATGTTTCTCTAACAAACTTCCTTTCCTGCTCTATCTTCTTTCGATAATCGCCATACATCTGAAATATCACATTCTCTTATTGCATAATTGCTAATTGCTTTATTGATATCAATAAAATAATACTGTGAGTAACACTGCGAATGTAGATAAGAAATAGAGTTTGAGGAGATTATTTGTTTATTTTTACTTGAGATATTAGAAATATTACTTTCTCATTTAGGAAGGTCTTTCTATTTCTAAATAAAGATGCTTGCTCGAAGATATTCTTTTATATTGTGACCACTGCACTTCCCATAATTAAATTTATACAATTTATTTAATAATTTGATGATAATGTTCAATCATCCAAATCCACCTTTCCCAACATGAACATTTAATCAATATCTTTAGGATTCTTGCCCTTCGTCTCTTTTACCTAGAAATAGATATAGATAGTCCTTTTAATCATTCATTCATAAATTACCCCAACAAACAGAAAACAAAGAATAATCCAAAACTGGTTTGCATTCCTCCATGATTATTGATAAATCCAAAGAATTATGCAACTATGGCACAGCCCAACCAATTGCACAGAACAGCAATCGACATTCCCTTCTCATCTAATACATCAGCATCGTAAATCTTAAATATTAGCCATTTCTATTACCCACACGACTGGTCCTAAGGATAATTAAAATGCAGCCAAATATAAGAACATAAATATAATCACCATGATCGCTGATGTGGTGACTTCGTAATCGTCTTCACTCGGCAAAAAGAAAGAAAATAAACTGATAAATCCTAAAAACAATGTACAAGCAGAAGTTCCCAACAACAAAAGTGGTCTTCTTCCAAAGTTGTTTAAAAGCGGGATAGCAATCATACTAAATACCAAATTAACAAGACCAACTGCTATGTTGAGCCAATTTTTTAATTCATTGTTGCCTCCAGTTATCTAAAAACTTAGTGGATTATTACATTAATGAATAAACCAGAAGAATAAATAAGCACTGCATTAATTCCACTAAATTATTGAATAATCTAAAGAGTGCAACCTACAATCAAGCGACTTTTATATGAAGCTGAGTCTTGGGTTTTGCTATCCTATGCTTCAGATTGTTTTGCCTCAATTTATTATTTCAATTCATCGAAAATTTAGTCAGCGAATCTTCGTTTATAGTAATTTCTGATTACTGCTTTGGCCTATGATAATGCTTTCATTTACCGCTTTGTACTAGTTTCTATAAATATAATAGGATGGGGGATTGTCCTAAAAAGCAAATGCCAAAAAGAAAATCCTTAATGCACAAATGATCATTGGGAATACAACGACAAATCTGAAATAATCAAGACTCTCTCCATCTGCATTAAAGAACCTCTTTTCAAAATAATTTGTACATTCCCATTATTAAAGCAACCAAACAACCAATATTGATTGTCATCTGAAACATAGCTCCAAATGGTCCTGACAAAGATTCAGGAGAAAATTCCTTTATGTATTGAGGCACCAAAGACGAATTCATACCAACTGCATATCCTATCACTAATCTTCCAATCAGTAAAGTTGCGAGATTCAGGGGCAATTAAAAAAGAAATCCAGCAACACCAATCAAATCAGCAAATAAAAACGATGTTCTCAAACCAAATTAATGTTATATTTTGCCAGATGTTATAGCTCCCGCTGCTGCTCCCAAAGCAGGAAATGCTAATTAATTATAAATTCACATCAATACCATTTATCAATCCATTTATGAGATCTTTATCATTTGTAATGCCAAATTGAGTATCTGCCGTCTTAATAGCTGGATTCATGTAGGACACAGAATATCCAAAGAAAAATGCCCCTAAAACTGCATTTGAAATGAGTAACGCAAACTATGACGTTGATTTGTGTTATTATTCAGACATTAATATTATTGATTTTTATTTTCTATATATAATAAATAAATGATATATCATAAACATTATGGAAAAAATTTGATAATTATAATCAAACCTGAGTCTAGTCTCCCTTTAAGATTTACTCATCGCAGATATTCTTTGTCGCTAAGTCTATTAACACTCTTTTGAGCATAATGTCTCCATTTATTAATTCCAAGAATATAATTATCCTCAAAGTTGTTATTTCATCACTTAAACTAAATTTCAAGTCATTCCCATAATCCAGGAGCAGATATCCTCAATACATATCGATTTAAAATAATGCGAATACTCTAATTTTGTGTTAAGATACAGAAAAATCTTCCTAATTATTTCATTCTATTTTTAGGTAATCAACAACCGGGTCGAATTATAAAAGGGTATTTTTGATATCTGGTTTCAATAATCCAATTAAAAAGTGATTTAAGTCAAAGAATTTTTAAGGTAAATTCTTATAAATTATAATCAAAAAGTAAGGAGTAAAAAAACAGTATCAGGAATCATAATATATATTTCTATCTAGTTTTTTATTTAAATTTATTAATCCACAAATCATGGGAAACTATTTTAAAACTAAACCTAAAGATAAACTTGACAAAGAAATGATCGAATTTCTTAAATCTCGTAAACTTTAACACATTAACGAAGTAATATAATACTAAACTAGGCAATCGATGTTGTAAATACTAAATTTCCATATTCAAAGTATTTAGAGTATAGTGATTATTGCGATGTGTTCAACCCAATATTAGAAATTTGGACGTAAAATGTATTCTAACTGTTGTCCTCTAACTCTTCTCTAGAAGGATCTAATGATATTTATGAATCATTAGCAGTCTTTGTAACTAAATGAATTAACATATAGACTATATTTAGCGACGAAGAGTAAGAACTTAAATTACAGTTCATTTTCCAATTATTTGACACTGATAAGTCAGGTGAAATTGAAAAGCAAGAGCTAGTGGGTGCCTTAGAAAAATGCATCCGTGGTTTATGTAAATTAGTACATTTACCTGCTCCTTCAATAAAGGATATTGATTTTTATGCAGAACGCTTATTTCTAGAATTAGACAGAGATTATAGCTATACAATCTCGTTTAATGAGTTTAAGCTATGGATTATAGGAAATTTTGAATTATAAGACTTTCTTTTAAAATACGCACTTATTTAAACATATGAAAATGCAACCAGAAGATATAAAGAAAAGAGGATTCTCTATGAAAACTTTTTTATCAATGCAGTTGGAAATGACAAATGTGACGTATGCGAATTAGAATTAATTAAACAATTATTTTTGACTGAATTCAATAATTAATAAATAGAAATTCTTGAATTGCTTTTTAATACTTTATAGGATTCTTCTAATGCTTACTTAGATAAAAAGAATGACGGATGGATATGCAAATAAGCATATTAAGATGTAATGAATGCTTGGGCTGCTTTTGATGCCTCTGATATAAACTAAGATAATGAGGTTTCCATGTCAGAGTTGAAATATTTAATATATGCATATGAAGGAGACAAACCAGATTATTATAGATTGCAAACAGAAATGGAGATTCTAGATATGGATCAATCTGGAAAAATTACAAGAGATGAATGGATTAAGTATCTTTGTGTAAATGAAAAAGGTAAATTTGTTTTTAGAGGAACACTGCAACATTAATTTAATGAGTATGATAAAGATCACAATGGCATGCTATCGATTAAAGATATCAAGGATTTATTGAAAAATTCAATGAAAGATCTAAGAACAAGTTTTAAGGTATATAACAATTACATATAATTCAGAAATTAAATTCAGCATTAAATTTTGATGATATGGTTGATGATTTGATAGCGGAAATAGCTAAATCACTACAAGAAGGAAATTAAGATTAACATTCTTATTAAAATTAACTTTTATTTGTACGTTTATTAAATTTAATTAGCTTTCTTGGAGTTAATTTAAGTCATTTATGGAAAAAGCAACCCTTAAACAGGATTAACTTCGCTAGTATTTAGCAAAACTTTGATTTATCATATATTAAAAAATAATGGTTATTCATTCAATTAATTTAACAGTATTATTAAAAGAAGGATTTTATAAAAGCTATCATTATAGGATTAATCCAAAAATATTAGAACTAGTAAAATCATTATTATAAGATAGAAATTACATTCTAATGATCACTGCAAGTTCATTGATTGTGAAGAATTAATCAATATTCTGTTAATTTTTAGTCTATACTTATTGTTACACGTATCCCAAGAGAATGCCAAGATCTTCGGAAGTTTGCCATTAATCATAAGTTGAATGTTATGAGTAATAAAAATTACTGGTAATCATGATAAATCTGTTTTAAGAGGTGGTGATGAAATTAAAATTGAAAGATTATTCATATTTTAGAGGATATAAAACTTAAGATTATTAAATACAAGACTTTTTATAACAATATTTATATAGAATAATTAAATAGTAATTTTGAAAAGTTCATCCAAATACAGTGGATACTCCACCTAGAAATCGATAAAAAATCAATTTTATGGAGCTAGGAATAAAAGTACCTTAAGTTATGAAAATTAAAGAATTACTTCAATTTTAGAGTGGACAATCTAATTTATAAAAACTTATATTTCTAATAAATATTAAATTCTAAATATAGTTCATTCTGATAAATCAAAAATAAATTATTTGCCGTCGTATTTAATAGGTAATTCTGAGATTAATTTTCATTCAGATAATCATAATATCTATAATTTTGTGGTACTAATTACCTCTTATTTGAAATAGGTTACTGTATAATATTTTATTCAACCAAATTTTGAAAAAAATCATAAATTAATAAATGTTGAGAACCTTAATTTATCTATTGCAAAAGGAAAGAATTCCAAAAGGAGAATGAATAGTATTTCTTCAGTTATTTGGCTTATATTAAAAAAAAATAATGTTGTTGTGTGCTTAAGATAACTGAAAAAACAATCTTGGATTTATAATAAATCCTTTCTAAATATCATTTTTGTATTTTATGTATACTAATAATTCACGAAATAATTTAAAATAGCTAAATTTAGCTTATATGTTAAAGAATTAGATATTCCTTTAAATTGATATTAGCTTTCTGAGAATTGATAAAGATATTAATTTTTTCATTATTTAATTTAAATATGCTATTATAAATCAAGTATGTTCTACAATTCAAAATTAGTTTGGCTATTGAATAAAGGATTTATTTCAAGAATTGAATAATTATTTTTTTAATAATAAATATGTCAAATTTTGCTTAATTTCTTGAGGACATCAGCGATTTCAAGGAAAGGCCTGTTAAATTAAAATAGATCAAAAAAGTTCTGAAAATAAATGAAAAAAGTTTTCCGCCTTGCAAAAATATCCTTAACTATTATTTCTAAGAGTTTTCAAAGTAGATGTTTACAATAAAAGTAGACGAACTAACGAAGAACATCGTACTAAGTGGCATAGAAAAGATAAAATACTATTTGTTTGGACTGTATTGAAATATTTTGAATTAACGAATAAGACTGATCTCAATCCTGTATGTCTTATAAATAGCATAGTCTGATTAAGATTGGCAATATCTTTCTTCAGTGCTTGGAGTGACAGAATAATTGTTGAATTTAAAATGGATTAGTATGCTTAAAACTAATTTAAAAATGGCACCTTGGAATACAGAGGAGGACGAAGTTTTACAACAATTGATTACAGATCCAAGTGAAAATAAGAATTGGACTTAGATAACTATTGATTTTAATCGAGCAAATCCAACAAAAATAGTTAGGCATGCCAAATAAATCCGAGAAAGATGGAATAATTATTTAAATCCAGACTTAAAAAAGTATTATAATAAAATTATTTAGATCTGAATGGGGGTAACCAGAATAATTGTAATTATTATTGCTTGTGCAAGAAATAGGAAAGCGATGGTCTTTGATCTCAAAACGCATTTAGGGAAGGACTGAAAATTAAGTAAAAAATTAATACAATTCTATGATGAATAATTATAGGAGATAGAACGTATAAATTGAATATAGTATTAGTAATTGGATAATGAAGATATTGCAATTAATAAACTGTTGGCCAATTTATAAGGAAAAGATTATGAAGGACCAGTACCATTAACTAGTAAGAGAATACGAAAAACGATCAACAACAATAATAACATTAACATCAATAATAATAACAATAATAAGGATACTATTTTATATAATAATGATCAGCCTTACATGTAGGTGGAGAATAACATAATACATGAGATTAAGGAGGAACATCAACAAGAATAATCATAATAGTAATTTTTATAACAATAATCGTAATCATAATTACAATTACAATAATAATAGTAATAATAACAA